GTGAATGTTTCGCCATTAGATTTGTTAGTGAATGTTTTTGCTTCGACTGACATTTCTGTTCTTACCTACAAGATAAAAAGTTAGAAAAAAAAATAAAACTAACGTTATTTTTTCTGTCTTAAGGAAATTCATGAGGGTAGAAATGAGGTTAGAAAAGTGGTTAGAAAACGTGTTAGATCTAACATTCTAACATAAACTTTATTTTTGGTGTAAATAAATGGTACCATTAATGATATCATGACTGTTCTCGTTCATGTCTGATTTACATCTAATGAAAAAGTTTAGAAGAATTTTCTTATTCTTTCTGGCATGTTTTTATCTTTCCAGTACTCCCGCTCTAATGGACCCAGATGAGTTGGTTTAGATTCTCTCAAGTTCTTAGATGGTATAACATCTTCAACGCCTCCTTCATATCTTACTTTATAAGTGTCATCGTTTATGTTATAGCCAAGTATTTCAATAACCACTCCTCGCTTTGCTTCGTCAATGGTTTCAGCAAGTTTGCCATTACTACTTTCAACTAATTTATGACGAGGGTAAAATGCTATGGAGTCGTCAGCAGCTTTTATAAGATATCCATTACCTTGCGTTGAATCTACTATATAATAATTTCGACTTAACCTTAAACGTTTCTTTGTCAACGGTTTGTCGTCAAGAACTACACGAACTTTTGTACCAGGAATGAGGGTAAATTGTGTTGAATTTCTGATATTTTGTGTTTGGCTTCGTTTCTTTTGTATATACTTTTCTTCTTGTTGTTGTGTCATTGAATTTGGTGTATGTCCTGTTGTAGAATGTGTTGAGGAATTATATACTTCGAGAAAATGTTTCATTGTTTCTTCGGTAAAGTCTCGCTCTTGATTTAAATCTCTGAGAGTCCTTATGAAGCGGTTTATGATACCGAGTATGTTATGGTTATGGTCTTCAGTAGTGTAGTGAGTTATGTTATGCTTAATGAGAAAATCTGTGATTTCATTGCTGAGGTATGCTGAATCCTGGTCTGATGTTAAAGTACTTGGGCTATGTTCTGCTACAAACTTTTGTAAAACTCTTAACACTTCACGAGTTCCTTTATTCCTCATTGGATATGCATATGCTTTACGAGTGTTAACATTAATGAAGATGAGGAATGGTTTATGTCCTCCTTTTCTGCTTTGAATGAGAGTGTCAAATTGGTATGCGTCAGGAGTGTTGGAGTAAATTGGTAAAAAGTAGTCGTAAGGGTTTATTTTTGTTTGATGTACAACATTTTTGTCAAAGAACTTTTTCACTTCAGCTCTGTTAGTAAATCCCCAACTTTTTGCAGCTTCATTGAACTTCTTAAATGACCTCCATGGATGTTGTTCGAATACTTCTTTCAAGCTCATTTATGTAAAGTTAAAGATTTTATTCTAGGCTCAAGTATGTTTATTGAACGCGGTACCATGCAAATACAGTCACAAATGGTGGCATATAATCTGCACCCGAGCCTGTTGGATTTGTTGTGAAAGTGTGTGAATGATTTCCTGCGGTTCCACAGAAAATACCTGTGCTTGAATCTACTGGGTCACTTGAAATATCATATCTATTCATTCCCTGTCTATCCGAACCTGCTGCAAGATTTGTATAACCTCTTTTTGTTATTGAATGTGAATGATTACCTGTTGTGTTTGTAGTTCCTGTATGAGTGTGCGGTGGAAGGTTTGCTTCTTTAATTTCTTCGAACCTCCTGTTTGCTTTGAATATCTAGCACAGTATAAGAATTTATCTACAATCTGCTTCCACGTACCAAAACCCAGAACTGTTTCTGGATTTGTTGAGTTCATTGACGTATAAATAGAGCCTATAGGATATAATGTTTGAAGTATTTCTGTCTTTAATGTTTGAAGCTCTGTTTTGTCTGCTTTCTTATCTAACATTGTTGGTAGTTCATATGCTTCAAAGTTTCTGACATGACCTTCAATGTTCATACATTTGTTATTTAAGGAGTTTAGTGTATCTTTTACGCTTGTACTTGGATTTTCTAATGGTGCACTTGAACCAAGGGTATAGTTCAATATTATGTCGTCTGCTCTAACAGTAGTGAAGGATTTATGTGTATGGTTCTTGTCAGCTTTATTATCATATAAATCTTGAGCAGTGAATTTAACATTATTTTCATCGTCCATGACATAAACATTTTTACAGCTAATTTCTTTCTTCGTTGTTATGTTTTCATTCGATGTTAAACCTTGTGGAAAGTTAGGAGGTTTATAATATAATGCAGCCGCGTGCGGCGGGGTTCCGCCCTCCCCACCAGTTCCGCCAACCGTTCCTTCAATACTTTCTATAGCAACAGTTGAGAAGGAGTTATGTGTATGTTCTTTATCTGCTTTTTTATCTAACATTGCTGGTAGTTCATGTGTTTCAAAGTTTCTGACATGACCTTCAATGTTCATACATTTGTTATTTAAGGAGTTTAGTGTATCTTTTACGCTTGTACTTGGATTTTCTAATGGTGCACTTGAACCAAGGGTATAGTTCAATATTATGTCGTCTGCTCTAACAGTAGTGAAGGATTCATGTGTATGGTTCTTGTCGGCTTTACTGTCTAATGTAGCTTGAAGTTCATTTATATCGGAGATGTTGTGTTTATGAGATTTCAAAACTTTGTTCATTGCTTCGAGTTCAACTTTGTCAGCTTTACTTTTAATTAGCATCTTCAAACGTTATTTTTGACTTAACTCTCAAAGTAAATCTTGGTTCAACTAATACACCGTTAACAGAGAAAGTAGAGGCATAAATTTCATCGTTATAACCAAATGCTGTTCTGTGCTTTACCTGTGTCATACTGTACAGTACAGCGTATATCATAACCTTTAGCACGAATGAATTTATATCTTCTTTCATTAACATCTTCCGTCTTCACTTTTTCATCCTGTGTTAAATATCCATGGTAGTCCGTTATAATCTGTTCGTCTGAAGTTATATAATGAACATGGTTCTTGACTTTATCACTCAGAGCTAAAAGCTCATTTTGTCTGCTTTTTCGGCTAATTTCTCATTAACATCATTCACTTCTAATTCAACTCTTCCGCCAGAACTCTTATTATCATTAATCTTTTTCATTAATTCGGTAATTACGTCATAAAGACTATATTCTGTTTTTCGGTTTTGTAAATAATGAGTCAAAATTTCTTTTCATCATTACATCGCTGACATTAATGATATCACCAATTTCCTTTTTCATTTATTCTCTTCATTAATTCTGCAATAATGACGAATATATAATCTGTTAATTTATTCTCTTCATCGAGGGTTATAGAATGTTTTGAAATTGAATCATTAACTCCTCTAAATAAATCAATAACTTCAGGATACACGTTTTTAATGTCTCGAATAACCCGACAAGTATCCTGTTGTTCATGTTCTTCGTTCCCGTCGTTACGTGGTTTTATATCTCTAACCATCATCAACGCAGCCATAACCGGAGAGGGTTTTTGTTGCTACCTGTTCGAAATCTGACCGTTATGTATGGTATATCTAAATAATTTCTTTGTGTTGTTAAAACATTTGAAACAAAGTCTTTTAAAACCATCTACAAAATTTCCTGTTTTCACCTAATGTTCTTGCAGCATTTACAAGCTCACCCATTCCCGCTTTTGACCCCAAAAACGTCCATATTGCATTTATTTCACTCTGTATAGTTGTCCATTCAGCGAAACTAACACCCGCATTCGCTAAGCGGAAAATGAAATTCAGTGGATCGAACTTAATTCCACCTTCTTTTTCAATTTCAACGAACTCACTAACATGAGATTTTAAGTATTCTTTCGTTAAAATTGTTTTCCCGATGTTATGTCATTAACGAAACTATCACCGTCAAAAGTTAACGAATTCAATTTCGTCGTTGATGCTTTTATTTCATACACCGCTTTATCGATAGTTTTTGGCTCACCTTCTTTAAGCATATGTAAACATTAATGAATGAATTATATGTATTCGTGAATGAATTAAAATCAATGATTTTCATTAATGACGCCTTTAATGATTCATTTACTGTCGAATCCCTTAAAGTAATTAATGAACTGTCATTATGAAAGGTACACTGCAAACCGTCGAGTTTGGATCAAATGCTGTAGTTGGTGCAGGAATATTAATGATATAAGTCATTAAATCATTAAGTGGACGTAAATAATGTTGTTGTTTTTGATTTAATTTCTTTAGCATCTGTTATATACGGTAATTTTATTTCTGTAGTTTCTGAATTAAAGATATTCGCTAAAATGTTTTGTAAACTGTTTTGAACAGCAGTATAAACCGTTGAATTCGGAACCCTTACGATTTCACCATCCTTAATAAAAGGCATTGCACATGGCGTAGTGCTTGGGTCAAATCTTTCGGGATTATAATTCAACATATATTCTAACGCTTCATGAACAGACTTATATACTGTTGTGTCGTTCTTCATGACAACTTCACCATTTACAATGAATGGCATAGTACATGGAGTTAAAATAGGGTCAAACTTTTCATAGTCCTTCCATGTTATGTATTTCTCAGTATTTCCATCAGTGATAACAATATATTTGTCAGTAAGTGTGAGAGAGTATTGACCAAAATATAAACGTTTAGCTCTGTCAGCTTCATACGCATATGCAGCTATACTCATATTTTAATGAGAATAAAATGTTGTTCTATTTGCAAAGTACAGACCCAAACGAATACGGGACAGTAAAGCTACAAACAAACTTAGGTCTACAGAATGAGGCGCTTGCATTCAGAATGGTTGACTTCAATACTATCGCTTCATTCGTTATAACAGATGAAACAGATTTCATGGAGATTGAAATAGATGGAAAGAAGCACGAAATAAGATTTCACAATAATGTAGAATATAAGATGGAAACATTAGCTGGAGTGTTAAATGCTCTCATAAATACTACATATAAACAAGGATAACGAAGAAAACTTAATGAATGTTAAACTTATTGCAGGAGTTTTGAAGTTCAGTTATGCGAAGGAGTTTAAGATAACACGAAATGAGTCATAGAGTACAACTTCTTTTGGGTGCATACCATATGACATTTCCTTTGAAAAGTGTTGACAAAACGATTGAGATGAAATCTGTTCCATACGTATGTTATGGTAATTGTTTATACATTGAGTCTAAAATAGCTAATGTCACAGATATTTCAGGAGTTAATAGTAAAGGTTCAGTAGAATATAAATCCTTCTGTTATGCAGTCAATTCAATGTTCATTCCAAACGTTCCTGTCATAGCAACTCATTTAGGTAAATGGGTTCGCATTAGTCCTCATAATTTGAAAGACATGCAATTCAGACTTGTTGACTTTCAAGGAGAGCCTGTAGAACTGAAGGCACCAGTGCGAATGACTGTTGAAGTTGACTTTTTAGAAAATATTAAATGCAACAGCTTACAAGAGAACTCAGAGCTAAAAATATAAAGTATGAATGTTATGTATTAGGTCATGAACTTTGGTTGTTGCTGTTTGATGAAACAAATGAGTTATATGTCAGTCAAGAGAACAGAAAAATATTGTGTTAGTGAAAACTGCACCAAGTCAATAAGATTAGGTTTGCATTATGAAGATGAGTTCGATACTGTTGAAGAAGTTTTGGATAGATATTACAAATTGCTAACTTGAAATTTTTTGACTGACGGCGCAAAGCGCCAAGATGGGCTCAAAGAGCCCTCCTGACTGCTTTAATTTACTAAAACATATTTCAAACAAAGTTTATATTCTGTTGAAAGTTTTGTATACTCGTTCGAATATTTATACTTAAACTCAACTCCTGTAGTTCCTGGTGTTTCAATGATGCGGATGTTACCTATTTTCATGAATAGTGGAGTTTGACCACAGCATTCGATTTCAGGGTCGAGATAGTCAATGACACATTGTTTCCCTGTTATTCGTGAGATAACATTTTCAAGGTCCTCCTTTGTTAGAATTATTTGGTTCTTGCTTATAAGATTTGTCAAAAGCTTCTTATCGTCTTTGAGTAAAATTGTTTGGTATAACTGAAGAAGGTAATGGTCTACGTTATCTGAAGGATTTGTTTGAACATTTGTGTAAGGGTTGTCGTTGGCTTCTCTTGAAAGAATTGGTCCAGTGGTGGATACTCTAACTTAACATCTGATGTAGCGTTAGCGTTTGAAGCTGTGTTTAAATTCACCGACTTAAGATCTGGTTCTTTTTCTTTCAAACACTCCGAACTATAGTTCTTTATGACAATATTGTTTGTCGTTCGTGAGTCAACATTTGATGTTGGTTCAATTGGAACATTAACGGCACCAGCTAAGATGGATTTGCTTCTCATTTCATATAGAATAAAAACCTTTTATATGTATGAAATGAACAATATACTCGACAAGGGTTTGAATGTAAAGCTAACGAATGAAAATATTGTTGAATTCACTGAGACAGGAGCTGTGTATAAAGATGTAGAACTACTGAACAAAAGAGCTAAGGGAAGAAGCAGGAACATGAACAAAGGGTGGAAGCCTATAAAAATTTATGTCAATGATGGCTCGGGAGGTTCAAACATAAAGTATGCAGAAAGTTATAGAGTTTATGCTCTCAAAGGTGAAAAGCCTTCATTTAAGAACAGCTATTCTAACGCATATCCTCAAAAGCTAACGGATGGGGAAGTGGATGATATGAATGACAGCAAAAATATTAACAGAAATGGCGACAGAGATGCATGGAATTTGTTTACCATCAGTCAATTGAAGGTTAAACTTTAAAACAATGTTGGTCGTTCCCATGGAATATTTTTGACTTTAATGGTATTAGTCATGATATGAATCTCAAGGTATGAACGAGGAGAGATGAGAGACTTATATGCTTCCCAAATTTCTTCAAAAGGTAATGTTATACCTGACTGTTTCCAAATGAGTTCAATGTCATAGCGTGAGAAACCTTGAAAGATAACGAAGTCAGTTATGAGACGTTTTATGTTTAAAGCTAAAAACCTCCATGTTTGCATAAGTATTGCTACAGTTAAATGGTAATGTCTGACTTTAGTAATGATGTTAGCTAATGGTGAGTCAGGCTTTGACACTAAACCTTTACCAGCGAAATCATCACAAACTAATAAAGTGTTTGATGGATATTTTTTGAAGGGGTATTTTGAAAGTTTTGACAGAATGTAGTTTGTAAGTCGTTTCATATTGTAAACTCCTGAGTATTGACGTAAGTGGTGTTTGTCAATAATTCTTTCCATCTCCTCAGAAGTCTTTTGCATTCCTGACTGTATGAACTCTACGATGGCATAATATTTCCTCTTACGTCGAATGTAACGTTGAAGAAATTCAATGAGTTCACTGTCTGGAACTTTAACGACAGAGGCTTGAACTTTTGACATAAATGTTTTCGCTGTTGAGTCCATAGAGTCTGAAGTTGCTGATATAATGATTTGGTCATAGTAAGAGTCGTTTCCTAAACGCTCTGTTATGAGTATATGACGAATGAGGTTAAATGTCTTACCTGAACCCATCTTTCCACAATAGAAATACACACCATTTGAACAGAATTCATAATCTTTGCTGAAAGGAAGAATAAGAGAAGAGTTAAGTTTGTCTGTAGTTTCATTCATGTCTTCATCTACATCATGTATTAAATGCTTCATTTTATCTCCATTAAAAATGCAAGTCAGAAATATTCAGAACATAGCACCGAGTCTAACTGACAAGAGTATAAAGATATACTATGAACATGTTATGATGAAACCAACCAAAATTCAAGAAAGTCAGTATACTTATGAATATCCAAGACACTGGTAGAGTATGTAGGAGGTGAGAAAGCTATTGAAATCAGACAGGTTCGAAGTATTCCAGCAGAAGAACAATATTATTGAAGAACTTTAATGTTTTGAGATATAATGATGAAACAAAGAAGCAAGATAGTTTTCCTGTTGCTGTGTATGTGAACTTAGACACAGGAGATGACATGAAAGTTTTTAACACAAAGCTTCAAACGGTAGTGAGAGAACAACTGACTGCGGAAGGGCATCCATTACCTTCAGAAGTTACCATAGCATATAATTTTGAAACAAACTCAATAGATTTTAAAGTCATCTCTGCAAAGAAGTCAGGATTTACATTTAATGAAGCAGATGTATATTCGAATGAAAACTTCAAAGCTATTGCATGGTTAGATAATGACGATTGCTTTAAGAAAATCTTTAAATTCAGTGACTCAAAGATGTCAATAGATGACCTTCGTGGAATGTTACCATCGACGTTTACAGTTGAAGGTTCAGCAGGATTGCTTACAAGTTTTTCAATTGGTGGCATTTGGTCTCGTGAGAACATTGTTATAAAATCCAGTATAAGTGAATTTGCTGAAGAATCTATATTATGTCTTTCAAACTATATGTATTCGCCGCCAAAGCATTATAGTATAACAAACTTTGTCAGTAAGTTTAACATAAGACTTGTCGAACCTTCTTCAATGAAAGATGTTGTGCTACCTAAAGATGGAAAGGATGGACTCATTATTGAAATGATTTTAATTGCATATTAAATGAGTTTGTTCTTGAAGGTCATTCATGATGAAATAACTGTTGTAGAAGATGTTAGCAATTGTTCAGACATTTTGAAGCGTATAGATGATATAAGAAATAAGTTAGATAGACCGCAAAGTGAGGGCGAAGCCCGTGAGAACGCTTATGTTTCATTGACTTTCTCCAGTAACGAGAACTTTTATGAGATAATATTGAAGAGAGATGATTTTAATATGGTGTAAATGGTAGCTTGGGCAGCTTTAGGCGCAATGGGAACAAAAGCATTAGCATTTGGAGCAAAAGCACTTGGAGCTTATGACGCAGTAAATAAAATGAGTGGAGGAAGGGTTTCGAAGACATTAGATGCAAATAAAGGAAAGATTGGAGGCTGGGTTGCAAAGAAGTTAAGATTAAATAAAATAGGGCTCATAAATAAAGCATCCAATTTGGTTGCGACTGAGTCAGAAAATGCTTTAGGAAAGGACGATGAGTTTGCAAAACACGCAAAAGACTTTAATGACCAGATGAAAGGTGAAACAATGCATTTAAATAGATTCGATGGAACTAAAGAAAATGTTTCTTCTCCACCAGTAGTTCTTCCGTATGGTCCCTATGGAATGTATGGAAACCCTTACGAAAGACCATTTGACCCATTGACTGGTGGAAGTAACTGGTATCATTACGGACGAAGAAGAAAGACAGTCAAGTTGGAGACAGACGTGAAGAAAGCAACTAAAAAGAAACCAAGGAAGAGAGTTATAAAGCAATGAATTCAACAGGGTGAAAAAACAGGTGAAAAAAGAGGTGAGATCTCACCACTTCACCTAAATTTATTTTTGTGCTATGTTTTCATACGTGTGAGGGTGGTGATATCATTAATTTTTAAGTTTATTTTTATATAAATGACGAAAACTATTGAGATAACAAACTACAACGGTCATGAGTTCAAGAATTTGTTCTTCGTTCCTCGTGAAAATACATTCTATCAGATACGAGGGAGAAAGGGTAAAGTTAGTTTGAGCGTTTATGAAGGAATGAAGAATGGAAAGTTTATACAAGCATATGATACAAACGGTAAGCGTGTTTCATTAGCTTTGTCAAAACTTACAGGTATAAACTATGACAGTGATTTTGACCTATATGAAGAAGAAAGTGAGTCAGAAGATTATGAGCTGTTATATGAAGCACAGCAATGGGAGGAGTTGCAATACTTTTGTAAGTGAGAACGTTTATTTTTACATTAGTGAAGTCGTTTGTGAAAACATTAGTGAATTCGTTAGTGAAGTCGTTAGTGGCTTTGTAAATATTTAAGGTTAAGTTAGTGTTGTCGTTTGTGTTGTAAAATATACGTTAACGGTTTCGTAAAGTGTCAAATTCACATATAATGGGTAAGGAGGCGCGCAGTGCCGCCGTACCCATGATATGTATACTAACTAACTTACGAATATACAACTGCTGTTTCTTATGGAAACGTAGGTGAGTTTGGAGAAGGTTCTTCAACAACAGTAGATATTGCTTGCGACAGGTTTCATATTATTTCTATTGACAACTCATTCTTATACGTGGAACAAGACATTGAAATAAAACCTTCTGCCAAGTTGTCTGACAAGAAAGGTTGCAATGGAATTTTCTATGTCGGATACCAATATGCTCCAGAAGTTTTCATGGGATATAAGATATATTCTAACTCTGACTTAGTTCAAACAGTAACATGGGCAAACTATGAATGGTTCGCTTTGAGAAACTCAGTACAACCACAAGCTAGAGAACAAACAGACCAATATGCAACTATTGAGAAAATAAGAAGACTTGACCCTAACGTTCCAGGAGTTTATGTTAACCTTTCTGGACAAACTGCAGCAGCAGTAACCAAAGTAAAACTGAAACTTAGAGTTCCTTTGTCATCTTTCCTCATCTTTAGGTTCTTAAGATACTTACCAAACTGGGCAGGAAAAATTTCTATTGAACTTACTCCAAGCAAAAATAACTTAGTCATTGCACCAACACAAGACCCATTCACTATTACAGATACAGCTGGTGGAGCTGCCAGCATACCATTTGGAAAATGGTGCAAAGAGAAAGTTGACTTAGACTTTGGTTTCTCAAACCTCAACACAGAAGTAAACTACTACTTCTCAGGAACAGCAGACAACAATACTGCTTGGGACCCAGTTAAGTTCACATGCAAACAGTTTGAATGCAAGAGGATAGAAAGCAGACTTGCCGTTTATATGTTGGACCCAGATATTTCAAATGCTTTAGCTGCCAAATATATTGCAGTTCCACTTATGTTCCCTATACACCAAATATCTGTCAAAGACTTTGCAGGTGAAGTTGGAAACCAAAATCCAGGAGCCGCAGATGCAAGAACAGATATTGCTTTAACAACTGCAATGAAAACATGCAGATACTATGTTTTTACTGTTCAGACGAACTATAAATGACTATTCTTGTTTCTACAACCCTGGTATTAAATATCATATAAACATAGATGGCAAATATTATCAAGAGAAGAATATTCTACAGTTGAGGATATGAGGTCATACAACTTGACATTAGATGCTATGAACTTTAACAACAACTTCACAACAACCATTAACCCTGAAATGCGAAGTTCTATTATGCCATATGTGAAAGTATGGACTCATACAGGAGGTCAAAAAACTCAATAATACAAATGAGACCGTTCAAAACTTTTTGGCTTGCATTCCATTTGCTGACTCAGAAGACTTTATGGGTGGTATTTCAACTGTTGGTACAGTTCAAATACAATATACTGGTGACAGAGACGGTCCAGATGAATTGAGAGCAAAGAAGTTACAAAACCAATAGCACTTTTCACGGAAGATGCTCTTTTGAAGATTCGTTCGATGAAACCTGCTGGGGCTCCTCAGATTGGCATAACGACAGCTTCCATCGAGCAGATTTTGGCAGCAGGTCAGTAAGTTGTTCTTGAACTGACTTCTCTCCGTCAAATATTGACAGTACGCCAGTTTTGACATAATATTGTAAGATAAACTTACCTTTAGAAATATCTGTAAGTTTTGAAGTTATATTTTTGTCTGCTTCAAGAACTTTCACCATTTCAGTTATACCAACTTTCTTTGCTTTATGAAAATATTTAGGTTCAGCAAAGACTGCTATTCTATAACATTTTCCATTGTTTGTGTAAAGAACTATTCTGTCAATGTATTTGTATTGTTTGTGAGTATAAACTTTGTTCTGCTTCAATTCAATAAGATATCCGAATACGTCCATCTTTTTATTCTAAGTAAAATGTCATTTCCGAAAAATAGAAGCGTAAGTGTTTCAAAAGGTTTAATGGCGGTGGCAGATGTGAAGTTAAATTCACCAACTCAAACAAACAGTCAAAGTGTTGTTGTCAATGTCAAAGACAGAGATGTTGAAGTGGGGAAACCATACGAAGACGAAGATGGTATAACAATTGTTCCCTTAAAAGAACCAACATATCCTGAAGTTAACAGAGACTTAAGTTCTGTTGCAGATATTCGAAACGACTACCAACAACTGAAAGACAAACTTCAAACTCAGGAGAAGATTTGTCAAGCTTTAAGTATAATGTTAAACTTGGTCGAACACAACCCTGTAAAAGTGAACTCATATGTCATTGCACTCATGAAGTTTTGAAAGAACTATTGAAACTTTTGACAGAGGCAGACGAATATAAACATCAAAGAAATAGAACCCGACATTGGTTGCTGTGGTGTTTCATATAATGTCATTGACAAGATATACGTTATGAAAGGAGGTGAAACGTTGAACTTAAAATATAGTTTCCCAGACGTTATAAAAATATTTGACGACCACAACATTTCATTAAAATTTATTTGCTAAGTAAATGGCAGAAGACATAATGGTTATACTATTACGACTAAAAACCCCGAGTCATATAATTCTATAACACAAACTTACAGAGTCCTCAAGGACGATATTGTAAAACTAACCTTAAACACAATGACGACTAAAGCCTGTTTTGCTCTTTTGACACCAGAAGACTTTATTGTTGTGAATGGTAAAAATACTCCTTTGAAGATACTTACTCAGATATACCACCACAGGTTTTGTTGACTTATTTAATACTTTAAGTACGGGTGTAACATGTGCTGCAACTAGAGCAGGTTTCATTATGTTTGGATGTCCGACTGAGTTTACTATTAATGATATGAGCTATAATACAAAACTTATATCTGGTTTTTACTACCAACAGTTTCCTATAACAGGAAAAGGTGTCATACAAGGAATGTCTATTCCATTGACATTAAGCACACCAATCTTATATATTGTTTCAAACTTAGGTTCAAAGTGTTATTCGAATGTCGACAGAAACTATTATGACCAAAAGATACTTATGCGTATAAACAATACTTTCTCTGCTGGTTTGCCTATTGTTCATTCGAATGCAGAATTTTCAACCTTAGTGAACTCAAACACTTTGGCAAGTATAACGTTGACATTAGTTGACGCAAACTTTGTTCCTGTAAAACTTTTATGTCCTATGTATTTGTCAATGACGGTAGAAAGTTTCGAATTGGAAGATGCAACTGGTGAAAGTATTGTATTCCAAGAACAACTTCAACAACAAATAGCTCAAGAACAACAAATGCAACAAATGGAACAACAAAGTCAAGAATAAAAAAATAATATTTTTTTATTCTTATAAAAATGTACAGAATAGACGTTTCAGATTTTTATGACTTCCAATCATTCAGAAATATGTGTCCATTTAGAGACTATAACAAAGCAGTCGAGAATTTGAAACGTTTAGTCATTTATGTTGACTCTGCCCCAGAATGTTATGTCATGAAAGAATGGGATGTTGTCTTTAACAAACCAAGAGCAACAATAGTTTCAGAACAAGAATGTAGACAGAAACTTAAGAAAATAAAAGTCGTACAAGTTGGAATGAAGATGTTAGATGCTTGGGATATCTTATTGTCAAGTTAGAAGATTTTTTCAGTTCGAGGTATAAAGTTCTATACACCTTCTCCAAACTTCTATTCTATCTTCACTGGATATAAATACGAACAAGTAGAATGGAAAGAAAATATTATAGAAGCTTGGTTAGACCATGTCAAAGAAATTATATGCAATGGAAACGAAAAGGTTATGAGTATATCTTATGTTGGTTTGCAAACATCTTACAACATCCAAGTGCTAAGAATGAACTGCTCTCATTATAATTGGAAAACAAGGAACAGGTAAGAACACATTCTTTACAGATATCTTATGCAAACTATTAGAAGGTTATTCGAACCCTAATATGACAAACTTAGAAAACATCTGCGGTAAATTTAACTCTTCAATTGAGAATATGAAACTTATAGTTTGCAATGAACTTCAAAGTATAGATACAACAAAAGTTTTGAACTCAGATGCTTTGAAGAGTCTTATAACAGACAAAGTTGGAGTTGTTGAAAGAAAGTATAAAGACCAAAGAGTTTGTGAAAATGTTGCAAACTTCATTATGGTTTCAAACAATGCTGTTCCGATGAAGTTAGAAAGTTCTGACAGAAGATATGTAGTTGTCAGAACGTCAGATTCTCATATGCAAGATACAGAATATTTTGACGACTTAGCAGAAACTTTGACATCTGACTTTTACAACCACTTGTTCTCATATTTCATGACATTAGATATTTCTAAGTTCAATCCAAGACAAATTCCACATACCGAAGAGAGACAAACATTGTTAGAAGCAAACAAGAGTGTATATGAACTGTTCATAGATGAAACTGACTTTGAGTGTTTAGATGAAAAGTCTTTATATGATGAATATAAACAATATTGTCAAGAGTATGGTTATATGGCAGCTTCTAAACGTACATTCTTGACAAATGTCAAAAGTCTTTTAGACGTACAGAATGGTGTATATACAAAGAAAAATTTTTCTGAGTAAATTTTAAAAAAAATATTTTTTATCCGATAGAAAAGATGACGAAATTCATCTCAGTAAACAAGTACATGTCAGGACTTAAAGAAGAACTAGACCCATTCACATATTTGAATGTTTACTTCTACCATTTTGAAAAGTCTTCATTCAGCAAAGTTTGGAACATCGAACCAGTTAAGTTTGCTATTGTGACTAAAAATGGTGCGAAATTTGAAGACTTAGACATAGAAGGTTTGTTAACAGTCAAAGAAAGTTTTGACAGAAGGTTCTCAAACCTTAAAGAAGGCAAAGCATACAAACTTGTTATACCTTATGAACCAAAGAAGACAGACGACTATGAATATTATGAGTCTAAAGTTGTAGAAGTTCAAGGTAAATTGGGTAAAAAGATTTTAGAGTCTAAGCCAGTGTTTACTCCTAAAGAGGAAGAGAACATTGACATTGACCCAGAAATGTTCTAAAAATAAAATTTTATTTTTACATGTCAAATTTCTTCTTCGGTGGAATTGGCTCTGGTTCTTTCTTCTCTTCTACTTTTTTCTCTTTCTTTTCTTTCTTCTTCTCTGGTGGAGATATGTCAAATTTCTCAGAACCATATCTATGTAAAAGTTCTTTGTCCTTTAATAGCTCATCTATTCTGTTTTCTATTTCATCTTCAAGAACAGCGCATGTGTCTTCTTTGCATTCTAAGAACTTTTGTTGGACTTCATCTTTCCAATCGGCGTCATTTCTGTCAACAAGTCTGTCATTGACAAATTTTAAGACTGCTCTTTGTAATGTTTTATGGTTCTTGTCATATTCCAGAAACAAACTTTAGAACAAATTCACCTTTCTTGTTGACACAATGTAAGATTTTTGGTCGACAGAAGTTTTAGAGTCGAAAAGTTTGTCACGGACATAGATAGCGAAATCGCTAGACATTTTTTAAAGATAAAAATTTTAATTTTTCTAAAATATGTTAGAAAAAAAGTTTGCTGACATTGACAAAAAATTTGAGAATGTTTTAAATAAGAACAAGAGGAAGTTAGAAAATGCTAGATAAAGCCTATACATGACAAGTTCTTATTTGCTCAGAATGGTATAACAGGTCTAATTGCACCACCTGGGTCTGGTAAGACTTTCACTTATCTTAAAATGGCTGCACAACAACAAGAACTAGATGAGAAGAACCCATTCTATGAGTTAGTTGTTATTTGTTCGACTTCTGGTCAATTTGACCAAACCGTCAATTCGTTCAAGAATATTATAAGTCTAAGTTAGTATGTATAAAGGATACTGAGTTGTTAGATTGGATAAAGAAGTACCAAAGAAGAGTTTTGAAGTATAATGCTATAAATGAGTATATAAATTCTAAGTTTAAAGACCCAAATGAGGAAATGCAGAGAATATTAGAGAAGAAACACTTCAGAAACAAACAGAAAGAGATAGAATACATTTCGAAGAAATTGCAATCTTACGATTGGAAGACTTACCCTCATAGATGTCTTCTTATCTTAGATGACTTTGCTTCTCATCCTTTGTTAAAGAATAGAGAACAAGATATGTGTCGAATTCTTAAGAAGCTCAGACACTTTAACATCTCAGTTGTCATTTGTGTACAGACAGCAAAGAGTTTAAGTAAGGATGTTAAAGAATACTTACTGACATAATACTTTTCCCCGGATTGTCCGAAGACGATTTCATGGAACTTATGAAAGAGTCCATGGCAGGTAAGTTTGACAGACATGAACTATGGGAGAAGTACAAAGTCATACAAGACCCTCATACTTCTTTCAGAATTCATATCTACGCAAACAAAGTTCAAATTGTAAAAAGTCAAGCTTGAAAATCTAAGTGTTTTAGTCTTAGTAAGATGGTAGCTTCTTAAAGCATATGCCGTCCTTGAGTTTTTAGGTACGTGAAGAGAAGTACAATGAATTCAATTACGAGTACAATTGCAATGACAACTAAGGCAACTATTTTTGTCTTTTGCCAGCAAGGGTACTTCTTCTCTTCCAATGGTTTGGCAGAACTATACTCACTCATGAGAAATGCCAAAACGGTTTAATAGAAAAAGTGTCATTTTTTTCATGTCCGAAGACTCGAAAGGTGCAACACTTCCAAAATACCGACGAACTCAGAAAAGCAGCATGGCAGTATGTTCTTGACAACTTCTTTGAGTTCTCCAGGTAAGTTAGTATGGTTAACTTGGGTACGGCGGCACTGCGTTCCACCTTACCCAACTTAACCTTAAATATTTACAAAACCATCTGACACATAAACGACTTCACTAACGACTTCACTAACGAATTCACTACCGTCCTCACTAAATAAAAAATAACCTTATTTTTATTTTTTTTAAATTTTTTATTTCATTACAAAGACATGTCTGACTACATTTACTATGACTCTTTCCCAGAACGTTTCCGTGAACTATTCAAAACTCAAGTAAAACTGAGAAACATGCATTTTAACAAAGACAGACCCATTGACGATGAAAGAAACCCTGAATATATTACAATCCTTATAACGCAAAGTTCATGCATACATTCCTTATGGTCGCAGAGGAACGAAAACTATTTCAACAAAGAATAAAAATTATTTCTGGAGCGATGAAGAAAATTGCCTTACTACATAAATGCATACTTAAATAAAGCTACATATTGTACAAAAGAAGGTTGGACTGGATTTGAGCTCTACATATACGACGACGATGGAAACAGACGTTGTGTATACCCATACGATAATATGTACCATTGTTTTCATCAAGCATTAAACGAATACATAGTCAGTAAGGGTCTCATTCCTGTTGAGTAGATATGCTTTTTTTGTTCCCACATTTATATAAAAAATTATGATATCACCACCCTCACACGTATGAAAAATAGCACAAAAAAATTTAGGTGAAGTGGTGAGATCTCACCTCTTTTTCACCTGTTTTTTCACCCTGTTGAATTCATTGCTTTATAACTCTCTTCCTTGGTTTCTTTTTAGTGCTTTCTTCACGTCTGGTCTCCAACTTGACTGTCTTTCTTCTTCGTCCGTAATGATACCAGTTACTTCCACCAGTCAATGGGTCAAATGGTCTTTCGTAAGGGTTTCCATACATTCCATAGGGACCATACGGAAGAACTACTGGTGGAGAAGAAACATTTTCTTTAGTTCCATCGAATCTATTTAAATGCATTGTTTCACCTTTCATCTGGTCATTAAAGTCTTTTGCGTGTTTTGCAAACTCATCGTCCTTTCCTAAAGCATTTTCTGACTCAGTCGCAACCAAATTGGATGCTTTATTTATGAGCCCTATTTTATTTAATCTTAACTTCTTTGCAACCCAGCCTCCAATCTTTCCTTTATTTGCATCTAATGTCTTCGAAACCCTTCCTCCACTCATTTTATTTACTGCGTCATAAGCTCCAATGCTTTTGCTCCAAATGCTAATGCTTTTGTTCCCATTGCGCCTAAAGCTGCCCAAGCTACCATTTACACCATATTAAAATCATCTCTCTTCAATATTATCTCATAAAAGTTCTCGTTACTGGAGAAAGTCAATGAACATAAGCGTTCTCACGGGCTTCGCCCTCACCGCTTTGCGGTCTATCTAACTTATTTCTTATATCATCTATACGCTTCAAAATGTCTGAACAATTGCTAACATCTTCTACAACAGTTATTTCATCATGAATGACCTTCAAAAACAAACTCATTTAATATGCTATTAAAATCATTTCAATAATGAGTCCATCCTTTCCATCTTTAGGTAGCACAACATCTTTCATTGAAGAAGGTTCGACAAGTCTTATGTTAAACTTACTGACAAAGTTTGTTATACTATAATGCTTCGGCGGCGAATACATGTAGTTTGAAAGACATAATATAGATTCTTCAGCAAATTCACTTATACTGGATTTTATAACAATGTTCTCACGAGACCAAATACCACCAATTGACAATCTTGTAAGCAATCCTGCTGAACCTTCTACTGTAAACGTCGATGGTAACATTCCACGAAGGTCATCTATTGACATCGTTGAGTCACTGTATTTAAATATTTTCTTAAAGCAATCGTCATTATCTAACCATGCAATAGCTTTGAAGTTTTCATTCGAATATACATCTGCTTCATTAAATGTAAATCCTGACTTCTTTGCAGAGATGACTTTAAAATCTATTGAGTTTGTTTCAAAATTATATGCTATGGTAACTTCTGAAGGTAATGGATGCCCTTCCGCAGTCAGTTGTTCTCTCACTACCGTTTGAAGCTTTGTATTAAAAACTTTCATGTCATCTCCTGTATCTAAGTTCACATACACAGCAACAGGGAAACTATCTTGCTTCTTTGTTTCATCATTATACCTCAAAACATTAAAGTTCTTCAATAATATTGTTCTTCCTGCTGGAATACTTCGAACCTGTCTGATTTCAATAGCTTTCTCACCTCCTACATACTCTACCCAGTGTCTTGGATATTCATAAGTATACTGACTTTCTTGAATTTTGGTAGGTTTCATCATAACGTGTTCATAGTATATCTTTATACTCTTGTCAGTTAGACTCGGTGCTATGTTCTGAATATTTCTGACTTGCATTTTTAATGGAGATAAAATGAAGCATTTAATACATGACGTAGATGAAGACATGAATGAAACTACAGACAAACTTAACTCTTCTCTTATTCTTCCTTTCAGTAAGGACTATGAATTCTGTTCAAATGGTGTGTATTTCTATTGTGGAAAGATGGGTTCAGGTAAGACATTTAACCTCATTCGTCATATACTCATAACAGAGCGTTTAGGAAACGACTCTTACTATGACCAAATCATTATATCAGCAACTTCAGACTCTATGGACTCAACAGCGAAAACATTTATGTCAAAAGTTCAAGCCTCTGTCGTTAAAGTTCCAGACAGTGAACTCATTGAATTTCTTCAACGTTACATTCGACGTAAGAGGAAATATTATGCCATCGTTGAATTTATACAGTCAGAAATGCAAAAGACTTCAGAAGAGATGGAAAGAATTATTGACAAACACCACTTACGTCAATACTCAGGAGTTTACGATATGAAACGACTTACAAACTACATTCTGTCAAAACTTTCAAAATACCCCTTCAAAAAGTATCCTTCAAACACTTTATTAGTTTGTGACGACTTCGCCGGAAAAGGTTTAGTTTCAAAGCCTGACTCACCATTAGCTAACATCATAACTAAAGTCAGACATTACCATTTAACTGTAGCAATACTTATGCAAACATGGAGGTTTTTAGCTTTAAACATAAAACGTCTCATAACTGACTTCGTTATCTTTCAAGGTTTCTCACGCTATGACATTGAACTCATTTGGAAACAGTCAGGTATAACATTACCTTTTGAAGAAATTTGGGAAGCATATAAGTCTCTCATCTCTCCTCGTTCATACCTTGAGATTCATATCATGACTAATACCATTAAAGTCAAAAATATTCCATGGGAACGACCAACATTGTTTTAAAGTTTAACCTTCAATTGACTGATGGTAAACAAATTCCATGCATCTCTGTCGCCATTTCTGTTAATATTTTTGCTGTCATTCATATCATCCACTTCCCCATCCGTTAGCTTTTGAGGATATGCGTTAGAATAGCTGTTCTTAAATGAAGGCTTTTCACCTTTGAGAGCATAAACTCTATAACTTTCTGCATACTTTATGTTTGAACCTCCTGAGCCATCATTGACATAAATTTTTATAGGCTTCCACCCTTTGTTCATGTTCCTGCTTCTTCCCTTAGCTCTTTTGTTCAGTAGTTCTACATCTTTATACACAGCACCTGTCTCAGTGAATTCAACAATATTTTCATTCGTTAGCTTTACATTCAAACCCTTGTCGAGTATATTGTTCATTTCATACATATAAAAGGTTTTTATTCTATATGAAATGAGAAGCAAATCCATCTTAGCTGGTGCCGTTAATGTTCCAATTGAACCAACATCAAATGTTGACTCACGAACGACAAACAATATTGTCATAAAGAACTATAGTTCAGAGTGTTTGAAAGAAAAAGAACCAGAACTTAAGTCGGGACCTTCGGTCTTGGAGCATGGCGCCGTGAATTTAAACACAGCTTCAAACACTAACGCTACATCAGATGTTAAGTTAGAGTATCCACCATTAGACCAAATTCTTTCAAGAGAAGCCAACGACAATCCTTACACAAATGTTCAAACAAATCCTTCAGATAACGTAGACCATTACCTTCTTCAGTTATACCAAACTATCTTACTCAAAGACGATAAGAAGCTTTTGACAAATCTTATAAGCAAGAACCAAATAATTCTAACAAAGGAGGACCTTGAAAATGTTATATCACGAATAACAGGGAAACAATGTGTCATTGACTATCTCGACCCTGAAATCGAATGCTGTGGCCAAACTCCACTATTCATGAAAATAGGTAACATCCGCATCATTGAAACACCAGGAACTACAGGAGTTGAGTTTAAGTATAAATATTCGAACGAGTATACAAAACTATCTACTGACTATAAGCTTTGTTTGAAATATGTTTTAGTAAATTAAAGCAGTCAGGAGGGCTCTTTGAGCCCATCTTGGCGCTTTGCGCCGTCAGTCAAAAAAATTTCAAGTTAGCAATTTGTAATATCTGTCCAAAACTTCTTCAACAGTATCGAACTCATCTTCATAATGCAAACCTAATCTTATTGACTTGGTGCAGTTTTCACTAACACAATATTTTTCTGTTCTCTTGACTGACATAACTAATTCATTTGTTTCATCAAACAGCAACAACCAAAGTTCATGACCTAATACATAACATTCATACTTTATATTTTTAGCTCTGAGTTCTCTTGTAAGCTGTTGCATTTAATATTTTCTAAAAAGTCAACTTCAACAGTCATTCGCACTGGTGCCTTCAGTACTACAGGCTCTCCTTGAAAGTCAACAAGTCTGAATTGCATGTCTTTCAAATTATGAGGACTAATGCGAACCCATTTACCTAAATGAGTTGCTATGACAGGAACGTTTGGAATGAACATTGAATTGACTGCATAACAGAAGGATTTATATTCTACTGAACCTTTACTATTAACTCCTGAAATGCCTGTGACATTAGCTATTTTAGACTCAATGTATAAACAATTACCATAACATACATATGGAACAGATTTCATCTCAATCGTTTTGTCAACACTTTTCAAAGGAAATGTCATATGGTATGCACCCAAAAGAAGTTGTACTCTATGACTCATTCGTGTTATCTTAAACTCCTTCGCATAACTGAACTTCAAAACTCCTGCAATAAGTTTAACATTCATTAAGTTTTCTTCGTTATCCTTGTTTATTGTAGTATTTATGAGAGCATTTAACACTCCAGCTAATGTTTCCATCTTATATTCTACATTATTGTGAAATCTTATTTCGTGCTTCTTTCCATCTATTTCAATCTCCATGAAATCTGTTTCATCTGTTATAACGAATGAAGCGATAGTATTGAAGTCAACCATTCTGAATGCAAGCGCCTCATTCTGTAGACCTAAGTTTGTTTGTAGCTTTACTGTCCCGTATTCGTTTGGGTCTGTACTTTGCAAATAGAACAACATTTTATTCTCATTAAAATATGAGTATAGCTGCATATGCGTCTGAAGCTGACAGAGCTAAACGTTTATATTTTGGTCAATACTCTCTCACACTTACTGACAAATATATTGTTATCACTGATGGAAATACTGAGAAATACATAACATGGAAGGACTATGAAAAGTTTGACTCTATTTTAACTCCATGTACTATGCCGTTTATAAAGGACGGTGAAATTATTGAAAAAGATAATACAACCGTATATAGGTCTGTTTATGAAGCATTAGAATATATGTTGAATCATAACCCAAAAAGATTTGACCCAAGCACTACACCATGTACTATGCCTTTTATTAAGGACGGTGAAATCATAAGAGTTCCGGATTCAACGGTTTACACAGCTGTTCAAAACAGTTTACAAAACATTTTAGCGAATATCTTTAATTCAGAAACTACAGAAATAAAATTACCGTATATAACAGATGCTAAAGAAATTAAATCAAAAACGACAACATTATTTACGTCACTTAATGATTTAATGACTTATATCATTAATATTCCTGCACCAACTACAGCATTTGATCCAAACTCGACGGTTTGCAGTGTACCTTTCATAAATGACAGTTCAGTAATTGCTTTAAGGGATTCGACAGTAAATGAATCATTAAAGGCGTCATTAATGAAAATCATTGATTTTAACTCATTCACGAATACATATAATTCATTCATTAATGTTTCATATGCTTCTAAAGAAGGTGAGCCAAAAACTATCGATAAAGCGGTGTATGAAATAAAAGCATCAACGACGAAATTGAATTCGTTAACTTTTGACGGTGATAGTTTCGTTAATGACATAACATCGGGGAAAACAATTTTAACGAAAGAATACTTAAAATCTCATGTTAGTGAGTTCGTTGAAATTGAAAAAGACGGTGGAATTAAGTTCGATCCACTGAATTTCATTTTCAGCTTAGCGAATGCGGGTGTTAGTTTCGCTGAATGGACAACTATACAGAGTGAAATAAATGCAATATGGACGTTTTTGGGGTCAAAAGCGGGAATGGGTGAGCTTGTAAATGCTGCAAGAACATTAGGTGAAACAGGAAATTTTGTAGATGGTTTTAAAAGACTTGTTTCAAATGTTTTAACAAACACAAAGAAATTATTTAGATATACCGTACATAACGGACGGATTTTCGAACAGATAGCAACAAACCCTCCGGTTATGGCTGCGTTGATGATGGTTAGAGATATAAAATCACGTAACGACGGGAACGAAGAACATGAACAACAGGATACTGGTCGGGTTATTCGAGACATTAAAAACGTGTATCCTGAAGTTATTGATTTATTTAGAGGAGTTAATGATTCAATTTCAAAACATTCTATAACCCTCGATGAAGAGAATAAATTAACAGATTATATATTCGTCATTATTGCAGAATTAATGAAGAGAATAAATGAAAAAGGAATTGGTGATATCATTAATGTCAGCGATGTAATGATGAAAAGAAATTTTGACTCATTATTTACAAAACCGAAAACAGAATATAGTCTTTATGACGTAATTACCGAATTAATGAAAAAGATTAATGATAATAAGAGTTCTGGCGGAAGAGTTGAATTAGAAGTGAATGATGTTAATGAGAAATTAGCCGAAAAAGCAGACAAAAATGAGCTTTTAGCTCTGAGTGATAAAGTCAAGAACCACGTTCATTATATAACTTCAGACGAACAGATTATAACGGACTACCATGGATATTTAACACGAAGTGATGAAGCGAAGACAAAAAATGTTAATGAAAGAAGATATAAATACATTCGTGCTAAAGGTTATGACATAAGCTGTACTGTACAGTATGATGTAGCTAAAGCACCAGAAGCATTTGGTTATACTGGTGAAATTTATGCCTCTACTTTCAATGTTAACGGTGTATTAGTTGAACCAAGATTTATGTTGAGAGTTAAGACAAAAATAACGTTTGAAGATGCTATTAAAAGTAAAGCTGACAAAGATGAACTTAACGCAACGAACAAAGTTTTGAAATCTCATAAACACAATATCTCTGATATAAATGAACTTCAAGCTACATTAAATAGTAAAGCTGACAAAGAACATACACATAAATCCTTCACTACTGTTAGAGCAGACGACATAATATTGAACTATACCCTTGGTTCAAGTGCACCTTTAGAGAATCCAAGTACAAGCGTAAAAGATACACTAAACAATTTAGATAACAGATGTATGAACATTGAAGGTCATGCCAGAAACTTTGAAGCATATGAACTACCAGCAATGTTAGATAAGAAAGCTGACAAAGAACATACACATAAATCCTTCACTACTGTTAGAGCAGACGACATAATATTGAACTATACCCTTGGTTCAAGTGCACCTTTAGAGAATCCAAGTACAAGCGTAAAAGATACACTAAACAATTTAGATAACAGATGTATGAACATTGAAGGTCATGCCAGAAACTTTGAAGCATATGAACTACCAGCAATGTTAGATAAGAAAGCTGACAAAGAACATACACATAAATCCTTCACTACTGTTAGAGCAGACGACATAATATTGAACTATACCCTTGGTTCAAGTGCACCTTTAGAGAATCCAAGTACAAGCGTAAAAGATACACTAAACAATTTAGATAACAGATGTATGAACATTGAAGGTCATGCCAGAAACTTTGAAGCATATGAACTACCAGCAATGTTAGATAAGAAAGCTGACAAAACTTATGTAGATGAAAATTATGCAAAGAAGTCGGAAGTAAATGCTGCGCTTAATGGAAAAGCCGACAAGAACCATACACATGAAGAATTTCAAACAATCAAGATTAAAGAAATTAAGCATACATTGAAGAAGTAACAAAAACAGGAAGAGACGGTAAACCTTTAGTTGAACAAAATATTTATCCTCCTACTTTTCCTAATGGTTTAATAACAAACAATATAAATATTGTAGATGGCAAAGGATTTATAAATGTTAAGCATGAACTTCAAACAATGAAGACTCAGATTCTTGAAACCATATATCCTATAGGCTCTATTTATACGTCAATGAACTCAACAAATCCAGAAACAGTTTTAGGTTTTGGTACATGGCAGCAGATTGTAGACAAATTCTTATACTGTGCTAACTCTTCAAAGCAAACAGGAGGTTCGAAGAAAATTAAAGAAGCAAACCTTCCACCGCACACTCATACAGGAACTACAAACTTTTCTGGCGACCATAGCCACTCATTAAGAGACCACCCATTATACAACTCAGAGTATGAAGCTGGCAATGATGTTTTATCTCCATCTTATAACAATGCAGCAAAAAAGACTTTTCGACAAACTGAACCAGGAGGAAATCATGTCCATACTTTCACAACAAATCCAACAGGCTCGGGTGCAGATTATATGCCACCATTTGTGACTGTATTTGCATGGTACCGCGTTCAATGAACGCGCTTGAGCCTGCTTTGCGGGCTTACCGTCTTGAATAAAATCTTTAACTTTACATAAATGAGCTTGAAAGAAGTATTCGAACAACATCCATGGAGGTCATTTAAGAAATTCAATGAAGCTGCAAAGAGTTGGGGATTTACTAACAGAGCTGAAGTGAAAAGGTTCTTTGACAAAAATGTTGTACATCAAACAAAAATAAACCCTTACGACTACTTTTTACCAATTTACTCCAACGCTCCTGACGCATACCAATTTGACACTCTCATTCAGAGTAAGAAAGGAGGACATAAACCATTCCTCATCTTCATTAATGTTAACACTCGTAAAGCATATGCATATCCAATGAAAAATAAAGGAACTCGTGAAGTGTTAAGAGTTTTACAAAAGTTTGTAGCAGAACATAGCCCAAGTACTTTAACATCAGACCAAGACAGTGCATATCTCAGCAATGAAATCACAGATTTTCTCATTAAGCATAACATAACTCACTACACTACTGAAGACCATAACCATAACATACTCGGCATCATAAACCGCTTCATAAGAACGCTTAGAGATTTAAATCAAGAGCGAGACTTTACCGAAGAAACAATGAAACATTTTCTCGAAGTATATAATTCCTCAACACATTCTACAACAGGGCATACACCAAATTCAATGACACAACAACAAGAAGAAAAGTATATACAAAAGAAACAAAGCCAAACACAAAATATCAGAAATTCAACACAATTTACCCTCATTCCTGGTACAAAAGTTCGTGTAGTTCTTGACGACAAACCGTTGACAAAGAAACGTTTAAGGTTAAGTAGAAACTATTATATCGTAGACTCTACGCAAGGTAATGGATATCTTATAAAAGCTGCTGACGACTCTATTGCGTTTTATCCTCGACATAAATTAGTCGAAAGTAGTAATGGCAAACTTGCTGAAACCATTGACGAAGCAAAGCGAGGAGTGGTTATTGAAATACTTGGCTATAACATAAACGATGACACTTATAAAGTAAGATATGAAGGAGGTGTTGAAGATGTTATACCATCTAAGAACTTGAGAGAGTCAAAGCCAACACATCTGGGACCATTAGAGCGGGAGTACTGGAAAGACAAAAATATGCCAGAAAGAATAAGAAAATTCTTCTAAACTTTTTCATTAGATGTAAATCAGACAAAAATAATGTTTAGGTGAAGAGGTGAGATTTCACCTCTTTTTTCACCTGTTTTTTCACCCTCGCCGCTAAGCGGCTCAGACCCTTTGGGTCTCGTGAATTTTCATGAATTTCCTTAAGATAGAAAAAATAAAACTAACTTTATTTTTATTTATTTTTTTATTTTGTATGTAAGAACAGTAATGTCAGTCGAAGCAAAAACATTCACGAACAAATCTAATGGCGAAACATTCACAAAAGGCACTTATAACGATATTGAAGTCTTACGTAGAGACAAGGATGGTTACATTAATGCAACAAAGATGGCAAGAGAAGCAGGAAAGTTAAACCATTTAAACAGATTTCTCAATAGTACTAAAATGCAGGAAATTCTTGAGTTTTGGTTGAAAGAATACGGTGGAGCCAAAAGTGGCTCGACCTCAAAACAAGCATTTTATGAGCTTGCTAAGGGCGTTATAAATGAATTCAAAGGTATTTACATACATCCTGACTTCGTTCATTTTGTTGCTGAATGGTGCTCTGTAAAGTATGCATTTTATGTCAAAGATATTATGGACTCCATAGACAAGAAAGTTCATGAGAAATTAGATGAAGAAGAACTCGAAGATACAGTAGAGAATGCTAAACCTTTGTTTGAAGAAGAAGTTGAAAAAATGCGCGAAAAACAATTAGAACATGAACGTGAGATATGTTATGGTTATAGAGATTCCCCATATGAACTAGACCAATGGGAACGAGAAGATTTAAAGAGAGAATTTAGAGAATATGAACTCGCTAAGATAGCATTTGAAGCTGCAGAAAAGAAGTTAAAAGTTTGGGGTCCTTTTGTACAAAAATATTGTGAGTAAATGAACTCATTATTTTTGCTGAATTCAGCACAAAATTCTGAGTAAAATGACATATGGCACGTGTCAAACCGTTGAGTTTTCACAAATTTTAAAAATTGCTGCGGAAAGTTCGTCAAAAAGTGAAGGTTCCCGACGGTTTCAAACCGCCATACTTTACATGAAGATAGTTTACAATGTCAACTAAATATCATGTATGATAGAAACGGTTATGTAAGGTTTACATTTTGTAAAGTTTTGTCCTGATTCAAGACAAGTCTTGTATTTTTTCAGAACAAGTCTTGTATTTTTCAAGACAAATCTTGTCCTGATTCAGAACAAGACTTGCACTTTTTAGTCAGTTTTTCTTGTAAAGTTCTCAAATTTGAGAACAATTGTCCTGATTCAAGACAAGTCTTGTATTTTTTCAGAACAAGTCTTGTATTTTTTCAAGACAAATCTTGTCCTGATTCAAGACAAGTCTTGCACTTTTTCAGGAAATCCTATCGTCCAACTTTACAAATGTCACTTTTCAGCATGATTGCATTTTGGTCGGGGGACAACTTTCTCTCAATTTGTCACTTTTCTATCGTCGTGTTTTGTCACTTTTCCCTCGGGGTGTGTGTCAGAAAATATCCAAAATCTTTATAGCCTCATATCTCCTTCAATTCTTGACGGTTTGACATGTATGACACACCATTCAATTCAGAATTATGTGCTGAATCTTATGACCTTCATTTGTTCGTGACTTCTTTTCACATATGTAACCATGAATTTTTAACATTTCTTTATCACAGAAAAATAAAGTTAGTTTTATTTTTATTTATTTTTTTATTTTGTATGTAAAGACAGTAATGTCAACATCAGAGAACACAACAACAGTTATAGTCCATGAAGCCATTAATGAAGAATACGAGTACATACAGTATAACAAACAGTTACGTCTCATTCGTTCAGTCAAAGATGACATGTACCAAATGCAAAGTATAATGAATGCTCTTCGTTCTACAAAGCAAGCATATCATTGGTTTGAAAAACCAACAGACAAAAGAACTTTTAGAAGAATTTCCTCATATGATTGCTTCCCTCGGAAAACCGAGAGAAGAGATTCCGTACGAAAATCGCAAGAATTTGGCTCCTGGTTTGAAAGGTTATTATGTTCATAGACTTTTAGTAAACGCTGTAGCAATGTGGGCTTCACCTCGTTATGCTTGTTATATTTTCATGATGTTAGATGAACTATATAAAGCAGAACGTGGAGAGATGGAAAAGAAACTTCAAGCAAAAGATGAAGTCATTGAATCCAAAGACAAAAGCATACAGAAAAGAATACCGCGTTCAGTACCAAAAGGAAAGGAAAAGAGTTATAAGTATATGATATATACTGAAGAGTTGGAGAAAGAAGAAGACAGAGATATGGTTATGTTGCATTTAGTCAGAAGAAACAACAAAAGCTTTTATGACCTTGCTAAGATTTACAAATCTGACAGAAACTGGTTCTATCGTGAAACTTACCGATTTCAATGACACCGAATGAGCAAATAAAGGAAATTGTCAAAAATACTCTTCCTCAAACACACTATGACATCAAAGGTTGCACAATACTTACATTCAAAGAAGAGACTTAACATTACTGAAGGAAAAAATAACAGAATATTTCGATAACTTCAAAGAGGAAGAATAAAAAATCTAAGCTAATTTTATTTTTTTATAAAATTTTATCTCATATGAAAGAACATGAATTTAGAATATTCGGAACTCATGACAGAAGAAGAGAACGAACAACATGTAAAAGATTATGCAAAATTTCTGAAGACATACAAAGCATTTAAACAATATCTAAATGCTTCTAAAGATTATGCAAAATTTCTGAAGGTATATAAAGCTTATGAAAAGCGTATGAAAAGTTTATACATTGGGGAATTGTTGTAAAATATCGATATGAAGACTAACCAAAATATATTTTTGCTTAAATGACGTCAGGGTCAATTTCTTCAACCATTTCACTTCCTTCGTCAATGTCAATAGAAGCTTCTTCAACCTTTGGTAGGAGCTTCTGTATAACATCTTTGTTCGTTATTGTCTTCAGAGATGAAGGATAATATTTCACATTTGTTTCACCTTTCTTATATTCTTTCTGCTGCGATAAATCTAAAACAATACTGAAGAAGTCAATATTAGAGTTCTTTATAACAGTATAATGAGTATCTTTGACATTCACGAAGAAACTCTTTTGTTTCAAAACTACTGCTAACTCTTGTGAAGTATAACGTTTGCGGTCAATGACGATAGCTAATGGTCTGACATACTGACCAAACTTAGATTCTTTTCACAAACTTCTTGTTAAAGATAACATTAACATTTGAAGCATTATTGAACTCATTCTTGATGGCAGTAGCGAGAGCATTGTATGAAAAGAACTTGCAATCTTGCATATGTTTCATTAAAATAAAAATATTAAATTATTTTGAAAAAAACTTTAAAAAATCTAATCTAATTTTTTCAAAAAAATATTTTTTTATTTCCTACTAAAGATGTATCGGAAGTTGTCTAAGTTAGAACACTCGGAAATAAAACAACTTCTTACAGAAGCTAATATAGATGTTGCAAAGCATTACGCAACAAACAAAAAGGCACTCGCTGACATCCTCAATGACTATAATGGTGCAATAAGTTATGATAGAATTCATGAGTTCATAAAGCCGCAACGCGGCGAGGACGAAGTCCATGCAATAGCATTTCCTTTAAATGACGTTGCTATTGACTTATATCATAGACGTTCAGTACCTCATGAAGTAAGAAGAGAAATGTTTGACATAACAAATGCAAACGTTGGTGAAACAAGAAGAAGAGACGACACACTGAAACAACAGAGAAGAGAGATGTTTAAAAGTGCTATAGAACAAGTTCGCAAAGCTAACGATGTCATTCGTTCCATTGACGACAAACCAAAAGAAGGTGAGAGATGGTTAAAGAAAGATGAAGAGAATAGGAAGAGGAATGTTAAGACAGGCAATAGACTCATTGACTTTAACATCGAAGCTTTAGATGAACCAAACAGAGACTACTTACACAAACATTTCGGTAAGATTTTCATGAGACTCTTAGAGAAGATTAAAATAAACTCCCAACAAAGATGGATGGTATGTTATAAACTTGGTGGAAAGTATGAATGTTCTACGTTAAACCTCAATAATATTGGAACATTACTACATCAGCTCTTGAAGGAGAACTTTATATCAGAGATAGAAGCAAATGCTGCAGGTATTGTTGAAATGCACTATGACTTCTTCTTGACAAACATAAAGAATCTTACTGAAATAAAGATGTATGATTTAACAGAATATGAAGGCTTAACGATGTCAGATGTTAAGAAAGGCAAACCAAAAAAGAGACCATATAAAGATGAAAGCACACTGACAAATGACCAGAAAGCCATTTTGGAAGCTCTTAAGCAAACAGGAAACCCAGCACTTATAGAAAGCTTTTGGAAAGATAATGGTGAAAAGAAGTTTTATAAGAAGAGAAGCGGTCAGTTCTGGAAGTATCTTTGCACATTACCTATAAATCTTGAACGCTACCAAATTTTCAATGAATTGAACAAAAGAACTGCAACACTTATGACAGAAGACAATTGTTTCGTTTATGCTTGCATTCAGGCTGGAGTAGATGGAGAGACTATTGACCACATGAGAGAAGTCATTCGTGTTAGAGACTTTCCTCAAAGTAAAGTACAAGAAATTTCTGACGCAACAGGTATAGCATTTAATGTTACCATTGGTTATTTCAATGACTCAAGACATAATGAAATAAAGAGATATATACCAAAAGAATGTGAAACTGTTAGAACTATTGACTTATTCTTGTTGAAGACCACTACATGCTAAACGAAAGATTACCAATGACAACATATTTCATTCGCAACTATATAGAAATTCTCAAAGCTTGTGGTGGAATGAACATTGAGAAACAAATGAAGATTTATACAAAGAGAGAAGATAAATATGTAGTTCGTTATGATAGAACAACACCGTTATGGGATGTTATGAAAACATTGTGGGAGTGCAAATATTTCGAACCTATTTCTTATGGAGAACTTTTCACATATACGACTGACTTATATAAACAGAACCTTGCACCATTTAAAGATTTGACATATGCTCCAAAGTATTGTGTACAACTGAAGAAGAAAGCCGAGTCAAAAGAAGTAAATAAAAATAAGTGCAAGTTCATTCCTGAGCACGTTTTCTTTGCTGACTTTGAGTGTAGTACAGACGGCTTTCATAAAGCTTTTAACATATGTTACGACAGTGAAGATGGTTCAGTGAGTGAAAGCATTTGGGGTCAGAACTGTGCAACAGAATTTTTGGAGCGACTTCCTGACAAGAGTTTAATATATTTCCATAACCTCAGTTATGATATAAACTTCATCTTAAGACACATGACAGAAGTGAAAGGAACTCCCATCATTAAAGGTTCACGAACAATGCAAATAACTGGCTTATATAAAGGAAGGGCAATTATTATAAAAGACTCTTACAGTGTTATAAATAAGAAGCTTAAACTATTTCCTGCTATGTTTAACTTACAAACAGGACCGAAAGAAGTATTTCCATACAACTACTACAGCAGTGTTTTGTTAGCAAATGACAACAGAACTGGTGTCATTTCTGAAGCATGTAAGTTTATCCGGGATGCAGATACATTCATGAAAAACATAGATTCCATCAAAGGTTGCAGAATAGATGAGAACCACTTCGACTTAGAAAAGTATAGCACATTTTATTGCAAACAAGATGTAAGAATTTTAAGAGAAGGTTTTGTTAAGTTCCGCAATGACATATTGAAAGAATTTGATTTAAACGTTTATGATTACGTTAGTATTTGTTCAATTGCTAACAAATTATTTGAGAACAGAGTGTACTTCCCGAATGGAAATTTATATGACCTCTCAAATAAACCAAGAGAATTTATTTCGAGATGCATTCAAGGTGGAAGATGTATGTTGTCAGATAACATTAAACAAAAGAGTAAAGAGAAACTCATTGCTGATTTCGACGCTGTTTCATTATATCCATCAGCTATAGCAAGACTTTATACTTTAGAAGGTATTCCAAAGGTTATGAAGAAAGAAATGTTAAGCACAGAGTATCTCATGAGACATTTATTCGATGACGACCAAAAGGAACCCATTGGTGAAAAGTTTATGTCTGGCTTCTTTGTTCTCATTAAGATAACAGAGATTGGAATACATAGACACTTTCCTTTAATAGTTTTGTGACCCTGAACTAAATCCAGAACTTAACGTTCCCAGAAGTTCAAACACTTGCTGTTTAATGTATGTTGACCATATAACATTACAAGACCTCATAAAATATCAAGGTGTCAAATGTGAAGTGTTGCAAGGATACTATTACGATGGAAACAGAGATATTAGAATAAGAGATGAAGTAAAGAAGTTGTTTGAGTTAAGGTTAAAGTATAAGAAAGAAGGAAATCCTTTGCAAGAAAATATAAAGCTCATTCTGAACAGTATTTATGGCAAAACTATTCTATCTCCTATTGAGTCAAAAATAACCATAGTAAATGACAAAGATGCTATAAGATATGCCATCAGAAACTACAACCATATAGTGAAGTTCGAAGGTTTGGATGGTTCAGATAAAACTATTTTCAAACTAACGAAAAGCATTTGCAGACACTTTAACTTCTGTCCACTTGGTGTTAACATTCTGTCTATGTCGAAGAGAATAATGTGTGAAGTATTCTGTACTGCTGAAGATATGGGTCTTCAAATATTTTACCAGGACTGTGATAGCATGCATATTTTCAATGAAGACATACCAAAGCTTGCAGCAGAGTTTAAGAAGAGATACGGTAGAGAACTTATTGGTAAAACATTAGGTCAGTTCCATTCTGACTTCGCAGAAATAACACCTGGAAAACAAAGTTTAGCATACAAGTCAATATTTTGTGGAAAGAAGACTTACATAGACTTACTCACTAACGATTTAAATGAAGTTGCATTCATGCACGTTGTAAAGGTGTAAAACAAGACGTCCTTGCTTTAACAGCAAATGAAATGTTTCCTGAAGCTATACAATGCTATTACAATGAAGATAAGAACATTCACATACCTGTTGGAACATATGACAAAGACTCTGAGTTCAGTTTAATGAAACTTTACAAAGCACTTCATGATGGTCAAGAGATTGGATTTGACTTATGTAAGTCTGCTAGTCCTTGCTTTGCTGAAAAGTTTAACTTCTCAATAACGACTAAAACAAGCTTTATTCGTAAGTTGAAGTTCTGAGGTCATTTATTTTTGTCAGCAATGAGGTCATGAATGAGGTCATTCGTGATAAAAATAATGAGGTCATATATTTTTGTCATTTATGTATACCCATTGTCTCTCTTAAACTTTGCAATAGACAGCTTTGTTCTTCTTCCTTCTACATCTGTAATGTTTATATAATCTTTGCTATACTGTCTTAAGACATTCATTCGTCTGTATTGAGTTCCCATGAAATAGTAAAAGACATCTTCACTTGGGACATAGTAGTAATTTTCTAGAGTAAATTTAGAGTATTGTATAATTTCAACAGCATCTTCAGGAAGAGTGTCTACAATGTCAAACCAATAGCCATTCGAACCAGAAATATTTCTCATGTTTTGTCTTCTCGACACCCACCTTAAGTTTGAGATATGAAAGTCTCCTCTGTCTCTGTTTATATGGTCTACTTCTCGAAGTCCTTCAGGATTCGGTATAAATTGATTTGCAACAATTTTATGCTTAAAGAGTTTATGTTTGTTTAAATAAACACAAATATAACCATCACCGTTGTCAAACTCACTTACAACTCTTTTGTTACTTATGCGCCTAATTGGATATGGGTACTCTGAAAAGATTTCATAGTCATTGTCATGTTCGAGTGTTTGCCAATGTCCTTCACCTTCCATGCCTTTCACTCAAATAAAAATTTTCAGAAAAAATAAAACTAGCGTAGATTTTACAATACTGCGATGGTAGAGTTTAAGAGTTGTGCTTCAATGTAGAGACAGTCCTTATGGTCTGGAGGTAAGAACACTGGGCAGTTATGGTCATGAGTGGAGAACATGTCTATCCAAAACTCACGATTGAAGCCAGTTAATTTATAGTATTTAGGGTTAGGAAGTGGTGAAGTTCTTGTATGACCAATGAACTCATTTTCAACTCCCTTACTTAAGTTTGAATATAATATAGCTTGCTTTCTATCCCAAATGCCAGGTGTTACAATCTTTGAAAATTCATTTTTCCTCGGAAGCATTGCATCATAATTGAAAACATTCTTGAAATCATCACTTGGTTCAGAGATTTGAAATCTTATACGTAATGGATTTTCTTTCTCTTTAGCGACTTCATTGAATGGTGAGAATACAAACTGACAGTCATGAGTTTCCATCTTCATTTTCATTAAATTCATAATGAAAGTCTATAAGTTGTGGCTGACTACCTTCTTCTTTCAGTTGTGCAAGAAACTCACGTAAAGGCTGTAAAGTTTGTACTTCAATGTTGAACTTTTTCTCGAACATCTCATTAAATGAAATCATACATTGTTGCAATGTTGTATCGTCTTTAAAGTATTTGTATATGTGAATGTTTTGGGCGCTTAAAGACTGTTCGTCATTTTCTATCTCGACTTGAAGTATAAAGTCAACCTTTCTGAAAGCACGTGTTATATACATAGATGTTATGCCAATGTACTTCTCTTCATTTATGTTCACAATCCAGTCTGTTGGAAACTTAAACGTTACTCTGTTCCCCTTTATTTTGACGTCAGGGTTTTCACTACTGAACGCAACAGATAAAGGTATTTGTCTATACATTTAATTCGGATAAAAATAAACCATTTACTCTTTCTTTGCTTCAGCTTCTTTAGCTTTTGCTTCAGCTTCTTCTCTAGCTTTCTTCGCCAGTAGTCTTGGGTTCTTTTGTCTTCCAGCAGCTAATGCAGCAAGTTGTTTTTCACTAAGTTTTCTCTTTGGTCTCTCTGGCTTTTGTTCTTGTTTTTGTTCCTTCAGTTCGGATAAAATTTGCTCACGAATTTCTTTCTTCAATGCTTCAACATCTATGACCCCTTGGGTCTTGTCCGTAGGGCTTGTCTGAGTCATTTGACTGCAGATAAAAAACAAAATTAAAACTTTAACCGATGTAAAATGAGCTTGTCAAAATCAGAGCGAGAGTCTATTATATTAAATGACGCAAGAGGAATACAACATCCTTTCTATTACGTAAGTCAGAGTAAAGATGGTAAAATATACGTAAGAAAAAGAAAGGTTCCATTAGCGAATGCAGAAAGCGACAACATTAAGGTGTATGGCAAGGGTGAAGTCCACGAAGCCCATATAAAACCTTCTATTCAAACTGAAAAGTCAATAGAACCAGAAGAAAAGAAGCCAGATGTACTTTCAATAACGAACCAAGAGCTTATTGCAAAGTTCGTGAATTTCATTGAAAAACAAACCGAGTCAAAGAACCTGACCCGCCAGTGAAAGAAGTTGAGACAAAAGAGAATGTACAGTTCATTGAAAATGTCAAGAAACAACTTCCACCACGAATGCCAAGAAGAAGAGTGAGAATAATGAAGTAAATAGATATTTTTATCTGAAGTAAATACATGCAGAACGAACAGCTAAACGAATTTACTCCAGCAGAGCATATTCATCAGATTCGCTCATATTTCGATATCATAGACAATGCAGTTCAAATTGGTGACACTAATAGAAAATATTCTGACGCAAAGATTCCATCACAACCTGGAACTGCTAAAGATAACACATGGGTAACATTCAATCTCTCACCTCCTGGTGAAAATATGTTGGACCTTTACAATACATTCATTACGTATAAAATGGAAGGTCAATTTATTGTAGATAAAGAAATTGGTTCAGGTTCCAATAAAACAAACCCACCAGGATTTTGGATTGGTTTCGATGACGCTTTCTATGCAGTTGCTGGATATCAAATCCTTGCAAATGGTCGTATCGTATATTCTCAAGACAACGCAAGAGAAGAAGCATATATAACTTCAAACTCACAAACTACCGAACAAATAAAGAAAGTAGATGTTTTCTCAAAGACTCGACATGAAGATGTATGGAGTCATTCGGGAACATGCAGAACAGGACAAATTGTTAGTGGTCCAATTACAGCAGGAAAATCATTTGATTTTAAGCTTCGTTTAAGAATTCCTGTTAGAAGATTCCTTCCATTAGAAGCTATTCGATTTATTCCAGCTTTTGCAGGAAACATTCAGCTTAAAGTAAAGTTCAGTAGCGACGCCTTACAATGCACATCTATATCTGTAAATGATATCATTGCTTTCAATCCAACTCTTAAAGTTGCATTTGCTTCAGATTCAAATCCACCGACAAATAAATTTGTTCCATGGAATGAACCATTCACTATGATAACGAAGGCAGTAGAAGCTAGTGGAACAGTTACTATTACAACTGTAACCCAGCAACTATTTCGAACAAAGATGGATTTTAATGAATGTTTCATTCATCCAAAGTCATTCTCTTTAGACCCTAACATTTATACAGAACTTGTAGAACATTATACAAACGAGGCTTTATGTTTTCCTGTTAAAGTTATGGATTGGATTCCTATGGACGGTTCATTCTCAAAGAATACAGATAGTTCAAGTGCAACATTTACAGCAGCTTATACGCCTATTAATGTTAAAAGTATTTGGGCACTATTTAGAAAGAAAGACAACTATTATGTTAATTTTGAGAACCCTAAGTTTAAATATCTTCAGCTTTCCATGGGAGCTTATGGAAATATGCCTGCAGAACCTGAAAATCATATGGACCTGTATTTTATGAAATGGTTGCGAACGCCTGCAATACAAACAATGATATGATAGGATTTAATGAAGATGTTATGAGGTCATTGGTGGATGATGGTAGTGTGGAACATAAATGGGATAGCTATGACAACACACATTTCTTATGTGGTTTTCCAACAGAAGTGGACTTTTGCTTCCAGCAAGGTCAAACATCTACTGCTCCAATAACATACAAATTGTCTGTTAAAGGACCTATTGAACTAGCAACTGAAAATGTACCAAAGCCACTTATTGGATTTATGAGGGATTGTTGCTTTGCCATTCAGGTGCGTGCTAATGGAATCCCAATAATAAGATTAGATGACTATAACTTAGCTACGGACGACAGTGAGGAATAAAGGATGAACGTTTATTTTTAAAGCTTATAAATGAGTTCTTCATCAAGCTCTCGTGAACCTTCACCATCTATGAAACAAACTTTACCAAACGATTATGGAGCACCTATTGAATATTTCTTACGAGCTGCACAATGGCAAAGAGCAGTCTCACCAAGGTTAGGTGTTCCACCAGCTCCTGTCAAAAATAGCATTTGGTCAAGTCCTTATATAAAATATGGTCTCCCACTAGGTTTGCTAGCTACAGCAGGAGCAGTTATGATGTTGAAAAGAAATAAAGCAAATGTTGTAAATAATACTGAAGTAGCTGAAGTTAAACAAACTCCAACACCTTCGCCAAAACCAACGTCAAAACCAACACCTTCACAAGCAAAACCTTCAATGACTCCTGAACCTATGGAAGTACAAACTCCTGTTCAAAAGTCAACTCCTAAACCGACTCCAACATTTAAACCAGAACCTACTCCTCAAATAAATCGTAAAACTCCTGCGTTTCCTTACTGAAAAAATAACGTTATTTTTATTTAATATTAAAATTTTTATTTGATTGAAATGACAAATAAAGTCACTGAAGCAATGAAACAAAAGTTTTTGGTAGAATACATTAAATCAGGAACTATTCCAGAAGGTTTTTACGTTCATACTATGAAGGATGGTAGAGTTCAGTTTAGAAAGATAAAGCAACCATTAGATAAAGAAGGAATTTTGAGAAAGATTAAACTTCATGAGGACAACATTGCTGAACTTAAGAAGAAGTTAGAAGAGTTATAAAGCAATGAATTCAACAGGGTGAAAAAACAGGTGAAAAAAGAGGTGAGATCTCACCACTTCACCTAAATTTATTTTTGTGCTATGTTTTCATACGTGTGAGGGTGGTGATATCATTAATTTTTAAGTTTATTTTTTATTTACTGAAAATTTTTATTTGGATGTAAATGACAGAACAAAAGCAACTCATTCGAATTCCACAGTATAACAAACATACATTTAAACATTTATTCTTCCTTCCTGAGCATAACATGTTCTTTCAAATACATCCGAGACCAGTTGACTTTTCATTGACTGTGTATAAAGATAGAAATAGTTATATCATTAAACCATACGATGACGAAGGTAAGTTATGTAAATTGTACGTTAAGAAGTTAGAGAAAGTTTATGGCTTCAAGTATGACTACAATAGGGTTAACACTGATGATGAAGATATTGAGGAAAATTTATGAGAACATTAGTGAAGTCGTTAGTGAGAACGATAGTGAGAACGTTTATTTTTTACATTAGTGAGTTCGTTAGTGAAGTGAAGTGGGTGGCTTTGTAAAGTGTCAAATTCACAAGTATTGGGTAAGGTGGAACGCAGTGCCGCCGTACCCAAGTTAACCATACTAACTAGGTACACCTTGGAAAATGCTGAAGAACTCCGACACAGAGAATTTGGAGAAATTGCACTCCAATACTACCTTGACAAACAAAGGGTAAATTAAGACTAAAAACTTAACGTTTAAAAAGTGACATTTTTATGAGCTCCGAGTCACCGAGAAAACTTGGTCAGATGTTAGCAGCTTACTTCCCTGAGGAGGATGGAAGCGTTACATACATCAGGTTCAAAAACAACGAACCTGGAATTGCGTACCAAATTCGCAATTACATGACCATGGAAGAGTATGAAAGGTTTCTACAAGAGAAACCAGCTCTAAACAACTCAGAAAAGAAAGAGTAAAAGTTTAATTCGTAATTGTTTATTTTTTACTTGTAAGGGCATGCTGCAAGTATGAAGTCGACTATCTCCGTCTTTGTTTTGACGAGCTGGACGGCTCTTGCGAGTACGTCTGTTTTGCGGTCTCCAGCTGGTTCTGACCTTCGTAATTGCGCATGTTCTTGAGAGCTCCAACTGTAAATGGTTGTAGGATGAAGAGTCTCTCAGACTGCTTGAGGTAGTCTTCACGGTCACGAGCCGAATCTGTGGTACGAGTCGAATCGGTCGATTTGAGGGAAGAGACTGAAAGCCTGTCCTCTTCCATTGGAGCTGTAGCATACTCTTTGCGTAAGCGGTTCAGACCTTCTTCGAAGTCTTGGTCTCTCTTCGATTGAGATTGGAATTGTGGGGCAGGGTTTTGCATAAACATCCAAGGGTTGGGGAAGTAAGGCATAGGCTGAGGAGGGTAGTTCGGGAAGCCTTGTGGTGGGTAGTAACCTTGAGGTGGAAATTGGTAGTAATTCGGAGGTACTTGCTGGAACTGAGGTTGCTGAGGAGACTGTTGTGGTTCTGCAGCTTTCGGTTCTTCTGGCTTTGGAAGGCATTCAGGAAGAGGAACGTCAGTCATCCGTTTGTGTCCTGTCGGAAGGAAAAATTTTTCCTGTCGGAAGGAAGAACTTTTTCTGAATAATAATTATTTAATGAATTTAAATATTATAAAAGGGCTCATGGAGCCCTTCTTTTTTTGCCCAAATTTCTTGAGCTTTTTTATTTTTAATTTTAAAAGATAGAAATATTTTACAAGCTTATAAAAATTTCAAAACTTGGCTTGGGTCATCTATTATATTTTCTGTGTACTTGGAGAGCATTTCTCTTGATCCAGTCCCACATAGGACCCCAACCTTTAGAGTGTCCTCACTAAAAACCATATCAACCCTTGAGTCCCCAACAATAATTATTTCTTGGTCTTCTAGCGAATATTTCTTTTTAAAAACTTCAAGGCTCTCCTTGTCGGGCTTCTTCTTATAAATATCTGCAGCTGCATAAAAATCTATAAAGGAGTCAAGCCCCAAATAGTCCATAGAATACTTGGCCTGCCTGTAATTATCCGATGTGAAAATTCCTATGAGAATCTCCCTATTTCTTAAGGCTTCAAAAAGACTCCTTAGATCACAGGTCTCCCTAATAAATTTATTATTTTTCTTTAAATAGTTTAATAGATGGTCGTCAAGTTCCCTGTAAATATCATCTAGGTCCTCATCAAGATACTTGGAAAAAATTATTGCCAGGTCCATAGCAGTTTCTGAAGATAAAATTGAATTTTCTTCTACTTTGCCATCTTCCCTTATGCCAATTTCTTTGAAAAGTTTTCTCTTCTTATTGCCATCTAAAATTTTATTTTCTAAAAATCCTACAATGGAATCAATCCAGCCTTCTGTAAACTGGAGGAGGGTTCCATCCTTGTCAAATAATACTGCCCTTATCATCTCTATTCCTTTCCAATTATTATAAGTAAATTATAGCTTAAATTTAGCTAAAAGAAAAAGCCCTGACAAGCAGGGCAAAATTTTATTTATTTTCAAACCATTCCTTCATAGTCCTCATTACTTTTCTAAGTTCATCTTCGCTAATTACATAGGGAACCATAGAGTAAATGTATTTCACAAAGGGTCTTGCAAAGACTCCCCTTTCGTAGGCGAACTCTTGGAAGCCTTCTATGACCTTGCCATCCTTTACTTCAATGCAGACGCAGGCTCCCATGATCCTAACTTCTTCAATCTTGTCATGAGTGAAGCCTTCCATCTCTTCTCTTTCAATTTCTTCAATCCTCTTTATCTTTCCCATGAAGTCCTCTTCTTGGAATATTTCAAGACACCTTGATGCCACTGTGCAGGCTAGGGGATTTCCCATAAATGTTGGTCCATGCATGAGGGCATGCCTTGGGTTATCATCGTAAAAGGCATCGAATACCTTCTTGTTTGTAACTGTGGCAGCATGACCCAGGTAACCTCCTGTAAGGGCCTTTCCCAAACATATTATGTCTGGTAGGACTAGGTCTGCCACAAATCTGTTACCAGTCCTTCCAAAGCCTGTTGCGACTTCGTCAAAGATAAGTAGGACATTGTGCTTATCGCAAAGTTCCCTTGCTCTTTCTAAAAAAGAAATGTCATACATCCTCATTCCACCAGCACCTTGTAAAAGTGGCTCAACTATAAAGGAGTTTAGCTTGTCGCCATATTTTTCAAAGGCATCTTCAAGTGCTTGGATTTCAGTTGGAATATTTACAACATACTTGCTCTTGCCATAGGCTTCTAGGACAAAATGGTAGTCTTCATCGTCACCAACTTCCATAGTCTTGAAGGTGTCCCCATGGTAGGCATGAGTCAAGGCAAGTATCATGGTCCTGCCTCCTTCTCCCTTGTTCATGTAGTATTGAAGGGCCATCTTTAGGGCAACTTCCACTGCCACAGATCCCGAGTCAGAGAAGAAGGGATAGTCCAAGTCCCCTGGCAAAAAGTCCTTTAATTGGTTGGAAAGTCTTTCTACTGGCTCGTGAGTTAGCCCTCCCAACATGACATGAGAAAACTTCTTCACTTGGCCTATAAGAGCTTCATTTATTTTTTCATTTTTGTAGCCGTATATTGTAGACCACCAAGATGAAACTGAGTCAATCATTTTGTTGTCCTCAGTGTAAAGGTAAACCCCCTTAGCATCTACAACCTTATAGGGGGGCTTCATATTCTTTAACTGTTCGTATGGATACCAAATCATTTTATATAGTAGCTCCTATTCATAAATCTCTCTTAGTTTATCAATATCTATATCCAAGTCCTTGTCGCCCTTCTTTACACAGGCTAGGACTTTGAGGCCCGACATATGCTTGCACATTTTTATGTTGTCCTCTTGCAGCACATCTCCCGGAGTAAAATTGTTAAAAATTATTCCCTTGACCTTCATTCCCTTTTCCTTCATGTAAAAGGCTGTCAAGACAAGATTGTTTATAGTTCCAAGGCCTGCATCGGCAACAATGATAGAAGAAAGCTTTGCCTTCTTTACAAAATCCTCTAAATAAATTTCTTCATCATCAAACCTTAGTGGACAAAGAATCCCTCCAGAGCCTTCAAGAGTAATGTAGTCGTATTTTTTCTCTAAGTCCCTAAACTTTTCCACTACATAGTCAAGATTCACGGGATTGCCCTCGATTTGAGCTGCCAAGTGAGGAGAGTAGGCCTTGTCATAAACGTAGGGACACATTTCATTAAGATCTTGGTCTATACCTACTAGTTCTTTTACAAATTTTGCATCACCAGGTATGAGATTTCCATCAGCATCCTTGTCGTTTCCACTCATGGCAGCTTTATAGTATGCAGATTTTTCTCCTGCCTCGTGAAGCTTCTTCACAAGAAGTCCTGCCACATAGGTCTTTCCAATTTCAGTTCCCGTTCCTGTTACAAAAATATTCTTACTCATTTCTTCTCCTTTAATTATATGACTTGTTAATAATTGGAATTAATCTCTTGCCAAGGAAGGCACCTAAGAAGCACAAAACAATGTCCCCTGGGATTGCAAGCAAGAAGCAATAAATTATAATTGCCTTAACTCCAATTGGTGATCCAAGATAAAAATTGCTGATTAAATAGTAATAAATCATGCCAAAGCTATAAACTATGGCAAGGCCAGCAAAATTTGCTTTAAGAAGTCTCTTCATATCAGGTCTCTTATCTTTGTTTGCAATCTTTCCTGTGACATAAGCACCAACTGCAAAGCCTATTATGTAACCAAAGGATGGCTTAAATATATAGGCAAGACCACCGCCTTCAGTAAATACTGGTAGACCCATAAGACCTAATACTATGTAAACAACAACTGCTGTGGCACCAAGTTCTGGTCCCAGCAAAAGCCCCGCCAACATGGTAAATAAAAGTTGTAGGGTAAAGGGTAAGACTGGAATGGGCACCCTAATAAAAGTTTCCACAACAATAAGGGCAACAAAAAGTGAACACATCACTAGGTCTCTCGCTTTTAAACTTTTCACATTAACCTCCAAAAATTTTATTAGTAAATAAATTTACTTTAAATAAGTTATCATTTTACTTTTTATTTGTCAACTATATATTTCTTATAGTTAACCTTATCTTTGTGGGCTTATATTTCCTCCTTTGCGCTATAATACAAGTCAAAAGCTAAAAATTTTATTTGCTATTAATTTAAATTTTTATAAAAAAAAGATACCCCTAAGGGTATCTCCTAAAATAAATTTTTAATTATCTCTTCCAAGTTCTGCATCGAAGATATAAAGTCCAGACCAGCTTTCGTTAATTCTTTCAAGTCTTTCGATAAGTCCTCTGAAGTGATCTTCTTCTTCAACTTGTTCATCAACATACCATTGTAGAAGTGAAGTAACTCTGTGGTCATTTTCCTTTACTGAAAGATCGTAAAGATCGTTGATTCTCTTTGTAACTTCTTTTTCGTGTTCTAATGCAGTCTTGAATGTTTCTGTAAATGTACCAAATTCAGTTTCTGGTTTATTAATTCCTTCAAGATCAGGTCTTACATCAATTGCAAATAAGAATTGTCTTAATTTTTCAGCGTGTTCAAGTTCTTCTTCAGCTTGTTTGTCAAAGAAGTGAGCGAAACCGTCCATGCCCTTATCTTTAACATAGTTTGCCATAGAATAATAAATATATCCTGATTCTACTTCAAAATTGTATTGGTCAATTAGTCCTTTTATTAATTTACTTTCCATAACTAAAAACCTCCCAGTTTTTTTATTTTCTTTATAAGCTTATCACTTCTAAATTTATGTTACCCCACAAATATATTTCTAAACAATTTATTTTAAAATTCCTAGATTATCTATAGAAACTTTTATATTATCCTTAAATTTAAACTCAATCTTGTTTATCTCATCTAAATTCAAATTGTTGTTTTTATTTTTAAAGTCTCCTAGTGGGATTATAAGGGTTTGAGGTGCAAACCTCTCATAGTAATCATCTTCAAGACAATCAGCTTTATATAGGCAGGATTTTGTCATTGGTATAAGCTTTTTATAATCACTAAGGCTTAGGGTCGAAGTATTCCCCCAAGTGTCTTGGATTTCTAAGTCAATATCTCCTCCAATATCTTCGAAGTTTAAATTTTCCATATCAAATTGTAAAAATCTGCCCCTTGGAATTTTTTCTGTGAACCTTAAAACGTAATTTGAATTTTTATTTGTATCAATAAAAACCCCTGTCGTCTTTGAATTTTTTTCTCCATATTCGTGACTGTCTTCATAAATTTTTGCCAAGTTAGAAAAGTTTATGATTCCACCAGGGAAAGATGTTGTAGTGATGTCGTAGTCCTCTTCAAAGTCTGCTAGCTTTATGAAATCCGAATCCATATATCGAGTATAGTAATTTGTCGCTGGAAGGTCACTATAATTATAAGGTCCTTCCTTAAAGATTTCCCTGTTGTAGGTTTTGCCAAAGACATTTTCCAAGAAGTTTAGGGTGTAAGCTGAAAGAATTTCTCTTTGCTTCTCACCATCTAATAGTTCCTTCCTGTTTAAGAAAAATCCCTCGCCTGGGTCGGAGTCAAAATCCCCCAAAGTTTATTGAAATTGCCATGGTTGGCATAGCCAACATAGAGTCCAGCCTTAAATTTGTCCTTTTTACCAGAAAAAAATACATTGTCATAGAGGAGCATACCTTCGAAACCATCTACGTCGGCATCATTTGTTCCGCCAATGGTAAAATAATTTACATCTCTTAAAATTAAATCCTTTCCACCTGGTTGATATTGGTTGTAGGTTGGGGCAACAGTAATTATCCCCTTGATGTCAAAGTTATAATTGTGAGTTAGCTTGCCATTATCTGGATGTAGTTTGAGCTCGTTAAAGTTGTAGGCAATTGCTACTGCCTCGCCACCTCTTGAGTGACCCATTAGGGCAATATTGTCCTTGTCGAACCTATTGTAAAGGACACTATACTTTGTCCTATTCCTCTTAAAAATATTTTCCATATTCTCAAGTAGGAGGACCGCCCTTGCATCATTTTCATTCCCAAGTCCAAAGCTCATAAATCCATTTAACATATTCATGTCGACAGATACCACGGCTATCCCCCTCTTGGCTAGGTAATGGCCTAGATAGTCATATCCAAGATAATTTTTTGTTGTGAGCCTGTGGTTGCCATGGACAACAAACAAGACTGGAGCCTTCTTTAAGTCCTTGGGTGCATAGATTCTTCCCTTTACTTCGGTCTTGTTAAGCCCCTTGCCAAAGAACTTGTCCCTGATCTTTTTTGTATTACCAGAATAGGATACAAAGCCCCTTAGGTCTACTGGTTTGGCCTCATAATCAATGACTTCAACCTTATACTTTTCACTTTTGCCTGCAATTTTATTTTTTTCTCCATCAAACTTGTAAATTTCTCCCGAATCAAAACCTGGAAATATCATAAAATAAATTGCAGCACCCAAAATTATTCCACTTGGAAGTAAAAATAAAAGTGCCATTTTCTTCTTGTTCCTTGTAAAGGAAATTAAGGACTTCGAGAATGTCACAAGAACTATGAAGGCTAGGGCAATAAAAATTATTTCAAAATATTCCATGTCAACATAGTAAAGGCACTGGTCATAAAAATACTTCAAACTCCAAAGGAGTATGGTATAGATGGCAAGGTTCTTTGCCCTCACCCTCTTTATAAGTAAAAATCCAATTTTTAAAAGTTTCCAAATAATAAAATAGGCAAAATAAAATAGGACTGATAGACCTAAGAATGCCAAGCTCTTTGGAATATTAAAATCAGATATATAGTAATAAAAAAAGGTGGCAGAAAACAAAGATATTATTGCCACCATTATAAGGACAAAGCCATTGGCCCTGCCAAAATGTCTCTTAAAAAAACTATTTATTTTATTGGATAATTTAACTAAAAAATTATTTATTTTCATATCAAAGGGGATAAGACCTTATCCTATCCCTAATCCCTCTCTAATTCTACTAATTCGCTTTCGTCGTACTCTTCAACATTAATTGATCTTGATCCATCTATAAAGGACCTGTTAAACTCACGAGTCCTCTTGACTTCAGAAAGTTCCATATAGACAGTTTCCTTCTCATCATCAACTTCAAACATAACCTTTACAAGCTCTTGTATTGTATAAGTTGAGACGACTGTACCCTTTCCTCTTTCTGTCTTGACAATTTCCCCAAGTCTTGGCATCCTCTTGTTAATACATTCGTAGCCATCTTGTTCGTATTTTAGGCAGCACATAAGCCTGCCACAAATTCCAGAAATTTTTGTTGGGTTAAGACTTAAATTTTGGTCCTTTGCCATCTTAATTGAAACTGGCGAGAACTCACTTAAGAAAGTTGAACAGCAAGTTGGCCTGCCACAACATCCAAGACCACCAACAAATTTAGCCTCATCACGAACTCCAATTTGTCTAAGTTCTATTCTCGTCTTAAAGATTGCCGCAAGGTCTCTAACAAGGTCCCTAAAGTCAACCCTTCCGTCAGCTGTGAAGTAAAATAATAATTTGGACCTGTCGAAGGTATACTCACAGGATATTAACTTCATGTCAAGTCCATGTTCTTCCACCTTTTGATCGCAGATTATTATTGCTTCCTTGGCCTTATTTCTATTTTCCACATTGATATTCTTATCTTCATCACTTGCAAGACGAAGCACAGGTTTAAGCTCTCCCTTTATGCTTTCCTCTTCCACTTCTTTTAAAAGTTCAACTGCTCCAAACTCAAAACCCCTCACAGTTTCAACAATTACATAATCTCCAATTTTTAAATCTATATCAATGGGATCGAAGTAATAGATTTTTCCGGTTCTCTTGAACCTTACTCCAGCTATTTCTATCATCTAACTCCCCCTAAATCTATTAAAAGCTTTTCTATATTTAAATCAAAATTCACATTTTTTCCCTTGCGTCCCAAGGCATTTATAAGTGCATCATAAGAATTGATTGCCCTATCAATTGAAAGGTCTTGGAGCTTCAAAAGGTCTAACTTGTCTATGTTTACCACTAAATCTTCTCTGCCTGTTTTCATATAAACTAAGTCAAGATACCAAATTATCATGAAGTTTAAAATGTCATTAAAGTCATCCTTCTTGTCCTTTAAAAACTTCATTTCATCAAAGATAAATTCTGTCTTTCTAATAATCCTGTCAATCATATTTATTATATCTTCTCTCTTTGAGAGGAATTCGGGATTTTCAGAATATTTTATGGCAAGACTCACGTCTCCATTGGAAAGCCTAGAGAAGAGTTTGGCATTTCTAGGAGAAAGCTTCCTTGAAAGCAAAAATTCTTCAAGCCTATCTTGTGTAAGGTCTTGAAATTTCAAAATCCTACATCTCGAAATAATTGTTGGAAGAATATTTCTCATATTGCTTGAAATTAAAATTAATATCAAGTAGTCCATGGGCTCTTCCAAAGTTTTTAAAAGGGCATTCTGTCCCTCATCTGTAACCTGATCAAAGTCATCAATAATAACAATCTTGTGGCTTCCAGAAAAGGGCTTTGAAAATGAGTTTTCGATTATCTCTTCTATATCTTGTTTTTTTATTGCGTCTTTTTTTTGCACCACAAAAAGGTCTGCATCTTCGAAGTCATCAATCCCACTAAAAAATCTTATCCCTTCAGGGGCTTCCCTTAGTATTGCCCTGGCAAAATTTTTGGCATGAGAAAATTTACCTATGCCCTTGCTACCAGAAAAGAGATAGGCATGGCTATAGGACTTGTTGATGAGGTCTCCCTCTAGGCTATTTATTACGGATTTATTTTCTAAAAACATTAAATTCTCTTTGATTCTTCCAAATCAACTACAAAAATTGTAGCACCAGAAACCTTGAAGTCTCCTTCTTCCATATGGACATCTTCAGCTTCTGTTTCTTCTTTAAAGATTTCATAAATCTTGTCGATTTCACTTTCCTTGCAACCTAACAGAAGGGTTGTGTTGCCAGCTTTAAAAAATCCCCCAGTTGAAGAAAGCCTTGTTACATAAATATCTTCATCTAAAAATCTATCTATAAGTGCATCAGTATATTTTTCTTGCACTATTGCAATCATCATTTTCATATTATCACCTAAAACCTTTTGAAATCCACTACATTAGTTACAAAAATTGTCGCTCCTCCAACCTTAACTGTGATTGGAACTGGGATCATAGCTTGACCAGGAATATTTACTGGTTGGATAGTCCTCTTTACTTCTCTTGTCTTGGAGTTCTCTTCAAGGATGCTCATAAACTTGTCAAGCCCTTCATCTTCTATCCCTGAAAGGATAGTGACATTTCCAGCCTTTAAAAATCCACCAGTGGAACTAATTTTTGTAACCTTAAAATTATTTTCATTGAGATTTCTTATTAGATTTTCGCTGTCCTCATCTTGGACAATTGCGATTATAAGTTTCACAAAATCTTCCTTTCTTTAAGAATCTTCATACAGTCGCCGAAGACTTCTTCAATAGTCTGATTTACATCTATAAAATAATAATTTCCTTCTTTCTCTAAATCGTTGTAGTAGTCCCTGACCTTCTTATGGAAGTCATCTCCCTCACATTCTAACCTGTCGTAGCATGCTTGATCCTTCCTTGTCAAAGTAGAATTATTAGTCCTAAATATAAAGACAATGTCTGGATTTTTGCCACCAGTTGCAAAGTCATTTATTGCCCTAATATCTTCTAACTTTTGTCCTCTTGCATGGCCTTGATAGGCAAGGGATGATAGGACATACCTTTCACAAAGCACAGTAATCCCATCCTCTAGGGCAGGAATAATTTTTTCATAAGTATGTTGGGCTCTTGAAGCAGAATAAAGTAGGGCTTCTGTCCTCATGTCCATTTCATTTAAGTCCTTATCTAGGATTATGTCCCTAATTTTTTCTGAAATCCTAGTTCCACCTGGCTCCCTAGTCTTTATAGTTTCTATATTATTTTTTATTAGTTCATCATACACTAAGTTGCAAATTGTAGACTTGCCAGATCCGTCTGGACCCTCAAATGTTATAAAAACACTCATTTAACTACCTCAATCTCTTCTTCTAAAAGTCCAATGACTTCTATTCTTTCTTCTAAAAATTCATCTATTTTATTAATTATTTCGTCACTTATAACTTCACCAAAGGACACCAACAAGAGCTGACAATTTCCCGTCAAAAATACTTTGCAAGATTCCAACAAGTATTGCATTGACTATAAGAATTAATAGAATAGATCCATAACTGTACTTTCTCAAAAAATCATCCCCTTAGATTTTTTATAAAAATATTTTATCACAGTTCATTTTGATTTTGTAATTTCTCTACCAACTCGAATAAATTGTTAAACTAAAAAAATATTGATATCGATTTCATTTTATTGTACAATTAACTTCCAGCTAAATAATAAGGAGGTGAATTATGTTTTTTAAAAAAAGAAGCTATAATAGAAAAAATTGAAAAATCCATAAAAAAGAGTGAGATATTTATTGGAGAGGGCGAGCTAGCAACTTACATACCAGAACTCGCCAATGTTGAGCCAAATGGATTTGCCTTATCCATTGTAACTACAACAGGAGATGTTTACAACTTCGGTGATGTGGATACTGTTTTCTCTATGCAATCTATTTCAAAGGTTATATCACTTATAATGGCTTTAAAAGATAACACTATACAAGATGTATTTGAAAAAGTTGGAACTGAACCAACTAAATACAAGTTTAATTCTCTAATACCAATAGATGACAAGCCATCTAATCCATTAATAAACGCTGGTGCCATTACAACAGCATCGTTAATAGTGGGTAAGGACGTGGACGAAAAATTCCAAAGAGTTCTTAATATGGTAAAAAAATTATCAAATAGCGACAAGATAAGCTTCCTAAAAGAGGTCTATACTTCTGAAATGGAAACTACTGATGTCAATAAGTCAATTGCCTACTACCTAAGGAGCAAGAAAATTTTCTCATTAAATGCTGATGAAGTATTGGACTTATATATAAGAAATTGTTCCATAGGAATTAATGCAACTGAATTAGCTAATGGTGGTTCGGTTCTAGCTAATGGTGGTTCTGATCTTGTGACAGGCGATGAAATGGTTTCAAAAGAAGCAGTTAAAATTGTCCTTGCACAAATGGCATCCTGCGGTATGTATGAAGAGAGTGGCGAATTTCTTCTAAACGTGGGAATTCCATCAAAGAGTGGCGTCAGCGGAGCTATACTTGGTATTGTACCTGGTAAATGTGGAATTTGCACTTATTCTCCAAGACTTGATGAGTCAGGAAACTCAATCCGTGGCAAGAACCTTTTGAAAATCTTGTCAAACGATCTAAATTTAAACATATTTTTATAAGGAGTAATTATGGAAACTATAATTCAAACTATTCACGACATAGGAAATTTACTTGGGCAGAAAATGTATGCTGATGCCTTCTCAATGACCACTGGTCTTTTGAGTGACACTATTTATACATATCTGCTTATACCACTACTACTTGGAATTGGACTTTTCTACACTTTTAAAATCAAGGGTGGTCAAATTAGTTGTATTAATATTCTTAGGAAAGATCTCTGTTGGTGTTTATAATGACTATATGAAACAACTTAAAGAAGGAAAAGATCCTGTATTTAACCCAGGCGATGTAAAAGAACTTAAACCTTACATGGATAAAATCACTGCATGGAATAAAAAATAAAAATCGTAAATTGTAGTGTGTACCCTCTTTACTTGGTAAACCAGTAATGAGGGTATTTTTATATATAAGAAGCTATTACAAAATCCCAGTCTAGTGTATAATAAGAATACGAGATACATAAAGGAGGAAGAAATGAAAAAAATACTTGGCTCTCTAGTGGCAAATGCCTTGTCATTCTACCTGCTAGACCTAATTTTTAAAAATATATACTTTGACAAGGGAAGTGCCTTTGTGTCAATGGCAATAATCTTTTCACTGGTTAACCTTACAATAAAACCAATCCTAAAGGTTTTATCCTTCCCAATTACGCTCTTAAGTCTGGGCCTATTCTCACTTGTTGTTAACGCAGTGGTCCTTAACCTTGCCTTTAGCCTTGTGCCCACAGCCCACATTGGAAGCTTTGGGACAGCCTTCTTAGCATCCATAGTCCTAAGTTTTATAAATAATGCCATAAGAGAATTTATAAGCAATAACTTTAACTAAAAATTTTAAAATAAGCCGCAGGATAAAAAAATCCTGCGACTTATTTATTTAACGATATTTAATTACATCAGTTGCAAGCTCAAGCATTTCAATGGCAAGGTTGAAGTTTTCGCCAAAGAGGTCAAAGACAGCATCTTCAGAAAGGACTCCACAGAGAAGGTCTTCTGGTAACTCGCCCTTGTCATACCTTTCTAGGTCATCAAAATATTCTTGAGAGCTGTAATAATTGCTAAGCTTCATATATTCATCTTGGTGGTCAGCAAATTTTTCAATTGCAGCCCTTAGTTCTTCAATCAAATCATTGTGATCATTTAAAATCTTTTCCATCTCACTAATTCTCTTAACAGGATCCATAACATCCTCCTTTATAAAATAAGAAAAATTCCTTTGCATTTATGATTATAATATAAAATTTTTGTCAGTGGAGAAGATTGCAGAAATTTAACCTAAGCTTAACAAAAATAGCTGACCCATAAAGGAATCAGCTACAAAAATTTATTTTATTAATCTTCCATTAAATACTTTACTACTACTGCTGCCATGGTCTTGGCACATACTATCATAGCATCTTCTCTTATATCAAACTTTGGATGGTGGTGTGGGTAGGGTGCATCTTCTTTTTTTGCTCCAACGTAGTAAAAACAAGATGGTCTTTCCTTTGCATAGTAGGAAAAATCTTCTGATGGTGGTTGTTGCCCTCCATCGGAAACTTCTTTTACTTCCTTTATACTTGCATCCTTAATAGCATTTACTAGAAGATCTGTCATGACTGGGTCGTTGTAGAGGACTGGGTAGTCGCTTTTACATTCTACTTGGACTTCCATACCAAAGGTTTCACCAATTCCCTTAGCAATTCTTTTTATTTCTCTTTCAATTGTTTCTCTAGTATTTTCAGACATAGCCCTGATGTCTCCAACTACTCTAACTGAATCCTTGATTATGTTAAAGCTTCCTGTCCCTTCAAAGGAACCAATTGTGACAACTCCGTTTTCAAAGGGAGACAACCTTCTTGATACAATAGTTTGAACTGCTGTGACAAAGTGTGAAGCTGCAACTATGGAGTCATTTGATAAGTGGGGCATAGATCCGTGACCACCTACCCCCTGGAAATTGATGGCGAACTTTGACCTACCTGTTTGGGTATTGCCCTTGTGGTATTGAACTACTCCATAGTCCATTGATGACATTATGTGGATACCAAAGACATTGTCCACTCCCTCAAGGACTCCTGCTTCAATCATTTGCTTTGCTCCTCCTGGAGGTGTCTCTTCTGCGTGTTGGTGGATAATTACAATCTTACCCCTTAGTCGGTCTTTCTTTTCTAGCAAGATGTCTGCTAATAGCATTAAGTAGCCTGTGTGGGCATCGTGACCACAAGCGTGCATTACTCCTTCATTTTTTGAGGCAAAGGGAAGTCCCGTCTCTTCATGAATTGGAAGGGCGTCAAAGTCTGCCCTAAGTCCAATAGTCTTGCCAGGCTTACCTGTATCAATGACAACCCTAAGTCCATTACCCCCCATATTCTTTGTTACTTCCACGTCCTTGTCCTTGTAGTAGTCGGCGATGTATTTCGCAGTCTCAAACTCTTCGAAGGAAAGCTCTGCGTTTTCGTGAATGTGACGACGGTGGTCTACCATCTCATCTTGTCTCTTATCTATCTCGTCAAAAATCTCTTTAAGTAACATTTTCTCCCCCTCTTTATTTTTTATTTTATTAAATTATACTCCTAAAAATTTGTATTTTAAAGGGACTAGAAAACTAGCCCCCACTTAATTTTATAAATTTTTAAACTTAGTCTGCCTTAAAGAATTCTACTCCTGCTGTGAAGATATCTTCAAGTTCCATATCCCTAATGTTTTTGAAAGTATTCTCTACAAATCTTTCGCTGTGTCCCATCTTACCAAGAATCCTTCCGTCTTCTGACATAAGTGCTTCAACGTTTAATACTGAACCATTTGGCGCATCTTGGTAGCAAATTGCCACTTGTTCCTTGCCCAATATTTCTCTAATAGTTTCTTCACTTGCAATAAATCTTCCACAAATTTCGTACTTGATAATTCCATCTGGAACTTCAACTTCAACTACATCCCCAGCACGGTTGCCAATAAGTTTTGAACCAACTGGTGATTCGTTAGAAATTTTTCCTTCTAGTGGGTCTGCTTCTGCCGAACCAACAATTGTGTACTCGTCTTCTTCCATTGTGTCAAGTTCTCTAACTTTTACACTAGATCCAATGTTAACAACATCTGTATTTAAATCTTTTTCATCTATAATTTTAGCATTACGAACCATCATTTCAAGCTTAGCTATTCTCTCTTCAACTTGTGCTTGTTCGTTTTTAGCTTCGTCATACTCAGAGTTTTCAGAAAGGTCACCATAGCCAAGAGCTACCTTAATTCTTTCAGAAACTTCTTTTCTTCTAACTGTTTTTAAATACTCAATTTCATTTTCAATTTTTTCTAAACCTTCCGGTGTAAAAAATATATTTTTTTCCAAAACTCTCTCTCCCTCAATCATATAAAAAATAAGGCGTCAGCCGCCTTTAACAAAACCTTTTAATCTAAGCCATTATAATTTATAGGTAGCTAAATGTCAAGAAGATTAAGTGAATAGAAGACTTCCATCAACTTTTTTAATTTTATAAAAAAATAAACTCTGCCTAGCTTGAAGAGTTTAAAAATTTAAATTTTATCTCTAAAGTTACTTATTATTTTTAAAATCTCTTCCTTGTCCTTTAAGTTGTTTAGCTTGTTCCTAACTTCTTTAGAGCCCTTCATGCCCTTAAAATATTCTGCATATACCTTTCTCATTTCAAGTATGCCATGCTTCTCTCCCTTGTAAGAAATTTTTCTTTCAAGCTCATCAATCATTAAAAGTAATTTTTCCTTGTCACTTGGCTTATAATAGTCCCCAGTTTTTATAAGTTCTTCGATTTGATTAAAGATGTAGGGATTTCCTATTGCACCACGACCTATTGCTAGTCCATCAACCTTGGAGTAATTTATTTTTTCTATGGCATCTTCTGGGCTGTCAACGTCTCCATTTCCTATGACAGGGATTTTTACATTTTCCTTTACTTCTTTTATGAAGTCCCAGTCAGCCTTGCCTGTGTAGTATTCTTCTCTCGTCCTTCCGTGAACTGTGACAAAGCTTGCTCCTGCCGCCTCAATATTTTTTATGGCCTTCATGGAAGATACTCCACCGATTCCCTTACGGACCTTTGCAGTTACAGGCTTGTTAGAATTTTTTACAACAGACTTTACAATATCGTAGACCAATGATGGGTTACTTAAGAGATGGGAGCCTGAATTATTTTTTACAATCTTTGGTGCAGGGCAGCCCATATTTATATCTACATAAGAAAAGTCGTAATCATTTAAAATTCTTGCAGCTTCACCCATGACATCTGGGTCACTGCCGAAGATTTGGACTGCAACTTTCTTCTCTTTGGGAGATATGTCCAAGAGGTCTATAGTTTTTTTGTTTTCATATACAAGTGCCATGGCCGACACCATTTCAGTTACAGTTATGTCTGCACCCTTTTCAGTAGCCACTTCCCTAAAGGCTATGTCTGTATAGCCTGCCATGGGAGCTAAAATCTTTAACAAAAAATCACTCTCAATCTATTCCTTCAAGTTTGTTGTTCTTTTCATAAATAATTTTTAAACCTTCAAGTGTCAAAAATTTGTTAATAATAAAATTATATTTTGAATCCCTAGTTAGCATTGTTGAAAAGCCACCAGTTGAAATAATATTAGTGTCTTCTTCCTTCCAGTTTAATTCTTTCAATAGCTTTGCAACAATCCCATCAATCATTTCAGTGTAGCCGTAGTAAAGTCCCGCTTGCATTGCACCAACTGTGTCAGCTTGAATAACTTTTTTGGCGCAATTATTTTTATCTTAGGAAGCTTTGAAGTCATCATGAAAAGAGCTTCAGCAGAAATTCCAATCCCTGGCATGATAAGCCCCCCAAGATAATTTCTTTCTTTATCTACAACACAAAAAGTCATGGCAGTTCCAATGTCAACTATAATTGATTGCTCGCCATAAAGTTCTATAGCTCCAACGGCATTGACAATTCTATCTGCTCCAACTTGCCTTGGATTATCGTATTTAATGTTAAGTCCAAGTTCAAGGTCTGTGCTTACAACCATTGGACTCTTGTTAAAATATTTTATAATCATAGAAGGAAGTGTGTGCATAAGGTTTGGCACAACCGAAGAAATAATGACGTCTTCAATATCTTGTGGATCTATGTTGGCATGAAGAAGAGTATTTATAAAGATAAGACCATACTCGTCAGATGTCCTAGTCTTCACAGTGGAAGTCCTAAAATCATTGACAAGCTCACTTCCCTTAAAGACACCCCAAGTTATGGAAGTATTTCCTACATCTATTACTAATAACACTTTTACACCTCTATTTAACAAATTGTATTCATTATATATTTTAAGACAAACACTTTCAACTAATTTATTTTCTTTAGATTGATAAATTAAGTCTTCAAATAAATAATTAGGTTAACCTTATTGACACTTAGGTAAACATTGTGTAAGATATCTCTGGAGGTTAAAAATGAAAATAAAAACAAAAGACATAACAAAGATCGCACTTTTAGTAGCACTTATAGCAGTGGGAGCTTTTATTTCTATTCCAATTGGACCTGTTCCCTTTACACTACAAAACTTTTTTGTATTTATGGCTGGACTTTTACTTACACCTTTTTACGCAGGACTTACAGTTTTTATTTACGTCCTACTTGGGCTAATTGGTGTGCCAATTTTTGCAGGCTTAACTGGAGGCTTTCAATCTGTATTGAAACCAAGCTTTGGTTTCTTAATTGCTTTTATAATCGGAGCAGCATTTATATCTAAGTTTGCTCACGGCGAAAAAAACTTTGGAAAAATTATGGTGGTCTTAGTTCTTGCAGAAGTTATCTTCTATGTAATCGGACTTCCATATATGGACTACATCTTAAATGTTGTCATGGGTAAAGGCATGGACATTTCAAAAGTTTTTTCTGTTGGAATGATTCCTTTCATTATACCTGACATTGTAAAGGCTATAGTAGCAGCTATCATTGCCCCAAGAATTTTAAAGGCAATCAAATAATTTAGTTCATAATTAATAGAATAATCTCGAAAGAACCTCGCTTCGCAGCGAGGTTTTTTTTCATTTATATTTATAGTTATATGCTAAGAATTCTGATATAATAACAAAATAGGAGGTTGTTATGAAAGACAATAGAAACAATAAACCTCGTGGAATGATAAAACTTTCAAGCGTAATAAAAATACTTTTCTTAATTGTTGTGGCCGCAATTATTATTTTAGGCTCACTTGTCACATCAATTGTGTTAGGTATTTTTAAAAAAGCTCCTGTAATAGATCCATCAGAATATAGGTCACAACTTTCTGAAACTTCTAGGATCTATTCAAGTGATGGAAAGCTAATTGAATCACTTGTCTCTGATCAGTTTAGTGAATTCGTTCCCTACGAGGACATACCTAAGAACTTAGTAAATGCAATAGTGGCAATAGAAGACGAAAGGTTTTTTGAACATAGTGGCGTTGACTACAAGAGAGTCGCTGGTGCTATAGTTCATGACTTGAAAACTAGGTCTTTTGAACAAGGTGCATCAACTATAACTATGCAACTTGCCAAAAACTTATACACTTCCTTCTCAAAAAGTGTAGTGAGAAAAATAACTGATGTTTACTATTCTTATCAAATAGAAGAAAAACTTTCTAAGGAACAAATCCTTGAAGCTTACTTAAACTCTGCAGGCTTCTCCAAGGGAACTGTGGGAGTCCAAACTGCTGCAAAAACTTTCTTTAATAAAGACGTTTCAGAGCTTGACCTTGCTGAGTGTGCCCTTATAGCTGGTGTAACAAACCTTCCAGAAAAGTACACTCCTTACAACACAAAAGAGATAGAAGACTCAGACGACTTAGGAAACATTGAAGTTGTTCTTCTTCCAAAAAATGAAAACTCTGAGCCAAACTCTGACAGGATTATAAAAATTGCCAAGAACTTAAACGAACTTGGACAAGTTGATAACTTTGATTTAATTCAAATTCAAAACGATATGCTAGTTCCTGTTAAGGCTGTCTTTAATGAAACTTCACGAGAAAGACAAAGACTTGTATTAAAGAGAATGCTTGCTCAAGGACTAATTACTAAAGAAGATCACGACAAGGCTTTAAACGAAAAAATTGAAATCAACATTGGCTCTCGTAAGGAAAGTGGAATTTCTTCTTTCTATACAGATGTTGTTCAAAAGAATGCTATAAAAATTTTAAAAGAATCTGGATATACAAAAGAAGAAGCTACAAACAAACTCTTTAATGGAGGTCTAAAGATTTATACTCCAATGGATATAAATATGCAAAGAACTCTTGAAGAAGTTGTTTCCAATCCAAAATATTATTATGGCGGCTTCACAGACAAGAATGGAATCATCCAACCACAGGTTGCGTCTGTCATCATCGACCAAAAAACTCACGAAGTTAAGGCCCTTGTTGGTGGTAGAAATGTAAGTGGAGGTAGACTTTTAAACAGGGCTCTTGTTCCAAGACAACCCGGATCATCAATTAAGCCTATTTCAGTTTACCTTACAGCTCTTAACAACGGAGCAACTGCAGGTGATGTTTACCTAGACCAAAGGATGCCAGAAAAATTATTCGGCCATTCACCTAAGAACGCAGGCAACCACTACCAAGGTTGGACAACTATAAGAAATCTTCTTCGTCAATCATCAAACGTTGGTGCCTACCAAGTTGCCAGAGATATTTCTGCCGATAAGGATGCAAAAGTAAATAAAAATTCAACATATTCTAAGGTATACAACGATGAAGAATCTCTTAATAAGATGGTTGATACCTTAAAATCAATTGGAGTTTCTACAATAGTTGAAAAGAAGGACAACCCAACATGGAACGACATAGACTATGCACCTCTTACACTTGGCGGTATGAGTTATGGAATAAGTCCTTTCGAAATGGCTGGTGCCTTCACTGCAATTGCCAACGAAGGAAAGTATGCCAACCCTTATGTAATTACAAAAATCGAATCAAGCACTGGTGATGTAATTTACCAAGTTAATCCTAAAGAGAGAGAAATTACCACTACACAAAATGCTTACATCTTAACAGATATGCTAAAGGATGTTGTAAGACGTGGTACAGGTAGAAATGCCTCCTTCCCTGGTCAAGAAGTTGCCGGCAAGACTGGTACAACAAGTGACAAGAAGGACGTTTGGTTTGTTGGTTACACTCCTTACTACACTTGTTCAGTTTGGATTGGTAACGACAAAAATCAAAAACTTGCCTTTGGATCAACTCAATCAGCTTATCTATGGAAGCAAATTATGAGATCTGTTCACCAAGATCTTGACAGCAAGAAGTTCGAAGAACCTGAAGGTATCTACACTAAGTATTCAGGTGGCAGAAGAGAAATCTTTGCTGACGGAACTAAGCCTCACTATGTTAACAAGTACGGCTTCTACAGAGCTTCTGAAGAAAAGAATAGAGAAGATAAGAAGCTTGACAATAATAACAATAGCAACAACAACAACAATAATAATGATGACAAGAAGAAAAGAAAAAAGAAATCATCAAACAACGAAAACAACAGCAACAAGTCAAAATCAAGTAGAAAGAAGAAAAAATCTTCTAAGTCAATTATTAATAATGAGAATTAAAAAGGATCTAAAATATCTGTTGGTGAGTAAATCTCTAACATATATTTTTATGTCTTGAATTGTCAAGTCAAGTGCAACTCACTTGAATGATATACTTCATAAGGGGTTTTCCAATTTAAACATTTGCGAGGTCTCAAATTAATTTCTTTTACCTTTGATTCAATATACTCATCTGTTTGATCAATATCTTTTGTTTTAGGGAAATACTCTCTAAGCAATCCATTTGTATTTTCCTTTGTTTCTCTCTGCCAAGTGTGATGTGGAAATGGAAAATAAAATTCAACTAAATTTAGTTCAATACTGATTTCTGGATGCTTCGAAGATTCTTTTCCTCTATCTGGAGTTATGCTCTTTAATGGTTGTTTTTTTAATAGTGTTATTATAGCATTTTTAACTTATGTAGAGTTTTTCTTTGTAATTTTCTTGCAAAGTAAATATCTGCTCTTTCTATCAGTTAATATGACTATACAAGCTTTACCTATTTGTCCTAATACAGTATCAGCTTCCCAATCTCCAATTTATTCTCTGTCTTTAGCTACTTGAGGCCTTTCTGTAATTAGATTGCTTATTACAATTTTCCCTCTTCTTTCTTCATAGTTCTTTGTATGGCGACTTTTCCCTTTGTGCCTAACCTTTCATATAACAGCTCTATTTCTATGAGATATCCCAGGTTCGTCAAATAAACCGTCATAGATTCCTCTATAAATGGTGTTATAGCTAATCTTGTAACTAAAACCTTCCATTTTTAATCGCTCAGAAATTTGTTCTGGAGACCATTGATGATTGAGAAAAAGACTCACGTTAACGAGTCCCCCCCAATATTTGACATAGAGCCAAAAACTGGAGCACGACTCCATTTTTTTATTGCAAGTTTTTATAACTACACATATTATTTGAAATTTTAATTTTTAATTATATTTTCATTCACAAATCATCTTTATAAAAATATTATTTGAATTCAAATCTTATATTCATTTTTCATTAATTAAACTCAAATACATTTAAAGAATTATATTTTCGGTCCATATTATGTAATTAAAATTCAAAAATAGTATTTTAATAAGCAAGTTTTAGTTCTTAATTCATTTATTAGGACTTGTTACTTAAGGCTAAATTAATTATTTTATCAACTAAACAAATCAATAGTTTTAAAATTTAAAATCTATTACACATAATTTAAACTCTCCAATGACATAGCTATTAAAAATTGACAACGAAAAAAGCTCCTCTCGGAGCTTTTTTCGTTTTATAAACTTTCACTATCTTCTGAATCTTCCTTATTCACTTCATCCTTCTTATCATTCTTGTGGATGAGTTCTTTCGCTTCATCGGATAAGTCATCTTCATTTATCGTGTCATCAAGGTCAATTGATTCTTCATCAAGCTTTTCGCCATTAAAAATTTTTTCAAAGTCCTTGGAGTAAATTGTTTCCTTTTCTAGAAGGGCATCTGATAATGCAAGCAACTTGTCTAAGTTATCACTTAAAAGTTTCTTACACTTTGTATAAGCCTCGTTTATAATTCTTGTAACTTCATCATCAATTTCTGCTGCAGTTCTTTCAGAATAATCTCTTGAACGTCCCAGATCCCTTCCTATAAAAACTTCATTTTCTGATGAATCATAATTAATTGTTCCAAGCTTTTCACTCATTCCATAGTGGGTTACCATAGCACGAGCAATTTTTGTAGCCCTCTCAATGTCGTTTGATGCACCAGTTGAAATATCATCAAGGACAAGGGACTCGGCAACTCTTCCTCCAAGAAGAGATACAATGGAAGCTTCCATCTTCCTCTTTGTCATAAAAGAAACATCGTCTTCAGGTAGGTACGCAGTAAAACCACCAGCCATTCCCCTTGGAATAATTGTAATCATGTGAACTGAATCTTCTTCTGGAAGAAGTCTTGATACAATTGCGTGACCAGATTCGTGAACTGCTGTTAGCTTTCTTTCCTTCTCTGAAACAACACGAGACTTCTTTGCAGGACCTGCTTGGACCTTTATTGATGCTTCATCAACATCTTCCATCGAGATTGCATTTTCGCCACGTCTTGCAGCAAGTAGGGCTGATTCATTCATTAGATTTTCAAGATCTGCTGGAGTAAAGCCTGATGTTCTCTTTGCAATTACTTCAAGATTTACGTCATCAGCAAGCTTCTTGTCCCTAGAATGAATTTTGAGTATTGCCTTTCTTGCACGAACGTCCGGCTTGCCAACATAAACTGTCCTGTCAAATCTACCTGGTCTTAGGATTGCTGGGTCAAGTATGTCTGCCCTATTTGTTGCAGCCATAACTATAACACCTTCGTTAGTTCCAAAACCGTCCATCTCAACAAGAAGTTGATTAAGAGTTTGTTCTCTTTCATCATGGCCTCCGCCAAGACCCGTCCCTCTTTTTCTTCCCACTGCGTCAATTTCGTCAATAAAAATTATACAAGGCGCATTTTTCTTTGCAGATTCAAAAAGGTCTCTTACTCTTGATGCACCAACACCAACAAACATTTCTACGAAGTCAGATCCACTCATTATAAAGAAAGGAACTCCTGCTTCGCCAGCAACAGCCTTTGAAAGATAAGTTTTACCAGTTCCTGGAGGACCTACTAATAGGACTCCCTTAGGTATTCTGGCTCCCATATCTATAAATTTCTTAGGATCTCTTAAGAAGTCAACAATTTCTTCCAGTTCTTCCTTTTCTTCTTCTAAGCCTGCAACATCCTTAAACTTAACTAAATTTTTGCCATCTTCTTTGTTAATTAATTTTGCCTTACTCTTGCCGAAAGAACTCATCTTTCCTCCGCCACCAGTTTGTTGCATCATCCTGTACCAGAAGAAAACAATTAAGACAAACATAAGAAGGGTTGGAACCCACTCAACAAGGAAAGAAGTTTGCTTAGTTGGACTTGAAACTACATTAATAGTACCAGCATCAGATTTTTCCTTTAGGTAGTCCTTATAAAAAGTATCTGCTGCCTCTTGTGGTATTATAGTCTTAAAAGTGTCACCATCTTTTAATTTTACGCTGGCAATGGAGTCAATTCCATTTTGCAAGCTTACGGACTTTACATTGTCCTTTTCAAGTTCAGTTACAAACTCTGTAAAAGATTTTTCTTCCACAACATTTGCTGGTGGTCCAAAAAACTTAATAGATAGTATTAACACAAGGATCAGGATAATATAAAATCCGGCTCCTCCAAATTTTTTATTCAATAATATCACTCCTCACTATTACAATAGACAGACTCATCTAGTATCCCAATGTAAGGAAGTCCTCTGAATCTCTCGTTGAAGTCCATTCCATAACCAATTACAAAATAGTCATCTATTTTATATCCATTGTATTTAACAGGTAGGTCAACCTTTCTCCTAGATGGCTTTGAAAGCATAGTTACAATTTCTATGGACCTTGCTCCCCTTGACTTTAAAATTTTAGTCAAGTATGAAAGAGTCACACCTGTATCAATTATGTCTTCTACGATTAATATATCCTTGTCAACTATTGATGTTGAAATATCTTTTAGAATCCTGACTTCACCCATGGACCTTGTGCCTTGGTAACTGGAAACATCCATAAAGTCGTATTCAAGCTCCAAGTCAATACTTCTCATAATATCTGCCATAAAGGGAACACATCCCTTTAAGATTCCAAGCAAGAATAAATTTTTATCCTCGTAGTCCTCTGTTATTCTTTCACCAAGCTCTTTAACCTTTGCTCTGATTTCTTCTTCAGAATAAAGAACTGCTTTAATATCTGACATTCTTAACCTCCAAAACGAGTTTGTTTTTTGTTTTTTTATCTATCTTAACATCTTCTGAGATATCCATCCCAAGTATGTAAATGATTTTTTCGTCATCACATATAAGACCTATTTCATCTCTTAATAGCCTGTCAACTTTTCTATCAATAAAATAATCCTTTAGCTTTTTACTATTTTTCATACCCAGTGGTTTAAACCTATCCCCTGGGGCTCTCTTCCTAACCTTAAGACTACCTTTTATTTTATCATAGTCTATTACTTTTATAAAGGAATCCTCAGGACTTTCTTCTCCATCTCTTGTGATAAAAATTTCTCCAAAGTCAGTTGCATTTCTTCCAATACTTAATCCCTTCTTTGTCTTTTCTTCTTGACCCATTACTTCTTCGATATAAATCTTATCGTAAGACCTTCTAGCAGAAATATTTTTTCCAAGATCAATTCGTCTTCCAGAGTCGCCAAGGCATAAGTCATAAATAGCAAGTATGTTGAACCTGTTTAAAATATTTTCACTATAAAAATTCTCTTCTAAATATTTTTTTATTACCTCTTGGGCGATAAGCTTTTTTAATTTTATTATTTCAGATGGAATTAAAAAATTATCTCCCAGGCAATTATTATAATTTTCTTCTAGAATTTCTCCTATAAACTCATTAGCTTCTTCTACGTTATCAGAAAGTCTAAGAAGAGAATTTATTATATATGGATTGAATTTTTTAAGTTCTGGAATTAGTCCAAGCCTAATTTTATTTCTCGTGTAAATTTCTTCAAAGTTGGTCTCATCATCAAAGTATTGGAGCTTATTCTTGTGAAGATAATCTTCAATCTCTTCCCTCTTAATATTTATTAGAGGTCTATAGATATCTCCATTAACATGAGTTATACCTGAAAGACCCTTGAGACCAGTCCCCCTCATAATATTAAAAAGAACTGTCTCTACCCTGTCATTAGCATTGTGAGCTGTTAAAATCTTCCTCCCTTGTGAGTTTTCTCTAAAGAATTCATACCTTAAAATCCTTCCAGCTTCTTCCGATGAAAATTTTTTTTCTCTTGCAAATTCATCCATATTAACTGTCTTGCTTATAAATTTTATTCCATAAGCTTGGCAAGATTTTTTTACAAATTCCTCATCCCTCTTGGCAGTCTCTCTTATGCCATGGTTTAGGTGGCAAACTATTATATCAAGATTCCAATCTTCTTTTAAATCCATAAAATTATAAAAGAGATACATGGAGTCAGCTCCACCAGAAACTCCAAGACTTAGCTTGTCAGATTTTTTTATAATATTTAGTTTTATTAAGTTCTCGTAAAATATCTTATCCATAATTAAAATAAAAAAAAGTGGCAAACTATCAAAAGATAGTCACCACTACTAATTTCTAGAATTCTTCTTCTTTGTCTTTTGATTGTATCTTGCTCTAGCTTCGTCAAGCTTTGTATTGCTTTCCTTGAGGAACTTGTTCAAGATGTCTTCGAATCTTTGGTCTACTTTTTCATTCTTAGACTCTTCTTTTTTTTCAATGGCATCCTTAATTGAAAGGGCAATTTTCCCCCTTTCATCAATGCTAAGAACCTTGACCTTAACCTCATCACCTTCTGAGATGTGATTATTGATATTCTTAACAAAAGTATCTGCAATTTCAGAAATATGTACTAGACCACTTTTGCCATCCTTTAAATCAACAAAGGCTCCAAACTTAGCAACCTTAGTAACTACACCTTCAACTATATCGCCTGGCGATAAATCCATAACTTCCTCCTAAATTTTATTTTAAATACCCTTATCAGTATTTTCAGTCTTATCCTTATTCTTGTCAACATAGATAACTTCTCTTGGTTTAACCATGCCCAAATCTTCTCTTGCTACCTTTTCAATAAAATCAGCAGAGGAAGAATTTTCAAGTTCAGAATTTAGATTATCTATTTCAAGTTTTAAATTAGAAATCTCTCTATTGTTGGCAGAAATAATCCCAAGTTTTTGATTCCTTAGAGATATTGACTTGCCAATTTTTACTGAGCCAAAGAGTACAGACCCTATAATTATAACGGCAAGAGCCAAGGGAAATCTTCTTCTTTTTACCTTCATAAGTCTCTCCCACCTATATACAATTAGATTATTATCGTCAATTAATCTATCCTATCATAAAGAGTTTCTGCATCCTTCTTGGAATTCACATCAGAAATGACCTTAACCTTGACCCTAATTTTTCTCTCGCCAAGTTGGAGTGAAATAACGTCGTCAATGTTAACGGAATCTGATGGCTTGGCAACCTTATCGTTAATTTCTACGAGGCCCTTTTCGCAAGCTTCTTTAGCTACAGTCCTTCTTTTAATAAGTCTTGAGTTTTTTAAAAATTTGTCTAATCTCATAATCCTCTCCACTTATGAATATAACAAATGGAGAAGAAAATATCAATACTTAGGCAAAATTTGGGCATAAAAATATATGGCCTAAGATTTCTCTTTAAACCATATATCCATAATTTCCCTTTTCCAACATTAGCTCTTGTAAAACTGGAAAAAGCAGCTTTCTTTTACATTACTTTTGAAAATCTAGTTCTATATAAGTGTTTAATCTTTACTAAAGCCTTTTAATTTTACCACTTAACTACATAATTTATTGATAAGTAAATATAATTAAATATTATTAAGATTAACATAAATACTATCGCTGTTTTTTTATTATCTTTTTTGAAACTTGTATACATAGCTATAAGGTACAAGATTTGTAGTGTAAAGTATAAAATTGTATACTTGTCTGTTAAAAAATATCTAAGCATTATAATTTACCTTCTTCCACTCCAGTGTACTGTAGTTATATACCCTCCTTGAGGATCATATACTTCAGAATTATAATATCCTTCAACTTTATATTTACCACTTTTTATAACTGTGAATCCTATTTTCTATAATCTATCTTAATACAAAAATAGTGCAAGATGGGACTTAAAACCTCCTTGCACTATTCTGTACTAAAAATTGTTCTTATGCTTCTTCATCACCTAGTTTAAAGAAACATAAGTCCTTCCTTTTCTTACTTATTAACAGCTTCTTTAAGAGCCTTACCTGATCTGAAAACTGGAGCTTTAGATGCAGGAATCTTAATAACTTCTTCTGGATTTCTAGGGTTTCTTCCTTCTCTAGCTTTTCTTTGTCTAACTTCGAAAGTTCCAAATCCAACTAATTGAACTTTTTCTCCGTCTGCAAGAGCTTCTTGAACTGAAGTAATAAATCCGTTTAAAGCTTGTTCAGCGTCTTTTTTAGTAAGACCTGATTTTTCTGCAATGCTTGCTACTAATTCTGATTTGTTCATTTTATATCCTCCTTGAAGAATTTTCTATAGTCTTTCCTTAGTTACAAACCCTTGTAAGTCTTTGATATGTAAGACTCCTTAGGGCTTTATTGCTAAGACTGTTACAATTATAACCTAAGTTCACTTTATTTTCTACATTTATTTTAAAATAATCGCTATTTTATCCAATTTTTTATAGATTTCATCAAATATTTCACGAAAATCCACTAAACCTTCTCTTTCCTTTAAGAAAAGCATGAATAAAGACAGGATTAAAGTGTCAATTTCCTCTTCATAGTCCATGGAAATTCCCTTTGATTTTTCTATTAAAAGATTTTTAATCTTTTCGAAATTTTCATCATCTAAGTAAAGGTCCTTGCCTTCTAAAATATTTTCCAACTGACCCATAATTATTTGAAAGTTTTTGCCACTTGTCCTTGGGATGTAGATGCAGGACTGGTGATTATAGTCATCAAGTCTTGGAAGTTTATAAATCTCAACCTTTCTCACAATCTCATCATCAAGACCCGCGTTGGTAATTACATAAGCCATGTCCTCTTCTTTGTAAATTTCTTGGAGAAGAAGTGATAAGTCCGATGCAATCCTCTTGTTATAGACTTGAGTTATTATGGTGTCACGCCTGGTATCAAAGTCAAACTTCTTTGCATCCGAATCTAAAAATAAAAGTCCATCAACGGCATCTCTCCCAACTCCTGCAAGAACTGGTTCAATAAAAGAAATTCCATTTACAATATTTATTTCTTCCTTTTTATCTATTAAGAGCCTAACAGTTTTTTCTGCCACTAAGGGAGTCCCTGGAACAAAATAATTTATGTCCCTGGAAGCAGGAGAACTTGAAGTTTTTGTTTATAAATTTGAAGATGGAAAGAAATTCTGCGTAGGTGGCAAGGTTGAACTTTCTGAAGTAGAAAAGAAATCTATTGAAATACCACAAGATGTGGCTTTAGCAGTTATTGCTGAACACGACAAGATAGTGGAAGAGCACAAGAAGAAAATGGCTGAAGAAGAAAATCAAGAGCCAGTTGATGAAAACGACCTTACTGATGAAGAACTTAAAATAATGAGAGATAAATTTGGATTTGATTAATCCATAAGAGGAGGGGGGAAACCCCTTCTTTTTTTATTAACAAAGACAAGAGATAAATAAAAATTTTTTATAAACAACTAAACTTGATAGAAATTTTATAATCTTCACCAAGTTTTGCAATATCCTCTTCAAGATAGTTTACTACAGCAATAGTTCCTGATCCACAAGAGCTTTCTCTAAATAAGGTATCAGAACCTTCTACATAAACGTAAGGAATCATATCAAGTTTTTCTTTATCAAGGAAAAGAACCCCGTATGCTTCGTCCTTGTGATCTTTTTTAAGGACTTCAAGAGCCTTATCTACAAAGTCTCTGTCTTCTTCCTCTTCAACAACTAAGTGACTAATACCATTAAGCTTAATAAGAGTGCAGTCCTTGCTATCTATTCTTAAGTTTTCTCTTCCAATAGGACCATCAAGGGCAACATAAGCCTTTTGATTTTTAACATCTGCAATTACATCTGTTGTTCCTTTATGACCACTTACATAAACTTCAATATCAACAAGTCCATCAGTATCATAGAAGCCTGCAGAGTAAAGTCCATAAGCTCTTGTTGCGTTAGCACAAAATTCTCCACCCATCATATCCATCCTAAGTGGTGCGCCTTCATAGGCTGGAGAAATAAATCCAACTTGTTCTACATCCTTATCTATTTGGTCAATGATACAGTCTGTATAGGCTTTTCTATATCCTGGATAGACAGGAGCTACAACAAAGCCTGTTATATTTCCACATGGGTTCGCTCTAAAATAATTAAAAGTTTTCTTCATAACCATCCTCTTCTCGACTCTAAAAATAAATTTACTCTTTAATTATAGCATACTAAGTTAGTCTTTTTTAACCGCTACTTTAATATTACCCCAAATTTAATTTTTAACGCAGGCTTATTTTAGGTACTTTTTAAGGTCTTCTACCCTGTCAGTCTTTTCCCAAGGAAGGTCTAAATCATTTCTTTCAAAGTGACCATAGGTTGCTGTTTGTCTATAGATTGGTCTCAATAGGTCAAGGTCACGAATAATTGCAGCTGGTCTCATGTCGAAGTTTTCCATAATAATTTTTTCGATTTCTTCATGAGATAGTTTACCAGTTCCAAAAGTTTCTACATAAACTGAAGTTGGTCTTGCAATACCAATTGCATAGGCAAGTCCAATTTCAACTTTATCTGCGAGCCCTGCTGCCACAAGATTTTTTGCAATGTATCTTGCGTAGTAGGCACCAGACCTGTCAACCTTTGTTGGATCCTTTCCTGAGAAGGCTCCACCGCCATGTCTTCCAAAACCGCCGTAGGTATCAACAATTATTTTTCTACCAGTAAGTCCTGCATCAGCCATCGGTCCACCAATAACAAATCTTCCAGTTGGGTTAATGAAAAATTCTGTATCTTTGTCAATGAATTTTTTTGGCACAACTTTTTCAACTACTTCTCTAATAATGTCTTCCCTAATTTGTTCCATAGGTACACCGGGAGCGTGTTGAGATGATACTACAACATTTTTAAGTCTTACAGGCTTGTCTTCTTCATACTCAACTGTGACTTGAGTCTTGCCATCTGGTCTTAGGTAGTCAAGAGTTCTATTCTTTCTTACTTCAGTTAATCTTCTTGATAGCTTATGGGCAAGTGAAATTGGAAGTGGCATTAACTCTTCAGTTTCGTTACAGGCAAATCCAAACATAATACCTTGATCTCCTGCTCCAAAGGAGTCAAGTTCATCTACTCCTTCTTCTTTAAACCTGTCAACACCCATGGCTATGTCAGAAGATTGTTCCTTGATTGCAGAAAGGACTGCACAAGTTCTTCCATCAAAACCAAATTTTGCCCTGTTGTATCCAATATCTTCTAGGACTTCTCTTGCAGTTTTTTCAAAGTCCACATAAGTTTCTGTTGAAATTTCTCCAGTTATAACTATCATTCCTGTGGATGCCATAGTTTCGCACGCCACTCTCGCATTTTTATCTTCTGCCAAAATCTTATCTAAGATGGCATCTGATATTTGGTCGCAAACTTTATCAGGATGTCCTTCTGTAACGGACTCTGAACTAAATTGCCATTTTTTCATTTTATTTCTTTCCTCCATTTTAAATACCTTGATTTAATGTATGAATTTATTTTCTCTTTTCTATTTGATCAAATTTTTAAAATCACATAAAATTTTAATCCATAAAAAATCCCCACGCAAAAAGTGAGGACCATTAAACCTCATCTTCCAGATAAAAATCTGTGGGATTTAGCACCAACTAGGTTGCCGGGTTTCACAGTGCCCATTCACTCCACCACTCTCAATAAGGTATTATTTATATTTTGTAATTTTGATTATAACACTTAAAATTTTTTAGTGCAACAAGTTAAAATAATTCATCATGGATATGCTCACTGGGTAGGTAATAATACTCATGATAAAAGAAAGAGTTATTACCTTTGAGGCAAATTCATAATCAGACTTCATTTGTTTTGTAAAGATAAAGCAGTTGGCTGCGCAAGGAGTTGCCCAAAATATATAGGCTATTCCCAACTCCATATTTGTAAAGCCAAGCTTAACTCCTATTGGTATAAGCATAAGTGGAGCTAAAACTGTCTTGATAAAGGCTGAGATAAACATAAACTTGAAATCATCCTTTGATGTTTCAAAGTTTAGACTCGCTCCAATTAATATAAGTGACATTGGTGTTGAAATCTTTGCCACCATTTCTATTGCCTTATCAATTCCTTGGTAAACTGGTATATTTAAAAAGTTAAAAATTGAACCAAAGACTACTCCAGCAATCATTGGATTCTTTATTATCTTTATAAGTATATTGGAAATTGAAATTGATTTATCTTCTACTTCAGAATAATAAGTCAAAATAACAATAGCGGCTATGTTATAGAGAGTAAGCCCAAAAGCAATTATTACTATCATGTGTTCCATGGAAGGAGCTCCATTGTAAATTATGTCTAGGATGGGAAAGCCAACATAGACAAAGTTTGACCTGTAGGCGCAGTGAATAAAGGCAGATAATTTTCTCTTGTCTTTAATCGTCAAAATCTTTCCTATTACAAGAGAAATAAAAATTACAAAAATAACTCCCAATAGGATGTAGACAACATATTTTGGATGAAGGGATTCAATCCTTGCATTCTTTATGTCGTAAAATAACTTAAAGGGCAAGGCCATGTAAAAGACAATCCATGTTCCTTTGTCCACAAAGTTGTTGTCAATGTATCCTTTTTGTTTTGCAAAGTATCCCAGTAGCAAAACTATAAACACGGGCGATACAATATTAAAACCCATAAGTAAGTTACTCATAAAATCACCTTATTAAATTATAGGTTAAATATTTGGTCTTATCGAGGACAATCTTTTAAAATAAAATAAACTTAGGAGGTCATGTTATGAAAAAAATAATTTCTATAGGGCTTACATCCCTGGTATTAATTACAAATGTATTTGCTGGAGCAAAAGTTTCTAGTCAAAACGTCTTCGTCGACGGAAAGGACACAGGCGTTAAGGGCTACAACATTGCCGATAACAACTACTTTAAGTTAAGAGACATTGCAGCTCTTCTTGATGAAAAGGACGCTGAGTTTAATGTTTCTTACGACAGCGACAGAGAAGCTGTCATCATCACTAGCAAGTCTGACTACAATAAAACTGAAAATGATCTTGCACCTTTAAAGGACAGCGACAGTGAAATAAAAAGTTCAACTCACAAGGTTTTTGTAAATGGAGTTAGACATTCTTTTAGCGTTTACACAATTGACGGCTACAATTATTTTCAATTGAGACAACTTGGCAAGACAATTGGTTTCGATGTTAACTTCGACGAAACAAATAACTCTGTCCTAATTAATTCAAAATCAATTCCTGGTCGCTCCCTTGTTAACAACCAAGTCAATGTTAACATTGTTGACTACGTAACTGACTACGAAGAAAAGAACTTAGACATTTTAAAGGACCCTCTTCTTGACATTTCCAAATTTCTTGCTAATATAAAGAACGAAGTACTTGCAACATCTGAAGAAGGCAAGCTAAGTGGAGAGTCAATCTATGTTAAGTCAGAAAATATTGTTGAAGTCCTACCAACTTCTGCCAAGTACCATGGCAAGCTAGTTTACACTCCTTATATGAAGATTGAACAAGGAGATAAGTCGGAAGTATTCCCTTATGAAAAGGGATTTGAAGTTGCAAAAACTTTAACATCAAAGGGCTTCGACTCCACAAGTGAATTTGAAATTAGCCTTGGAACAAAAAACAAGGATCATTTTGTTAAGTACTCATCTTTTAAGTATAAATAATTTTGGGTATATTAATCAGGGAGGTGTTAGTAAATGAAAATTAAAAAAGAAATGTTAATCGGACAAATTCTTTCAGAAAAGCCTGAATCAATTGGTACTCTAATGAGTTTTGGAATGGGATGCATCATGTGCCCATCTTCTCAAATGGAAACTCTTGAAGAAGCAGCAATGGTTCATGGTATAGATCCTAATACGATTGTAGCTGCTCTTAATGAAGATCACAAAGAAGAAGCGGAAGCTTAATCTAAAGCTTAATTTTGAAGAGGCAGGAGCCTCTTCTTTTTTTTACATAAATACTTTAACGATTTACAAAGGAGAAAAATATGTAATAAAAAATAATCTTGAAAGATTTACAAAAGCCAAGGGAATTTTTAAAGAAGATATATTTAGGAGGCTATGAATCTTATTATATAATCGCCAAAGGCTTCGGCTATCTTGATGGCGACATAGATCCGCAGAAGGAAATGACCCTTGAAGAAGTTCTATATTTAATCTATAACTCAATGAAGTAATTGTAATTCTTTTGTAATTGCATCTTACCTCCCACTGATGTATATTATCACTGGGAGGTTTTTTATGACCCAAACAAACTACGAAAGAAGAAAAAGATTAAGAAGACAAAGGGCTAGACGAAAGAAGAGAATTAGACAAATTATTTCAGTTTCAATTTTTGTCTTAATACTTATTTTTATATTTTCAAAAATCTTTTCTGGAGTAAAAAACTCAAAAGACGCAGAAGTTTCACCTGCCCTAATGTGGTACTACACAAATGAAATTTATAAGGACAGGCCAAGACCAATCTTTTATGAAAAAGAATACATCTCTAATATTGCCTTGGACAAACTAGATCAACTGGAAAATGAATTTATAGTCAAGGGATCCAATCACCTAAAGAAGGTTGACAAGTATGCCTATGACGCAAAAAAAATTCGTGACTTCACAGTCCACCAAAACTACAAGGGTAATAAGAAAATTGTATTCTTGACCTTTGACGATGGACCAAATAATGAAATTACTCCACAAGTTCTAGATACGTTAAAGAAGGAAAATGTCAGAGCAACTTTCTTCCTTGTCGGCAAGTCTATTGGCGACAAGACTGCAGGACGTATAAGAGAAATTCTAGCAAATGGTAACACCATTGGTACTCACTCCTTCTCCCACGACTATGACTACCTCTACCCAGGAAGAACTGTAAATGTGGAAAGAGTTTATGATGAAATAGAAAAGACTAATGAAAGACTTAAAAATATTTTAGGTGATGATTTTCATTCAAAGGTCTTTAGGTATCCAGGCGGCGAAATGTCATGGAACAATATTGAAGCTTCCGATTCATATCTAGCATCAAAAGATATAAATTGGATTGACTGGAACTGCCTTGTTGGTGATGCAGAGAAAAAATCTGTGAGACCAACAACAATCCAAGGTCAAATCGAATATCTTGACAAGTCACTTAACGAAAATAAGAACACAAAGATTGCAGTTGTTCTTGCTCACGATGCAACAAACAAGCAACTAACAGCTGACTCTCTATCAGAAGTTATAAAATACTTTAGAGACAGGGACTATGAATTTGGACTTTTAAAATAATGGCTCTATGTCAAATATTGGGGAGACTCGTTAATTCGAGGCTCTCTTTTCATTTAAAAAACAATACTTAGACGCTAATTAAACTATCAATTTTAAAATAACTAAAAAACTTTAAAAATAAACATAGCAAACAAACCCCTAGGGGTTTTGCGAAATTTTCCTGTTTTCCCATAATTACTTACAAGCAAACATAATTCTCTTTCTAAACAAATTGAAATTTTTCATACCAAAACAATTTCTCTTTAACGTCTTTATCTTAGTATGAGTTCCTTCAAGTGGACCATTAGACCAAGAATAATCAAAAGAATTACATATCTCATCAAACCAGTTATTAAAAGCAGTGATGCAAGCTTTAAATTCTTTTAAATTAGATTCTTCGGCTCTTTTTATCCATTCTCTTAAAGATTTAGCTGCTCTAACTTTATTAGGTTGAGTAAGAACATATTGGTAGAACAGCTCTTTTAACCTATATGCTAACTTCAAATCATTGCTTAAATCAAGCATTAGAGAAACTTCTTTAGCTTGTTCAGAACTTAGTTTAGAAGCAGGTTTTGTAAGTAGACTTCTACTTCTCTTAAAATACTTTCTAAGCTTAGAAGAAATATCTTTTTGAATTCTCTTTCTAACATTCTCTAAAGCCCATGAAACTTGTCTGATAAAATGATACCTATCAACAATATGAATAGCAGTTTTAAAGAACCTATTCTTAACAGACTTAAAAGTATTAGACATATCACTTACAAAAAACTTAACACTTTGTATCTCCTTTGTAGGAACACTTTTAAAGTAGCTGAATAAAAAGTTCTTATCTCTAGTAGGCAAAATATCGATGATAGAGTGTTTAGAACCATTAAGAAGAGAAGTCTGATACTTAATATTTCCACTATCTCCTTTGAATTCGTCTATACAAAGAACTTCAGAAAGCCTAGCTCTTGATACACTTAAACAATTTAAAATTCTTAATACAGTATTAGAAGAGACATTATACCTTTTAGCAATAGATGAGATAGAATACACATCATCAAATTCAGAAACAATACTAAAAACAAGTCTATTAGTCATAGTATGACCCTTAGCAATAAAATCAAGTTCTCTTTCAAAACGACAGCCACAAGACTTGCAATCATACCTTGTTTTCTTTAGATGAATAAGACATTTCTTTCCACGAATGTGAGTATCCTTAATCTTTTGAATTCTATGATCATGAACCCAAATCTTTTTAGAACCACAGTGAGGACAAGTATTCATATTTTTAACAGAAGCATGAATATCAACAAACTCCTTGCCCTCAGCCAAACTATGAAAAATTATATCTTTAAAACCTAAAAAATTCATGTTATTATTATCTTGCACTTATATGCACCTCCTAGCTTGGTTTTAGTTATTTTAAGTTTAGGACTAAATGCGTATAAGTGCAATTTTTTTCATAAAAATATCTGTTAGAGACTTACTCCCCAACAGATATTATAGAGCCATTTTTTTGCAAGTGATAGGTATCCTATGTTTCCTTCTAAATATTCTTTTACTACTTTTAGTTTAAATTCTAAATTGTATTTTGCCATTAAAAAACTGACCTCCTTAAGTTGGTTTTTTAAGTCCAACTTTTGGGGGTCAGTTCATTTTATTTTCAGTCCTCTTTTTATTTGCATTAAGTTTTTTAAATTAAAGTAAATCTTTAATTTTTTCTGCTCTTTCAATTAGCTTGTCCTTGCCTAATAGATATAGGATATTTTGCATTTCTGGTCCGTGAACATTACCTGAGATTGCAGCTCTTACTGGCATGTAAAGTTGCTTGCCCTTTACTCCAGAATCTTTTTGAACTTCCTTCATTAGTCCCTTGGCAGTTTCCATTTCAATTTCATCGTGTGATTTTACAATTTTTATAAAGGAGTCAAGAAGTCCTGGCACATGTTCTTGTGCAAGCTCTTCCTTAGCTTGGTCCTCTGTGATCTCAATGTCACCAAATAGGAACTCGATGTGTCTTGGTATGTCTTCTAACTTATCGCAGGCTTCTCTCACTGTTTCAATTAAGATCTTGTACCATTCAAAGTTGTTTCTAATTTCTTCTTCATTTAGTAGGCCTGATTCAGTTACAAAAGGAATAGCAAGTTCAGAAAGTTTTTCTAGGTCATAGGACTTCATATAATGAGAGTTAACCCAATTCAATTTGTCTGTGTCGAAGATTCCTCCAGACTTTCCTACCCTGTCAAAGGAGAACTTTTCTACTAACTCGTCTAGGGACATAATTTCTTCTCCATCTTCTGGAGACCAACCAACAAGTGCAAGGTAGTTTACAAGTCCTTCTGGTAAGTAGCCCCTCTTCTTAAAGTCTTCTACAGAAACATCTCCCTGTCTCTTAGAAAGCTTTTTTCTGTCCTTATTTAAAACTGTTGGAAGGTGGACAAATTCTGGTGGTTGCCAGCCAAGACATTCATAAAGATAAACGTGTTTTGGAGTTGATGGAAGCCATTCTTCCCCTCTTACAATGTGTGTGATTCCCATTAGGTGGTCATCAACTATTACAGCCATGTGGTAAGTTGGGAACCCATCTGACTTCATTAGGACTTGGTCGTCAATTTCATCAGTGTTAATTGTAACTTTTCCACGAACTGCGTCATTGAAAGTGATATCCTTGTTCTTTGGAAGTTTAAGTCTTACAACGTAGTCTTCGCCAGCTGCAACTCTCTTCTTAGCTTCTTCAAGAGGAATTCCACGGCAAAGTCCATCGTACTTAGGCACTTTTCCCTTAATTCTTTGTTCTTCTCTCAAGTGATCTAGTCTGTCCTTGGAGCAGAAGCAGTAGTATGCGTGACCATCTTCAATTAATTTATCAACATATTTTTTGTAGATGTCTAATCTTTGTGATTGGATGTAAGGTCCACAGTTACCAACTTCTGTTAGATTACCGTCCTTAACTACAACACCTTCGTCATGAGTTATGCCTGCCCATTCAAGGGACTCAATTAGGTTTTCTATGGCACCTTCAACATATCTTGTCCTATCTGTATCTTCGATTCTCAATACAAATTTGCCGCCATTTTTTTTTGCGAATAAGTAATTGTAAAGAGCTGTTCTCAAACCTCCTATGTGGAGGTAACCTGTTGGTGATGGTGCAAATCTTAATTTAATATCTGACATTTTTTATTCCTTTCTATTTACTTTGCTGTAATTTCTATAACTTGATAATATGCCCAGTGGTCCCTGTTTAGGTCCTTAAAGGGATTGCTTGAATATTTATCTAAGAAAGACTTGTTAATCTTCCTATATAAAATTTTGTTGAAAATTGTGGCAGCTTCTGCCCTTGTAATCTTGTCATTTGGTTTGAATTCATTTTTTGACTTTCCAACCATAATTCCATGACTTGACAAGGCATTTATAGCATCACTTGCCCAATAATTTTCCTTTACGTCCTTGAAATCAATTGGGTGATTACCAACATTCAATTTTAAATAATTTGCCATCATACTGGCAAACTGTGCCCTAGTCATTGGCTCATTTGGTCTAAAAGTTCCATCTTCATAACCAGCTATTAGACCCTGTTTTTCTATAAAAACAATATTATCATAGAACCATTGCTCCTCCTTCAAGTCACTAAAAGATGACTTATCATTGGACTTGGCCTTGTCATTAATCAACCTCTTTAAAACTGAAGCAGCTTCTGCCCTAGTAATTTTTTCATTTGGAGCGAATTTATCACTTGATACGCCTGACATATATGGGAGTCTAACAAGACTTATGGACTTTTGAAGCTCCGCAAGGGACTTGTTTATTTCATCAGTTGAAACTTCGCTTTTTACTACAATATATTCAGCTGAGGCAATAGCTGCACGAAGTCTTCTTTCGTTTTGGATTCCTGCCTTGGCAGTGGAAAGATTTTTCGCAAAGTCAACATAGTCAGTTAACTTTTCAAGAGTTTTTATTGTGCTATAAGTTTCCAGTTCAACGTTATTTTCATTTACAAGCTCTGTTGATTTTTTTGCCTCAAGTTTAGCCTTTACCATATAGTCAAGGCTTGCTTCCTTGTCCTTTGTGCTTGCAACTATTCTAAGGAAAGATCCTTCTTTTAAACCAAGACCTTCAAATTTGAAGTTCCCCTTTTCATCTGCCTTTGTAGTTGCCACAAGTTTTTTTGTCAATGGCAAGTCTTAGGTCAGCATTTTTTTCTGTTGTGCCTTGTATTTCACTTGCTCCATCATAAAGGTCCTTAATAGTCAAAACTCCATTTTGAGTTTTTGTTGAGGATTCAAGATTCTTTTGGTCACTCTTAGTGTCCCCATCCTTATCTACATAAGATAGGACAAAGGAGTTTTTCAAGTTGGAACTTGACCCAACATCACTTTTTACCCTAGTATTAATTTCTAGGTTTAGCCTGTCGCCCTTTATTACTGAAAGGTCATTGGCATTTATTGTTACGATGTTTTGTCCCTTTCCCTTTATAGAAGTTTCTCTAATGTCTAGCTTGCCTGCTACTTCCTTCTCATCAATTAACTTTGTTTCCTTGACCTCAAGAGCCTTATCCATCAAAAGAGTCACAGAAAAAGATGAATACTTCTCCTTGTAATCTCTTGGCAAATTTACAATTAAATTATACTTTAGGCTGTCTCCACTCTTCACCTGAGATAAACCAGGTTGTTCTAGGACAACTTGGATGTCTTCAGCTGCAAATGCATTTACAAAAAGAGTGAAAGCCACAAGAATGCATAAAAACATTTTTTTCATTAGAATGCCCCCTTAATATATTTATATATTATACTAAAGGGGCCTTAACAATTCAATAAACGAGGTTTTTTTTAATGCAAGGAGGTCATCCTCAATAAAAAATAAATTTTTACTAAAAAGCTTTCATAAAAAATTATTTTCATAGAACTTTATAAAAAATTATGACTTTACAAATAATTATGACTTTATAAAAATTTCTCACTTCCAAATTTAAAATCACCCATAAAAAATAGGACTCCAAAATAATTTTTGAAGTCCTAAAAATTTACTATAAATTTTCTTATAAAGGTAAGATTGGTCTTAGGTATCTTAGTGTAAAGATAAGCGCCAATAAATACATAACAGGTGAAACTTCTTTTCCACGTCCTGTTGCTACTTTTAAGATTACATAAGAGATCATCCCCACAGAAATACCTTCTGCAATTGAATAAGCAAAAGGCATTGTAACCATTGTCAAAAAGGCTGGAACTGATTCTGTGTAGTCATCTAATTTTATTTGATTAATTGGACTGATCATAAAAAGTCCTACCATTACAAGAGCAGCTGATGTTGCTTGTGCTGGCACAATTGAAAAAATAGGGAATAAAAATAGGGATATAAAGAAGAAGAAGGCACAAGATAAGGTTGTAAGTCCAGTTCTTCCTCCGTCTGCAACACCTGATGCTGATTCAACAAAAGTTGTAACAGTAGAAGTACCTAGTAGGGCACCAACAACTGTTCCAATGGCATCAGATAAAAGTGCACGACCAACTCCCGGTAGGTTCCCATCTTCATCAATTAGGTCTGCCTTAGTTGCAACTCCAGTAAGAGTTCCCACTGTATCAAATAAGTCTACGAATAAGAAAGTAAACATTACAGAGAACATATCAAATGTGAAGATGTCTCCCCAGTGAAGTTTAAAGGCAACAGGGCTAAGTGATGGTGGAAGTGAGAATAACATTCCTCCAGGTAAGTGGCTAACTCCCAAGATAAGAGCAAGCACAGTTCCTGTTATAATTCCATATAAAAGTGCTCCCTTGACATTTTTTGCTGTCAAAAATGCCATGACCAAAAGTGATACTATAAAAACAAGAGATGGCCTCGATGCAATTTCTCCAAGAGAAATTAGAGTTGCGTCATTATTAACAATAACTCCTGCTGAAATAAGTCCAACTAGGGTTATAAATAAGCCTATACCAACAGACACTGCATTCTTAAGTGACATTGGTATTGAAGTAAATATTGCTTCACGAATGTTGAATAAGCTCATCACTATAAAGATGATACCTTCTAAGAATACTGCCGTTAAGGCGTAGGACCAGTCGTGACCCATACTTAAGCATTAAGTCCCACTCCTGCTGAAAGTGCGAAGGGCAAGTTTGCAAATAGTCCCATAAAGATCATTGCAATGATTGACGAAATAATAGTCGCAGTGAAAACTCCACCCTTGTCCATTCCAGTTTCAGATAACATGTTTGGATTTACAACAAGTATATATGACATTGTCATAAAAGTTGTAAGCCCTGCCAAAAATTCTGTCTTGGCATTAGTCTTTCTCTCATTGAGAGAAAATGTTCTTTCTAAAAAACTTGAATTTGTTTCCATTTTTTCCTCCTCATATAAAATACATTTTTTATTCTATCACATTGCAAGACAAATGAAAGTGTGATGATAATATTTTTTTATTTTCTTTCATTTAATTTTAAGTAAGAAAAAAAGACTCTTGAAGTGGGGCTTCAAAAGTCTTTCTTATCTAATAATCTTTTCTCTCTCCTAGTAGACGAGAGATTATATAAATTGTTATTACAAAGGCAAGTAAGAATAAAGTCAATTTAAGAGAACTTGTTCTTTTTATTATGTCAACGAAAAATCCAGCGGGATTCCTTCCAAGCTTATCTAAGAGGGGAAGAAAAGCTGGCAATGATGTAAAGATTGTTCCCACACCACTAGTTTGTCCAAAGTAAAGATAGATGGGGATACTTATAAGATAATATGCCATCACATAAATTGTAATGAAAAGTCCAACCTTAAATTCATAACCGTTTAATTCAACATTTTGCAAGATGTAGGTCATTAAAAGTCCATCTATTATAAATATACTTACTACCTTCAGGAACTTTACATTTATTATGTCAGATCTTGATGCACCAAGAGTCAGAAAGTAGGGCTTGCTCTTGTCAATTATCATACCTTCACTAGATATTAGGTATAAGACATAGTGTATAAGGATAGCTACTAGAAAAAGTAGGGCAAAGGGTTTTTCAGCGAAGAAGCTAAATTCTTTTGTAAAAAATCCTAGGCTCTTAATGACAAAAATCATTGCAATAAATATAAGATAGACGATAATAAATTTTTTTCTAATTTTAAAATCATTTAATAAAAGTATTTTCATAGTATCCCCCTCTCCCTCAAATATTTTGTGGAATATTTATAGTCTAGCCTAAAGGCAAAAATACAAATTATTATTGAGACTACTATAAATATTGGCCTGTAAATAGTAAAGCTTTTATAGAAACTTGAATAAATAAAAGATAAGCCTGCTCCAAAAATTATCCAAAATAATGTGCAAAGGAAAACTACGGGTCTCTTTTGATATCTTGTAAAAACAATGTGGCTAAGGCTAAGTGCCAAAAAGTCTAGGGCTATAAATAGGCTCGTATAAATGTCTATGATAATGTTTTTATCTTCATCATGACTAAGAATTAACCCCATTAACAAAACAAGGGAAGTAATTACAAAGATAATCAGGTTTTTTATTATCTTGGCGAGAGAATAGTCCTCAATAGATACTGGCATAGTCATAAACTTTTGAAAATCTTTAAAATTATCTCCAAAAACACTTTGTGCCCTAATGATAAAGATCATTGTAAGAGTCCATTGGCTAAAAAACTTGCTGAAGACTTCTCCAGTTATCAAAAAACCAATTATAAGTATGAAACCGATAAATATGACCATTGGTAGGGCAAGTTTCTTTACAAATTTAAAATCATTATATAAAACTGCCTTCATTGTCCACCTCTTGATAAAAATATCATTATGTCCTCCACATTTGCCCTGTCCACAACTTCATTTGGATAAAATTCTTTGAAAACTTGGACATTTTTTATCAAGGCTTCAGTTGAGTATTTATTTTTTCTTGTCTTTAAGATAAAGTCTCTATAATTTTTTAAATTTTCTTCAGAAGTTTTTAAAATTCCATATTTTTCTATTATGGCGTCCTTTTCATCGTATAAGATTACTCTTCCCTCGTGGATATAAATTATATAGTCGGCGATTTTTTCTATGTCAGACAAGATATGAGATGAAAATAAAATTGTCTTGTCCCCATCCTTGATGTAGTCAAATAAAAATCCTATGATCTCGTCACGAATCACTGGGTCAAGACCTGAAGTCGGCTCGTCAAGGATCAAGAGGTCAGGGTCGTGACAAATTGCAGAAATAATTTTTAGCTTCATTAGGTTACCTGTAGAGAGTTCATTTAACTTTTTGTCCCTTGGCATCTTAAATTTATCTGCACAGTCATAAAACATGTCTTCATCAAAATTTTTGTAGGCAACCTTTAAAATATCAACAACATCTTTTATCTTAAAAGTATCGTTGAAGAAGGAGTCAGGTATCACTGCCCCAATTTTCTCAAAGGATTCCTTGTGGATCTCTTCTCCAAAAACCCTTATGTCTCCATCATACCTATAGAGGTCAAGGATGCACTTTAAAAGTGTTGTCTTGCCTGCACCGTTCTCCCCAATTAGTCCAAGAACTGCTCCTCCTGGAATTTCTAAATTTTCTATATCAAGTTCAAAGTCCTTAAATTCTTTTCTCAAATTTTTTATTTCTATTGCTTTCATACTTCACCCACCTCATCTAATGTATTTAAAATTTCTTGCAATTCTTCTATGCCAATTCCTGCAGCCTTGGCAACAATCATTGCGTCAGCAAAATATTTTTCAATCTCTGCAAGAGCATTCTCTCTTACAACTTCTTCATTTAATTCTTTTACAAAGGAACCCTTGCCTGGCACGGAATAAGTATATCCCTCTTGCTCCAAGTCATTGTAGGCACGCTTTGTTGTAATGACAGAAACCTTTAAGTCGCTGGCAAGAGTCCTCATACCAGGAAGTCCTTCGTCAGCTTTTAATTCTCCAGCAACAATTTGAGCCTTGATTTGATTTTTTATCTGCTCATAAATTGGAAGGCCACTATCATTTGAAATAATAATTTTCATATAACACCACCTTTAAGCCTATATATTATTTTCTTTACACAATACTTATATAAGATAATTTAATAATTTTTTGTAAAATCAGAAAATAGTTAGGATTTCTTTACTTTCTCATATACAGATTTTTCCCAAAGTTCTTCATCCTTTATATACTTTGAAAATATGAAAATTCCAAATAATATTATTGAACTTAATATTGAAAATAAAGTTCCTTTTAAATCATAATGTTGTCCTGAAAATATATCCTTAGAAAAATCTGTTACAAATAGTAGGGCAAGATTGTTATTTAAATAATGAATCATAACAGGAGTCCAAATTGATTTTGTCCTATTGTAAGCATAAGTTAAAAATATCCCTAAAAATATACAAAATACAAGTTGTACAAGTATAGAATAAATTTGCGATGTCAAAACTCCATCTGAATAATAAAATAAATTAAGAGGCAAGTGCCAAATTCCCCAAATAAAACCTGTCATTAAAATAGACTTTTTAACACCATAAATTTCTTTTAGTCTTGGTGCTAGGTATGCCCTCCAACCATACTCTTCTCCAATGAATGGCATAATGTTTAAAAAAGAGAAAAGAATAATAGATATAAAAACTTTTAAACTATGAAGATTAAAGACTTCTACAATTTCCCTTGTTTCTCCTTCTACAATGGAGCCAATTAATACTCTTAAAAAGTATATAAGTATAAAAATTAAACACATTAAAAGCGTCATCTTTTTATTTGGATTGTTTAGAGATAATTTCTTTTTAATATCTTTATCCATAGTGAAGAGGCTTATAATCATTGCAATAGCAGACATTAAAATTATGGTATCTGAAAAATTATCAAAGTTGGGATAAAAAATATTTACTATAGCAAATACAAACACAACAATGCTTGTAAATATATAAATTTTAAAAGGGAAAAGCTTTAAAATTCTTTTGTCTTCTTTGTATAACAAGGCTATTACAGCTAAAAATGGAATAAACATTTGTAACTTTGGATAAATATTTGTGCTTATGTCGTGTAATTTGCAGTAATAGATAGCAAATCCCATTATGTATGGAATAATAAATGATATACTAATAAAAATTTTTAAATCTTTTTTCATAATTTCTTCAACTCCTTAATTTAATTTATAGTGTATATACTTTATATTTACACTATAAATCCAGTAAATAATTTTGTCAAGATTTTTATAAAATTTTCAATAAAAACCTGCTAACAAAAGTCAAGCTTAAGCTGAAATTAATTTCAGCTTATTTGATTATTTGAGTAATTAAATTAGCGCATGGCAAATAAGCCGAGGGTAATCAATCGGCTTGTTTTTTTAGTGTTTTCAAAGTCTTATGCTACTTTTAATTCTTTTTTCTCGGCTTTTGAATTCATGACTCTTGCATAGTAGATTCTTAAGAATTTGTTTAAGCCTGCAAATTTACAAACTTTTTTGGCTTTTCCTTCTTTTTCTTTTTTTATCATGTAATTATATATTTCGTTTTCTGGATTTTTAGCACTCATCATACATTTCATTGCCTGGTAGCCTACTTTTCTTAGTATTGAGTTTCCTCTTTTACTTATTTTCCTTTGGTCTGCTTTAAAGTTTCCTGATTCATATGGTGGTGCGTCTATTCCTATAAAGGATTTTAGGCTTTTTTTGTTTTTAAATTTTGATAGGTTTCCAAATTCTGCTACTATTTGTACTGCTAATTTTTCTGATATGCCTGAGAATTTTTTTGCTTCTTGATATTCTTCTAGGGGCTCGGATATTTCTATCATTTGTGATAAAATATTTTTTAGAATCTGATTTATTTGTTTTATCAGGTTTATTCCTTCTCTGATATTCGTTTCTATTTTTGGGTTATGGGAAGGTTGTGTTGAGATACTGTCTTCTGCTATTTTGTAAATGGCTTTTGCTTTATTTACATTTGGATGGTATCTCTTTTCTTTTGCCCATGTTTTATATTCTTCTACAAATTCTTCTTCTGTTTTTTTCTAATACTAGGTCTTTATGCCACCATTTTTCTAAAAAGTCTATTAGTTTGTCTTTTGAAAAGTCTCCTGAGTTATGTGGTATTAGTTTTTTTATTCCTGGAAATGTTTGATGTATTGTTTGATCTATGTAGTTCATTTGGTTGATTCTTAGATCCATATAATGTTGGTAGCTTCTGTTTAATTCTTTTAGGACTCGGTAGTTTTCTTCATCTACTTTGTATTCTTCTAGTTCTCTCCAGTACATTAGTCCATATTCTGCTATTTGTTTTGCGTCTATCTTGTCATTTTTTGCTTTTCTAAAGTTTATTGCTCGGCAATATTGTTTCATTTTTAATGGATTTATTACTGCTACAAAGTAGCCTCTTTCTTTTAGTTCGTAAAGTATTGGTAGATGATATTTTCCTGTTGCTTCCATTGTTATTTTTACTTCTTCTTTTATTTTTTCTAGTTTTTCTAGAAGTTCTTCGACTTTACTTTTGTTTAGATATACATCAAATGGTTTCCAAATTATTTTGCTTCCTTCTTCTAATGCACAAACTGTTATTTTATCTTTTGATATGTCTATTCCTACAGATATCATGATTTTCCTTCTTTCTTTTTATTTTGTAGTTTCTACCTGCACCATTACACTCTTTTTAGCTTGTGACACGGACGTTTTGCCCAACCTGCTTAACCGAATATGAATAATGAAGAGGTAGTTGACAGTTTTTGTGTCGGATGTTTCAACCCTAAAAGCACCTCGTCATTCTACTTCTTCATTATACAAAAATAGTGCAAGATAGGAATTACTTCCTTTCTTACACTATTTATGGTACTAAAAGTATCCTTAGACTTAATTCGTTTAAGGATACTTTGGATTTATATTTTTTATTTTTTCTTAAATCTTATTTTCTTTTGAATTTCTCCAGCTACTAGTGGAATAAGTGATGATCCAATTACTACTGCGATTTCTCTTGGTCCTAAGTCCATTAGTCCAAAGGCATCGTTTAATACTGGTACATAAATTACTACTAACATTAGTAAGAAGGAGAATAAAGTTGCAAGTACTAACTTCTTGTTTGTGAATACTCCAATTTCGAATACAGTCTTGTCAATTGATCTTGATGTATAGGCTCTTAGAAGTTCACAAATAATTAATGCTGAGAATGCCATTGTCCTTGCGTGTCCAAGTCCTTCAGCTTGTCCATACCACTTAAGTCCAACAAGGTATGCAAGAAGTGTGGCAAGTGTTATTGCAATAGATTGGATGGCAACAGTGATTTTTATTTCTGTGTCAAGGATTGGCTCGTCTGGATCACGTGGCGGCTCATTCATTATATCTGCTTCTCCTCTTTCAACTCCAAGTGCAAGAGCTGGGAAGGAGTCTGTAACAAGATTAAGCCACAATAATTGAATTGGGATTAGTGGCACTGGAAGGTTCATTAGGATTGAAATCAATACTATTAAAACTTCCCCAAGGTTACATGAAAGTAAATAAGCAACAAACTTTTTGATGTTGGAATAAATAATTCTTCCTTCTTCAACTGCGTTTACAATTGTTGCAAAGTTGTCGTCTGTCAAAATTACTTCTGCAGTATTTTTTGCAACGTCAGTACCTGTTATACCCATAGCGATACCAATATCTGCCTTTTTAATTGCTGGCGCGTCATTAACACCGTCACCAGTCATGGCAGTTATGTGACCATTTTGTCTTAAGGCTGTAACGATTTGTACCTTGTTTTCTGGAGATACTCTTGTGAAGACAGATTTTCCTTTTACAACTTCTCTAAGTTCTTCTTCAGACATTTCGTTAAGTTCCCTGCCCATGATTGCTTGGTCATCTGATGTAGCAATACCAAGGTCCTTTGCAATGGCAAGACCTGTTTCAAGGTAGTCACCTGTAATCATAATTGGTCTTATGCCTGCAGTCCTACATTCTTTTATTGCTGCCTTTGCTTCTGGTCTTGAAGGGTCAATCATACCTGTAAGCCCAACAAAAATCATATCCCTTTCAATGTTTTCTGATGTGATTTCACTTGGCATGTCCCTGTGTTTTCTGTAAGCGTAGCCTAGACATCTTAGGGCAGATCTTGCGAACTCACTATTCTTTGCTAAGACTTCTTCTCTTAATTTTTCATCAAGTTCTACTTCTTTTCCATCAATTAAAATCTTGCTACATCTTTCAAGGACAACATCTGGTGCTCCCTTTGTAAAGGATGTTATGTCATCAAAAATTTTGTCGTGGAAAGTTGTCATCATCTTTCTATCAGAGTCGAAGGGTATTTCTTCAATCCTATCAAAGTTACTGTAAAGTTCCTTAAGTCCATTACCTGCCTTTTCTGCAAAGGTTAGAAGGGCACCTTCAGTTGGGTCTCCAATAATAGATGCTTCTTGATCCTTAACTTGCAATTTTGCATCATTAGTTAGGGCTGCAATAGAAGATAAAATTTTAAGGTTTTCGTCTTCTTCAATTGTAACTTTTGCGTCTTTTCTTGTTACGTCACCTTCTGGAGAGTAACCAGTTCCTGAAACATCATAAACATGTCCGTCAGTAAATACCTTTACAACAGTCATTTCATTTTGTGTAAGAGTACCAGTCTTGTCGGAGCAAATTACTGTAGTTGTTCCAAGAGTTTCAACTGCCAAAAGTTTTTTTACAATGGCATTTTTTTCTGCCATCTTGCCCATGCCAATTGAAAGTACAATTGTTACAATAGCAGGTAATCCTTCTGGAACTGCTGCTACTGCAAGGGAAATTGCAGTCATAAACATTTCTCTTGGGTCGTGCTTATAAAGTACGCCAACTCCAAGAACCACGGCACAAATAACAAGAACTAAAATACCCAGAGTCTTGGATAACTTTGCAAGTTTTCTTTGAAGGGGAGTTTGCTCATCTCCTACGGTAGCAATTGAAGTTGCAATTTTTCCGATTTCTGTTTCGTGACCAGTTTCTATAACAAGTCCCATACCCCTACCGTAGGTTACTGTAGTTGATGAGTAAGCCAAGTTTTCTCTGTCGCCAATTTCCATTTTACCATAGTAGACTACAGAGGCTTCTTTTTCAACTGGAACTGATTCACCAGTTAGGGATGACTCGTCAATCTTTAGATTTGATGACTCAAGTAGTCTTAAGTCTGTTGGGACAATGTCACCTGTTTCAAGAATAATAATATCTCCTGGCACAAGTGTGTTGGAGTCAACCTCAATGTGTTCGCCATCTCTTATTACCTTGGCCTTTGGTGATGACATCTTTTGTAGGGCTTCAATCGCTTCTTCTGCCTTACCTTCTTGGTAAATTGATAGAAAGGCGTTGACAACTACAATGGCAATAATTATTCCTGCATCAAGAGCTTCTCCATTGAAGGCTGATACAAAGGCTGCTGCCATTAAAATGATAATCATTGGGTCAAGGATTTGTTCCTTTAACTTCTCTCCAAAGGATTTTTTCTTTTCTGCTTCGAGAGCATTTTCCCCATATTTTTCAAGCCTAGCTTTGGCTTCTTCTTGACTTAGTCCCTTATCTTTATTTGTAGAAAGATTTTTTAGGGCTTCGTCGGGAGATTGATTATACCAATTTTTTCCCATACTTCCTCCTTTATAATACAAAAAAGAGACCGACTGTTACGTCGGTCTCACATACTTACATAATAAGCTTTCCAGCCGGGCAAGTATTGTTTGATTGCAGCGATTGTATGTATCGTAATATGGGTCGTATGTATTGTTCTTGGCAAGGTTCTTTAAATAAAATTTCTTATTCCATTGTTAATTTTTGGAATTTACTAAAACTAATTTTTTTTTATTCACTAGTATACATAGATGTCAAGAATATGATATACATAATTCTATTGATATCAAAAAATTAATTATAATACATATTCACGTTTCTTATTTACCAGATTTCTAATTTTATTGATTTTCATTGAGTAAATTAGTTATAATATATTAACAAGATAGAACAATAGTGGATACATCATTACAATGTAATTATAGACATACAGATCACTCTATATTTGAAAAAGATGGTGTTTCGATTCATTTGTTCATTTCTAAATTTTCTTCATAAGGAAAATTCAAGAAGGAGACAGGAAATTCCCAAAGGATGAACTAAACTTTCTTAAACTCGGATCAAATCTCTCATTGCCACTACTAATATTTGTTTAGAAGTTTCCACTCTTTGCGACTTTTTTTATTCATATCAATTCATATATTTTGATTCTGAGTTTAAGGTTTTGAAGCCTGAGTAACTCACAAATTAGATAGAGGCTTTCTAATCAAATAATTTGAACAAAGAAATATACCTCAATCCATAGCAATACAGCCATTAACACATGTTTAATATCAATAGAAGCGATGATCAAAATGATCATGAATCGTTATTTTATCATCTTTTTAACTTTTTTTTTTGAAATTCTTTTTTTTTATGATTCGAAAAAATTATACAGATAAAACACTAAATTATACACACGAATTGTAATATCATGTTTGCTCCTCTCTATCTTGAAAGACGAAGGCTTAAACTGCGCTTTTGTTTGCGATGTATTCACTCGGGAAAAAATCAGCCAATGAAATGAATGATTCAAAGATAAATTCTTCATACACATATTGAAGGTTTCATCAAAAAGAATAAGATCAGAAGATAAACGCATTTTTCTCTACATATCTTGTTTTGAGAGTAAGTTTCTATTTCGGTTAACCAGTTAAAAGGATGAGTAGGGGTAATTTTAGCTAAAAGTGACACACCTGTAAAAAGTGACACACCCGTGAAGGGTGTGATTACCGATCGGTAATTTCGACAGTTTAGAATTTAACATTTTTTATGGAACTGTTGCGAGTTTCATAAAGAATTTAAGGAATATAAGCAAAGATTTGAATCAAAATCTTAGACCTAAGCCGCTCGATTCGCTCGCGGCTTCCGCGAATTACAGATCAGCAAAGATTTGAATCAAAATCTTCGAACTAAGCCGATCGCTTCGCTCGCGGCTTTCTTTATTATTTTAAATTTGCATATTTCCATCAAAAGTTCATAAGGTAAAAAATTTCGTTTATTTTTACTAAGAAAAAAAAGGTTTTTGATAATAAATTTATTTTATTTCGAAAAAGTAGCAATAATCGTAAAAGGGCATTGATAGGCTTGCTAAAGTAACTAATTTTAGCTGTCAAATACTTTTGTATTTTGAAGTAAATTAGTATAAATTTGTTTTTACTTTTATTTCGAAAAAGTAGCAATAATCGTAAAAGGGTATTGATAGGCTTGCTAAAGTAACTAATTTTAGCTGTCAAATACTTTTGTATTTTGAAGTAAATTAGTATAAATTTGTTTTTACTTTTATTTCGAAAAAGTAGCAATAATCGTAAAAGGGTATTGATAGGCTTGCTAAAGTAACTAATTTTAGCTGTCAAATACTTTTGTATTTTGAAGTAAATTAGTATAAATTTGATATTATTTTAACTCCCTTTGAAAACCGCAATTTTCCATACAGAGGGAACGGGAATAGCATCCAATATTCCCTGAGAATGGTTGCGCATTCTCAGTTCCCTCTATATTTCGAACGAAGCTCTCATCGGTCTTTTTTTTAATACTAAACGTTTTTTCCCTTGTCACTTTTAGCTAAAATTTGGGTTTGCCTAAAAATCTTTTGTACTATGCATGTTTTTTTGTTATCTTACAATTTAGATTAATGGATTGAAGGATATATAAATATAATACCCAGAGTTATTATAAATATAAGATTTTGATATACCATAAACGAAGTTCCAACTTTCAATAACATAATATTTTTTTATCGGAAATAAAATAATTTTTAGGATTTTTGTTGTGCACAAAAGGGTTTAATATTTTTTTTCTTCGTTCGGAGATGATAAATTTTATTATTGACCTTTCATTAATTATTTTTTTGTAAAAAAATTTGCCGATCTTGAATTTATGTTAAATTTTTATAAGACATTCGATAGTATAATGAGAAAATTTGTCATTAAGTTGATTTTTATGACAATATTGTATAATATATTTTGTATAATAAAATGTGGTGTCCTTGATATCTTTATCCTTTCATTTGGAGTTGTGTTCAATTTGAAACCAAAAAATATTATATTTGAAGAAAATTATAATATCTAAATAAAAACGGAATCTGAAAACATTTAAATGTGAATCTAGATAGGAATTTGCTTGTTTAGAAGAGCATGAAATTTCATAACAAGTATTTGTTCAGAGGATTAAGCCGAACTTTTGAGACATCTTTTGAAATCAGAAAGTTTTGAGAGAATTGAATGTGTATTAATGAAAATCGAACAATATTTCTATATAACATATTACTCTCAAAATTATCATAGAGGATTAAAAATTGAGAGAATTTCTAGTTTGAGATAAAGTTTTGAGAGAACAATTTTGATTTGATATACTGAATTTTTTTTTTGATTTATGGAAAATAGGTGCAAATGTATTATGCACTTAATCAATAAATTTACTATAAAGACACTTTTGATAGGTTTACTCTGTTGTTTATCGATTGAGAATATGTTAAAGTTAAACACACGTATAATATGATTTTATTAGTGTTTATCATGAAATTTCAAGTTGCCAATTATAATCTGTTTATTCTCTATTTACAAATAATTTCATATTTATTAAATAGTATAACACTTTTAGGTTTTAGATTTACACGCATTCAAAATTTGAGAAAATTATCTTCTAAACAAACCGAAAATTTTCAATGATTTCAAAATTTGAAAAGCAATAAATTTTGAATGTAGCATATCAGAATTATTTGCTATTCAAATTCAACGAACTATAAATCTGATTTCTTTGGTCTTACTGTTTCAAATATCAGAAATTTATTCAATAATAGTCAAATGATTGCATTATATTCCATTTTGACCATTTATATTCGGAATAATTTAATTACTTTTACATTTGACCATAAATCATTTACAATCATTGATATAAGGTTTCATTAAACTTCAAGCGTAAATTTCTTCATTAACTTTTTCAATTATTTTTATTCAACAATCAAAGGTTTAGAGTTTTAAATCGGTAATAAGCAAATTATTTTCCTTCCTTACTCCTTTTATTTTATTATTTTGCCCTCAATTAAAAATTTCTCCTAATTAAAACATGTTTTTCTCGCTAACAATTGATTACTCTCAGTGACACAATCCGTAAGCATAATTCTACATCGCTTTTTCTTAATTATTTATTATTTATCAAATGCTTAATTATGGGTTTTATTTTATGAGTTTATTTTCTGTTTTACAATTCAAAAATTGAATTAATACGAACATTTTAATAATTTTTTTTGAATCAATAATTTTTTTTTAATTCGAGCTTCCTTTTGTCCTAATAATTAATATATGAAATAAAACATTGAAATATAATTTCATGATACAAAATATACATGGTTTATAACAAAATAATATAAAAAATTAATGATCATTCAATAATTGTAATATATCAGATGGATCGACCATGTTGTTCGCTGTCGGGGAACATTGCGAAACATTGATAATTGGGCGAACTTCTTCAGGTGAAGATACGACCGAATCTGAAGAATCTAAAAACAGAAGCAACGAGGCATCAAAGCATTTTATTTTAGCTTGTGCTATATCCCAATTTTCTGCATACCAACATAGCAAAGCACTTCTATTTCGTTTCGCTAATCTATCAAGTTTAACGCTGGAACATTCTGTTATTTTTTTGGCAAGCGCCAGGAGTGGAGAATAAGTTAAATGCGTTTTGAAGTATCTATCAATATATGCCGCTACAAAATCAATTTTTAACCCATTTAATTGAACACGACGTATGATCTTCTCCTGGTCTCTCATACTCTGGGACATTTTTTGCTTGTAAGATCTGATCGTATTTGATGAGTATTGATTAGCTACAGGCAACTTCGCAAACATAAATAATTTTACTTTATTCTCAAAATTGCGAATAAATTGATTTACAAAATTTGAATGAAAATAATCGTTATAATGGCGCAATCATTACTCCTTATTATGAAACAAATATGAGAATAATCAAATATTTTCGTTATGCAATTATTTGAGAAAGAATCCAATAATTTGGGAAACATTATAAGGATTATGTTTCGAGAGCTTTTATAATGAAATTTTATTAGGTTTGTAAGTGCATTCAATAATTTTGAGAACAAATCTTGATAATTTTTGAGATATATTGAAAAAGAATTGGCTTGGGGTTTAGAAAATCCTGTTTAAAAATTAGATTAAATAATATTATTAAATTTATATGTAAATGCTTTACATTTTAAAACAGCACTGAAAAGTAATAAAATTTGAGAAGAATTCGTTAAACAAAATTGGTCGAAAAAAATTCCATCAACATTTTATTTTTATATGTTTAAGCCTAAATAATAATTTTGTAAAGTTTATTTTTTAAAAGGCTCACTTTTTGATTAAAAAATGTCTCACAAATTTTATCACTGGTTTGAATGTATAATACTGATCCTAATACATTATCTCATAAACACGGATTTAACCTTCAAATATTTTTTTTTGAAAATATCGATTCTCTTACTAATGATTGTTTCATGTGATTCGCAGTAAATCCCATGATGTAATCTTTGCAATTGAATTATTCTTTCTCAAAATTTTAAAATGATTTATATCGAGTAATATCTTCATTTTAAGTTACTTTATAAATTTGTTTTTATTTTCTCAAATTTTTCAATTGGGAAATAACAAAATGATAAATATATTGCTTCTATAATTAAATCAAGAATTATTCCTTTACTTAAGCAAGATAATTAACTTTTTATGTTTTTCGGGAGCTGTGGCGAAATTGCCATTTCCATCATGTTCTTCATTATTTCATCCAGTCATCTCTTAAATCTGATATCCTTTGATTTTAAACTTTCACTATTAATTTTCTATTTCCTGTTGAGTTTTGGAATGATTCTTATTAAATTTCATATATTACAGGGTTTCTTTAGATAAACATTCCAGTAATTTCATTTCCAATATCTTTAGATAAAAATTTCAAACTCTCATTTTTCATTATTTCAATCCTTTTGAACGATGCATCAATCCTTAATATCAACCATCCCAATATTATTTATAACAAAAAAGAATAATATTTATCTATATTGTTTTATGTGATTAAGATTTAACTGTTGCTGAATCTGATTTTCACATTATTCGGCTTCAAAATGTATTTTGTAAAATGAACTCATATTGTACTTCAAAGGCATATTCAAATATATATGCCATCAGGCTGTTAATCGCTCCCTTCACCTTCAAATTCAGAAGTTTTTCCTTTTTGATGCAAATAAACTTTTATCATTTATTGAATATAAATAACTATAATTCACTTTCTTGGATGCAATTAAATTTCATTTTGAAAGCTTATTGATATATCCTGATCTTCTAGATCTTCTTATTTATTTTAGATATATGAAACAGTTAAGTTTATGTCCATTAAAATGCTGGTCTTGTATCAGATTATCTTTGAAACAGAATCAACATGCTGATTCAAAATTCAAAAATTAACAATAACAATTTGTACAGGATAATATGCAAGTAGACAAATATCATTTAACTAAGTAATGATAAAGACACACATATTAAATAAATATATAAAATACAGGGTTTATTAAATCTAATGGTTAAGCAAAGAATATAAATCAGTAGGATCAATAGATCTTATTTTCATAGAATCAACATGGTCTCTCTTTGGTAAAGAACTTGGACCTTGAATACTATAGTTTTGGCTTTCTAAATTGTTAAATGTAATTTGACATTCGTTTGCAATGCTATTGATATTAAAATTTCTTATTTGATTTTGAAGTTTATCCCAATTTTCAGAATACCAACATAATAAGGCACTTTTATATCTTTTTGCAAGTCTATCAAGTTGGATCCCTGTCGACTCAGAAATGGCCTTTGCCAATGCAAGTAGAGTCGTATGAGCAAGTTTGGTTCTAAATAACTTATTGATATATGCTGAAACATAATCAATTTTAATTCCATTTTGCTGAACCCTCTCTAATATCTTTTCTTGATCTCTCATACTTTGCGATAAATTTTGCTTATAATTTATCCGCATTTTACCCTTATGCACTTTCCATGTTGGGAAAGAAAGCATGAATGATATTAAAAAGTTTAATTGAATAAATTTGAACAGAATTTCTGAACAACTAAAATTAATGTGTCTTTGAACATACAGGAAATCTCTCTCTATCGAAGAAATTTTTGAAAAAGAAAAATTTCAATTATCTAATAGCGTAAACCTCACAATCTGAAATGTTTGAACATTTTAAATGAATGATGAAAGAAAATATATTTGCTATCACTTTGGAGTGTAGTTAGCTATGGCATAAATAAAATAATGTTTATCCATAGAATTTTTTTGAATGAATTTCATTCAAATAAGTTATTCGGATATATTTTAGTTATTCAAATGATTTTCGACACTAATTTCATATAAATTTTTTTCTTTGGCAGTATAAAAATTTATTTTAGTATCATAAGGAAACCAACTAAAAATGATGTATACAATGTTTAAAGAATTAATTTATGTCATCAATTCAATTAAATAACGATATTCAACGTATCTCCTCAAATAAAAAGATGTTATTTCAATTTTTTCAATTAATAAATACATTCAAATAAAATCAATTAGCAAATTTAATATTTGCATTTATATCTAAATTCTTTTTAACCATTTTTTCTCATCCAAAATCCATCGTTATTTTTTTTAATCAAACAAAATATTTATTCTATTATGATAACTTGTTATTATTTACATTTACACGGGACTTTTCAAAAATCAATTCAAAAATTCAAAAATCCATCTTTATTCCTTTAGGTAACTATACTAACTTCAACAACTTCATTCAAAAATTTTAATAATTCAATTGACAATTTTCTGAGCGATTTTTATTTTTCCCCTCACTGTCTAATTTCTTTCCCATTTATAAACTAACTATTAAGAAAAGTCAATATTATATATACTCCGATATCATTCGATTGTAGAATAACAAATAATACACCTGTAAAAACACATCGAAAACAATAAACCAATATCTATCCTTGTCCTGACTATTTCATCAGGCTTATAGTTATTACATATATCAACTCATTAAGAGAGTCATATCGATAGTAAATAATAATCTCATTTAATGAATATTTACTTCTTTATTATATAATTTTTTATTCATTCATGAAAGTAATGTTAAAGATTATTACAGAATAGTTATTTACTTATTTTCATTCTATAATCAGTTTTGTTAAAATTTCAAAAAATAATTTTTATTGAAAACGTTGTTTACACTTTTTTTATTAAATTATTGCTATGTAATAACGTAAATAGAACGAGAGAGTAAACATTGGAAGATGCTATTAAGGTATTAAATCAGTTTAAGCACTAATTCCGAAAATTCTTACTCCATGCATGAATGGGAGCTTTGGAATGACGATTACTGCCAAGATTGGTAAGTTCATCATTATGTAGGCTAATTCCCAATGACCAGCATCAACAGCCAAAACAAATAATATGAATGGGACTATAATTAAGAATTTCCTAGCTCGAGTGAATTGTAATTGGTCGTCGATTTGCTCCCAAAAGGTTAATTGGGAATATGCGCCATGGTCGTCAATGAATGGTGAGCCTTTTATCCAGTGGAAAAGGATAATTGTAATAATCCCATGAATCCAGTTTACAAGTGTCCAAGAAGCTGAGGATGATAAACCAATTCCAATGAAAAGAATACGAACAAATAAGAATAACAATGCGTAAAATACCCAACAGATAGGGTTATCAATAAATGCAACGTTCTTGTTGAGAATTGCTGGAAGTGATGAAGACTTTTTCATTCCAAGAAATTATTATACGATCGTTTTCAATTCAATTTTTCAATGATATTTTGGTCTCTCGTTTCTTAGTTTTCTCATTTTATGGATTTTTTCCCTTCATGACGAATTGTTTCTTGAACAAAAATGCAAGGACTAAATTTTATATAAAAATATAGTCTAATCATTTATGTATTTTCGTTCTTGCAATCATTTTTCTTCAAGGTTGCCAATAAAATGACTCCCAATAGCTTGAGACAACAAATCCTGAATGTAGGTAGTGATAATGAATTTCATGGTATATAATCTTGGTAAAAAAGGGGGTTGGCGTCCTAAGGCGTCCTAGTGTAAATTTCTCAAAATTGTGATATTTACATCACATTTTTGAGAGGTTTATGGCGTCCTAAGGGAAAATTGAATAGCTAGCGTCCCGAATTTTCATTCTAAGATTTAAATATATTATATACTTAAGTTAATAAAAATATAAAATTAAATTTTTATTATGTTAACTTATAAGAAATTTTTTGAATTATCGTTGATTTATTGTAATCTTTCCAGGCTATACTTTTGAAATCAACTTTACCTGTCATACGCATTAATGTAGTAGATGTCAGATGTAGCTATTATATCCCAGCAACATTGGTATTTTATCATTGTAGATATCAAAATGAAGCGTTTTTTCAGATATAATTTTTCGTAAATTTTTCAAAAATAAGATGGTAAAAAAGCCTCGACTTGCTCGAAAAATAACAATTTTTTACTTGTAAAAATAACCCTTTTACAGCATGGGCAGCTATTCAATCACTATTTCTTTTTCTAAAAGTATATTTTTCAAAAAAAATTAAGATCAAATTCGACAATTTCTTGATGAAAGCAAAAATATTACACATACTTCTAGATGCATGGGATAAAATATGCAATTATCCAATCAATTCGCATGATTTGAAAAAAAAATCTAAATTTGATAAAAATGTAGAAATTTTTTATTTTTAACTTGAGATTCGATTTTTTTGATCCAATTTGTGAATTTTTTGATCGGAATTTCAATTAATTTGTTGATCAAAAATGACCTCACAATGTTTGATCATAAGTGAAGTCATCTTCATGGATATTTAGAAATTCCAAGAGAAATTGCTTATTTCTCGCAGATGTAATATCTGAGAAAATCGAATTTAAATATTCATAGAAACCCAAATCATTCTCCGGTTCGAATAATTCATCTGTTGCTTTTTCTGTTTTTTCTATGAATTTTAATAATTTGATAGTAGTAGAATATGACGGGTTGTGTGACTTTTTTTGTAAACGTAAGAATTCATACAATATAGAACGATTTTGTATCATTAAAAAATTAACATTAATTTTAAAATAATTTATTTTTTTATTCTTACATAAATGACCCAACAAGTAAAACCCGATAAAGTGGATAATAGAATTTTAGAGGATGGTGTTCCTGTTTACATTCAAAGATATAAAGGAAAACAATATTACAGAATGATAAATCCTGAATATGTGAAACATATATTTAATAAAGAAGGATGTAAAGTTTTAAATATTGAAGAGTTTGAAAATACTAAATCTATAATAAAATATGAATTTAGGAATAAATGTTATACAGTTTCATATTATGAATGGAAAACCGATAAGATTAGAAAACATTTAGGAGATTATGGTGATAGGAGAAATCTAGTATATACGAGAGAGTAAAAGAAATCAGATATAATTATTTTCATGAATAAAAAATAATTTATTTTTTTATCTTTTATAAAGGAAGCTATATATAGATGATGTCAGATATTCCACGATTAATTAAACATTGTTTAAATCCTGAATGGGTTAAACTTCAATTTAAAAATGAAGATTGTGAATTATTAAATGAATATGAAAGCCAAAATAAGCTAATGAGGTATAAATATAATGATAAAGAATATTTAATTTCATGGAATCAATGGAGTCATAATCAAAGACCTCATAAACGAGAAGAAGAAATTGAAAATAATGAAATGGAAATCATTGATGACATTAAAGAGGATGGAATTCCTAAATTTTGTAGAAAAACCTTTAGAACTAAGTTAGGAGCATATAAACGTAGAGTATTAAATCCTGAATATCTTAAACATCAATTTAAAAAGGAAGACTGTGAACTATTAAACGCTAATGAATATGAAAATGCTAAATCAAAACTGAGATATAAATATATTGGAAGTGATGAAAGGTGTAGAGATAAAAATAAAGTTTATTCAGTTTCATATAATAACTGGCACACGTTAGGGATAAGAAAACATTTAGGAGATTATGGGAAATGTTCTGAATTCTTTAAATCTAGTATATACGAGAGAGTAAAAGAAATTAGAAATAATTATTTTCATGAATAAAAAATAAACTTTAAAAATTCATGTCTTACATTTTTGAATAATTTATTTTTTGTAATCGTAAGAATTCTCACATAATTGAATGATTTTTGAACATACTTCCGAATAGCAGATTTTAAAAATTTATGAATAATTTATAAAAAGTTTTTATTCCTACAATTCCTATATTACCATTAATAAAAAGAATATATTTTATAATAGTTTCATTTCGAACATGTTAAAATTTATCTGCATTTCGAAAAATTTTATTATAAATGATAATATAATTTATTAAATTAATATATAACTTATGAATTTTTACTTTTTGTATGAAATAAAATTTAGTATTAATAAAGTTATAAAATAAATTGGTGCATGTTAGATGTAAATAAGATATAAAAAGGTGTTTATGAATACTTTAGCAGAACTTCTACTGGTAGAGTTTATACTGGCAGAACTTCTACTGGTAGAGTTTATACTGGCAGAACTTCTACTGGCAGAACTTCTACTGGTAGAGTTTATACTGGCAGAACTTCTACTGGTAGAGTTTATACTGGCAGAACTTCTACTGTTTCCCTCAAAATTGAACACTTTAGCAGAACTTCTACTGGTAGAGTTTATACTGGCAGAACTTCTACTGGTAGAGTTTATACTGGCAGAACTTCTACTGGTAGAGTTTATACTGGCAGAACTTCTACTAGTAAAGTTTCTACTGGTAGAACTTCTACTGGCAGAATTTCTACTGGTTATATATGGTGTCAATTTTTTAAAAAATTTTGAATTCAATGAGTTATATCAAAAATAAAATTCTTGAATAGAGTAAAAAAATTTAAATAATTTATTTAAATATTTTCTTCTGACATTTTTGAATAATTTATTTTTTTAATTCGTAAGAAAATGAGTGGATCAAGATTCGTAACCGTCAATCAATTAATGGATGCTCTTTCACCAATTCTTGAAAATGTTAAACAAGTAGATGTTTATTTCGATGATTATGTAGAAAGTTTATATTATAAAGGTAAACATAATATTAAACCCATTGCTTTTGCATTTGATAATAAATTAATTGAAAATGCAAAAATTTGGGAATTAATTCCAGATATTGAATATATAACGAATATAACTAATAAATGGTTCAAACGAATTCCAACCACAAAAGTTCTTTGTAAATTAATGATCAAAACCGAGGCCAAAGAATTTCATGAATTTACATATCATCCAAATAAAGTTTCAGAACTAGAAAATGAAAAACTTCAGAAAAAATTAAACGATAGACTTTCAAATGATCGTATTGAAAAAATAAATAAACTAGCAGAAGTTGCATTTAATAATGAAATATTTGATGAATATAACCTTGAACTCAGTGATGGGCTTTAAGGACCCGGGCTCAACGAGTCATGATTTATGAAATCAATTATTTGATTTATTCGCTCTTCAATAATTTCTATTCTTTTTGTTAAATCATCTATTTTCATTAATGAGGTGATTCTTGATTGAGGAATAGATTTCAAACTAACCACTCCTTTTATTTTTGAAATTTTGAATCCATCAACTTTAAACATTTTATTCAATTTACATGTTGTCAATTCTTCAAATAATTTTTATTGTTAGCATAATAGTCATTAAATTCTTCAACAGATGAAAAATTTTTTATTTCAGTAATTGGTTTAACAACGTTTATTTTTTGTTGAACATTTTCATTTATTTCCTCCTCTGTTTCATTTATTTTTAAAATTGGTTTCATTTATCATTAAATAAAAATTAGAATATAAGTGATGAAATATATTTTTTAATTAATATTAAATCAGAAATGGCGGCAGGATTCTTTAAAAAATTATGGGAAGGAATTAAGAAAGCTGCGGGTTGGGTTCATCAAAAGATTATTAAACCCATTGCAAACTTTTTGGCACCAGTAGCGAAAACGGCAGGAACTATCATAGGTGGAGTATTAGGTGCTAAAGCAGGTAATCCGGCGATGGGAGCACAAGCAGGTAACGCAGTTGGTGGAATAGCTGAAGGAATACTTAATAAAATAGGAGGTAGATAGTGGGAAAATAAATAAATATTATTTTTATCTTAGTATCGGTTGAAGTCTTTGATAAACTTTTTCTCCTTTATTTAATATTTCTCTTATTGGGGCGGCTTTTGGCGTTATTGATTCAGCAACGTCACTAATTGCTTCTTTATTCTTAAATATCCAATTTGCTCCCTTCTTCAATGTTTCCCAAACTTTATGCGCTCCTCTTTTTACTCTATCCCACAGTTTCTTAAATATACCTGCAGCCATAGTTGATTATTTCATTAAAATTAAAAATTCATTTTCATCTTTTAATTTTGATTTTTTATTTATTAATAAATGACGACTAACTATTTGGTGCCAAACACCAAACCGATTAATGGAAATGTGTTTCATTCATTCGAAAAGATAAATGAAATATTTGCAAAGAATGACGGTAGAAGATATTATAGAGAACTTGAAAGTTCATGCTATGACTCTGATGCTCCATATTTTGATGATAAACAAACTCATTTAAGAATTACAAATCCGGCTCATGATGTGAACCAATTAGGTGACACATATATTAAACGCAAAGTTAAAGCAACTCTAGTTTCAAATAAAGCTTTCACATGTGATGCCGCTTTTAAATGCATGCGTTTATTCGTTGGTTACAAATCATCAAATCAAAGCTTTAAACAATTAGAAGTAGAAACCGAAAGAGGTGATGCCGGTTATCTTCAGATGGATTGCGCCCGTGAATCTTTCGCATTTGCAACATATAAACCAAAATCAGAAAGGAAAGTTAAAAAGTTTGTTCATTCGTTATATAATAATGTTCAAAAATATGATAACTCAGTATGTGGTAAATATATTGACCCTTCAGAAGTTTTCAAGAAAGCAAATGAAGAAGTTGATGTCACTTTTGATATGATTATTCCGGTAAATGATTTGTTAGCATTTCAGGCGTTCGATGATTATCCTAAATCATTTGGTGATATCATTCTTAAATATTATGTTTTCAGGGATACTTTAGTATTTTGTCAGGTTGACCCGTTAAGAGTTGCTGATTTACAAAATTACGTTTATGAAAAGATAACTGATGAAAATTATGAAAAGATTATGAATCATGTTTATAAATATGATCGCAAATTCCAACAAATCGGACTTTCTACCAAATTAATTACAAGCTTAGCCACTACATCTGCTGACGCAACAGTTGAGGACGTTATTATTTCATGCATAAAGATGGAAGTTTTAGAGGATAAATGTATTACACCAGGATACGGTTTAATTGAAGAATCAGTTAAAGCAATACCACGTTTATTTAGTAAGGAAGATCCATTCATGATTCCAGCTCAACATATTGACGTTCGTTCACTAAATGGAGGTTGCATCACTCCTGAAGGTATTAGCTCAGATTTCTCATACGCTCTTCATAATGTTACAGATGTTGTGTTAACATTTCCGAAGAATGCAATGCAAAGAACGGTTTTAGAAAATCCAATGCTTCGAGGTCTTCAGGTCACTATAGATTCCAGAAACTTCCCCGATCAAGCGATGACCACAGTGGGTGACATATTCTTTACACGTATGCTTCAAGCTTCTGATTTAGATGGAGTGAATGAATGCACAGAAGAATACGAGGACTCATTAACTAGACCACTGAATGCAGATGATGGCACGCCATTAGCTAGAACATGGAAAGACCAAACTTCATTCTTATGCACTATTCCAGTTCAACGTGATGGAGCGGGTATATTCTTTGATGGATTAGAAACTTTCAACTCACAAGTTACAGTACAAGTGAAAGCTTATCCAATCATTCAGGGTGAAAATGACACTTACTGTTCAAAGGTGACAAATCCTCCTCAGGTTTGGTTTACTAGGACTACATATTGGACATGGACACCGGACGAAGGTTTGAAATATCATCCAACAGGTACACCACCACAGTATAGAAGTTCATATGATGAAATATTGATGAATAGAAATGTTTAAAATTATAAATTTATTTTTGATTAAATGGATTTAAATTCATCCACCCCTTATGAAGAATTAGCAGGAGTATATAATACATACGTAGATGATATGATTAATGAAGCATTGAGTGATAATAGAAATGCTCTATCTAAGGAAAAATTAATGAAAATTCCATATTCTGAATGTTACTTAAATTCAATCACTGCAGCAATTGGTAAACAGAATAAAGGTAAAACATTAACGAGATGGATAAAATGCACACATTTGCACACATTTTGACACTTTTTCTGACAAGCATCATTCAAATTTGAAGAAAAACCTCTAAATTTCATTCAAATTTCTGTCAAAATGTGTGCAAAATTGAAATAGGCACACATTTTGACATACTATTATTTATATACGTTATTTTAATGGTTTCAGAGAAATCTTCGTTACACATTATTGAAGATTACTCAATATTTAAGTGAATGACTCACTACCACCTGTTTAGAAAAATGGTAGCATAAAATCCAAATGTCACATATATTATTTCTTATTTCATACAAATAAACTTACAATTATAACCTCAACTTGTTTGCAAAGCAGAAACTCAATATAAGCAATCGATCAGTAGTGTATTTAAAAGTCGAATTTAAATTTAAAAATTTATAATCTTATTTCGGAACCAAATAGTATAAATTTAGGACAAAAAGCTACGTGGTGTTGATAACAACTATTAAAATTCAAATATTACTACCATGAACAATACAATGGCTCATATTGATAATTGATAAACGTGCATATAAATTGCATATATCATCAATGTCATTAAGTAAAATACATGTATATAAATAGATTAGAAATATTTTTCGGTTAGAATTAAAATCTATGTAATAAAAAATAAGTTATAAAAATAAATACCGAATTTTTATTTGTAATATAAACTGCTACAATATGCTAGTGTATACAAATGTATTTGTCGTATTGATTTGAAAGATCTTCAACATGGTTCAGATCTAAATTTGAAACTCGTAAAATAAAGCGAATCTTTATTTGTAATATAAACTGCTACAATATGCTAGTGTATACAAATGTATTTGTCGTATTGATTTGAAAGATCTTCAACATGGTTCAGATCTAAATTTGAAACTCGTAAAATAAAGCGAATCTTTATTTGTAATATAAACTGCTACAATATGCTAGTGTATACAAATGTATTTGTCGTATTGATTTGAAAGATCTTCAACATGGTTCAGATCTAAATTTGAAACTCGTAAAATAAAGCGAATCTTTATTTGTAATATAAACTGCTACAATATGCTAGTGTATACAAATGTATTTGTCGTATTGATTTGAAAGATCTTCAACATGGTTCAGATCTAAATTTGAAACTCGTAAAATAAAGCGAATCTTTATTTGTAATATAAACTGCTACAATATGCTAGTGTATACAAATGTATTTGTCGTATTGATTTGAAAGATCTTCAACATGGTTCAGATCTAAATTTGAAACTCGTAAAATAAAGCGAATCTTTATTTGTAATATAAACTGCTACAATATGCTAGTGTATACAAATGTATTTGTCGTATTGATTTGAAAGATCTTCAACATGGTTCAGATCTAAATTTGAAACTCGTAAAATAAAGCGAATCTTTATTTGTAATATAAACTGCTACAATATGCTAGTGTGTACAAATGTGTTTGTACAAATGTATAACTCTTTGTCAATTGTTATGGCACCTTATAACTTAAAAATCATTTTCATTAACAAATATAAAAAGTGACAATTAATATTTTCATTAAATGCATATTTAATTATCAAAACAATGTCGATTTAGCTTGAATG